ATATACCACTCTCAGGGGAATGTGAGAGTGAAGAGTGAGAACTAATTTGGTTCAGTGATTAAGGCGCCAGGCTTGAAACCTAGGCAATGGTGAGTTCTAGTCCTGCCATGAAAGCCACCTTGGGCTAGTCGCTGTTTCTCAGCCAAACTCGCTTCATATGGTTGTTGTGGTGGGGAAAATAGGAGAGGAGTATTACATATGTTTGCCACCTTGAGTTATTTATAAAGATAATAAAGGCAAGATTAAAATGTAAAAATGAACCAAGACACCTATCCAGTGGACTGTTGCAGTTTTTTGTCCTTTCTATTGCAGTAATTTGTTGCTAGAATTTCTCAGAACCTTTACCTTTGTAGAAATGAAAATCAATTCCAAGGTACCAATGTGCTTCAAATTGCTCCCTTGGCATTGTCCGGGCTCCTTCATCCCCTCCAAAATGTGTACATTTAAGAAATTACTTTTCACTTTGCATCTGAAAAGTTAGTATTTTAAATTTCCAGCTGCCAACCTTCAGCTTCACTTTTATTTCCAAGAATGCACTTGAGCCCCAAAGGTGCTTCATCAATTTTTGTGGAAAGTAAAAAAGAAAGCATGGTTAACTGAAGCACAGAACATAGTTTGCAAATGTATCCAGCTTCTCAGAAAAAAAGACAAAGTGGGAATCCCTGGGTGAAGAGATTAAAATTTAGATCTCCATGGCAGCCATTATGCAAAGGGCAAGCTCTCTCAAGGTAGGTTTTTTTTCAGCATACTAATACATTTGCAAATTTCAAGAAAAGACCACCAGTCTGAAAGATTCTGCAGTTATATATAATCATTTTCTGTCCACTTATAGCATTTGCAAAATTTGAATAAAATGACTATTGCTTAAAAGATAATTAAAACATACACAGAAAAAGATTTCTATATACTTCCTTCCCTCAAACACATAGGAAAGATAGTGCTGGCAGGAAGGATGGATTTTCCTGCATCCAGTAATGTGTTGAATACAGTTTCTGCACTGCAGAGCTACCAATAAAGCAAGTCTGAAAGGGAAGGAGGAAATAGATAAATCTCTTGTCAGTTTTATTTTAAGCTTCACTGCTAGAATCGTTTTATTGGTGGCAGGAATGAGCAGAACATTTGTGATGCTTTTCATCCTCTCTTGTGAACTGAGACACATAGGGTTGTCCCTACAATTATTTGTAAGCCTCTAACAAAAGACTACAACATATTTATTTAAATATGAAAAATTCTACTTGTCATTGTCAATGGTTTCTCATAACCAACTTCCCTAACTATGCATTGGGGTGACGATGATGAAATACAGTGTTCAAATTCAGAAGGCTGTAATTGAATCCCATTTAATTTCACTATTTCCATTAAATTAGTTTCCAAATGTGAAATTAGATGCTGTGCTAAAGTGGATAAAATTTTACCCTGCTAGTCTTTATAATCATAATAAACATTTTTGAAGAACATCTAATATTAAAATGGTTTTTGCATAACAGAGGTACATGTTCAGGAAAATAAACATGTCATCTAAAAATAATCTTAGAAATGTATATACAAGCAGCCGATGAGGGCATTATTCATATATATGTGTGTGAATGCGCATGTAAGCATGGGCCTGTACAAATTAGTAGTGGTTGCAAAACCTGTTGCTACTGGTTTGCTCATGCGCTCACGCGCGCTCGCACATGATGCTTCTGTGCATGCACAGAAGTGTCTGGGGGGGGGGGAGAGCCTCCTGCCGCTACCAGTTCGCCAATCCGGGTAGAACCAGTAGCAACCCACACCGCTGCACATGCAGATGTTTTCTGTTTTCTGTTTTTTCTTTATTATATGATATTGGCTCAATTTTTAATTTTGGCAGAGTTTGCAAGCTGAATGGATTCCTGACATGGCCACTTTAGGTATAGGTTAATCACTGGTTAATACTGGGAATAGGTTAAACAGACAGAGAACAAGAACATGTAAACTAAGGTGACCAGACGTCCCGCTTTTGGCGGGATAGTCCCGCTTTTGAGCAATTTGTCCCGCGTCCCGCGGCGTTTCAAAAAAGTCCCGATTTTTCTTGAGCCCCAGCTGATGGCTAGAAGAAAAAAAAACTGTTTAAACTCTTGCCCGGGGCTTCAAAGGGCCGCCCTACAGGCAATCAGTGTAAAGCAGTTTTTTTTCCCCCTAGCTAAGCTTCAGAAACGAAACCGAAACCAGGGTCTTTGGTGCAGCGTGACAAAATGAGGCAGAGAGAGATTTATTTTTATTTTTATTTTTCCTCCCCAAAAAAGGTAGGTGAAAAACTGCAAACAATGGGAAATTTAGGAGGAGAGTTCAAGATTTTAAAACACAAAGGAAAAAAAGCTGTATTTAACTAGGGAATTGTAATAATTGAGATACTATTAATTGTATATTGTGTTGAAAGCAGAAATGGTTAAGTTGTGGTTCGGAGGAATATATGGGAGAAATTATTTGGTTTATTATTATTGGTAAATATAATTAATTGATTTGTAAGAAATTGGATTGCATGGAAATAATTGGAATATTCATGTTCATATTGATTAATATACAAAAAAGATAGTTTTATAACTAATTGATTTATATTAAAATGTTGAATTTGTATTAAACAACTGTATTACATAATTACATAATTAAACAATGTGAGGATGGATATAAAAATAGATGACAATGGGAAGGGGTATAATATAGAATAGAAGGGAAAAATTGAATTTGATTAAGATTAGAGATGAGGATGAAGGGTAATATTGGTTTTTTTTAAAAATAGATGAGGAATAAATATGGCAAAAAGGAAATATAGAAATTGTAAATTTAATTGAAATGACTAAACGCTGTTTAAATTTGTGAACCAGCCAAATATTCTGTTCAAAGAAAATACATTGTATGTTTGTATGTGTGTTTCTAATTATTGCTATTTATTCATATTTGTTCTCTTTTATTCTTTGAAGTTTAACAATTCATTCTTTATCTTAATATCTTTATATTTGCTTGGGGTTGGCTTTCTTCCCTTTCATCTTTTTTATTGTACAGCAATCTTTCTCCTCAAACCTACCACCTCTCTCTTTTCTTTCCTTCTTACTTTCTCTTCCCCCCACCCTCTTTTTCTCCTCCCTACTTCCTCTTTCTTTCTCCTTCTCCTCCTCTCTTCCTCCCTCTCTTACCCTCACTCCTACTCTAATTTCCATTCCTTCATCCCTCTCTATTGCTGTAATCCTTTAATGCATATGGACTACTCAGAGGGCTGAAAAAGTTATTTTTGACTGGTCCTCACACTTTTGACCAGTCCTCGAACTTATGACTGTCCTCACATTTTACATTTTTGCCCTATCTTGTCATCATGGTGAAGAGAAGCAGTTGTGAAATGAGTGACATGGTTGTTAAGAATGCTTGCATGGGCATAAATGTGAGGATGGTCATAAGTGTGAGGACCAGTCAAAAGTGCGAGGACCTGTCAGAAATGACTTTTTTCAGCTCTCTGGTTAGTCCTTTTGTGCATATGGACTACTCAGAGGGCTGAAAAAGTTATTTTTGACTGGTCCTCACACTTTTGACCAGTCCTCAAACTTACGACTGTCCTCACATTTTACATTTTTGCCCTATCTTGTCACCTTGTTGAAGAGAAGCAGTTGTGAAATGAGTGACATGGTTGTTAAGAATGCTGCAGGGCATAAATGTGAGGATGGTCATAAGTGTGAGGACCAGTCAAAAGTGTGAGGACCTGTCAGAAATGACTTTTCAGCCCTCTGAGTAGTCCCTATACACATAGCCATGGCCACCCGGTCACATGACCAGGTAGCCACGCCCACCCAGTCACATGGCCTCCAAGCCACGCCCACACAATAAGCCACGCCCACAATGGTGTCCTTCTTACCAATGTTAAAATCTGTTCACCTTACCCTATAGACATAGCCATGGCCACCCGGTCACATGACCAGCTAGCCACGCCCACCCAGTCACATGACCAGCTAGCCACGCCCACAAAATAAGCCACGCCCACAATGTCCCTCTTTACCAATGTTAAAATCTGGTCACCTTAATGTAAACAAACAACAAAATATATATTGAAGATTTTTATTTATTTCTTTTAATATGTGGGGTCAACCTACTCTCCAAAGTACATGAAGGCAGGTCAAGAAGCAATGGATGGAAACTAATCAAGGAGAGAACCAGCCTAGAACTAAGGACAGATTTCCTGACAGTTAGAACAATTAACCAGTGGAACAATTTGCCTCCAGAAGTTGTGAATTTTCCAACACTGGAAGTTTTTAAGGAGAGATTGGACAAGCATTTGTCTGAAATGGTATAGGGTTTTTCTGTCTGAGCAGGGGGTTGGACTAGAAGACCCCCAAAGTCCGAAGTCTGTTAATTCGGTTGTATTGGATATGGGGCAAAATTTCTAATAAATCAATTTGTTCCAAAAAGTTGAGGTTCATTTCTTAATTTCTTAAATCACTTTGTGATTTAATAGAAAGGCACCAAAGACCTGACATGGGGAATTATTGGGAATATCTTTTGCAGTTTCAGTTTGGGTCATGAGTAGGAATAATTCTTCCCTCGTTGCCACCAACCTCCTAAGCTAAAACAAAGAATTATGGTTATTATGATTTAGCTGCATGAGACTTTTACGAAGAAATTCTGCTCTTTAGATTTCACTTCAAATTGTGCTGACTTCTTAGTCCTTGTTCGGTGATTGGATAAATAAGTTATATGTTTCAGGTACATAAATTACAATAGATATTCAAAGCACTAGATATCAGAGAGGATTCATATACAGTATGAATATATTGGATAGAAAAAGTATCACATTAAAACCATTGAAAGCCCAGGTACCAAGTTCACACTGATTTACAGTAAGTGAAACTTACACTTCCAAGAAATTGAGTATCCTCATTCTGTCTTCACTGGGACCATTTTGCAAGTTTTGGCCAATGTTCTTTGTGGTTGCCAATTCCAATTGTTTTTGTGGTTATTGGGAGCGATCAATATGTTCTGTCATCTCTCTCTAGGTCAAGAATCTGCTTTATGATTGATTGATGGAAGAAAGCAATAGTTGCCACTTGAAGATAAAGAGGGGACCACACTACAACAATAAAGACCTGGAAGATCATGGGACAGGTAGACCTAATTGAGATAAATTAATGAAAGGTTTTTAGTGCCCAGAAACTGTAAGGGATAGACACTTATTGATCATTAGTACTGGCATCAACAGATGTATCAGGGTTCCTGCTGTGGATTTTAATGTTATAGAGGAATCAAATTCTGTAAGGATTAAATGTGGCTTGGAGGACAGATTTATCCAGACAGAAGATCCGGCTCCTTGCAATAGAACCTCTTCTCAACAGCTGACTTTTTTTTAAAAAAAATAGCTTGTTTCTAACAAATATCTCTTTGGCAGCAATATGTTCATGAATATTTCTAATTAGACCTCTTGCACTAGTCTGAATAAAAATGTGTTTTATGTACACCGATCATAGCAATGACTAGTCAGATACCTTTTCATTTGACAAAGCAGAACCAGCAGATCTTTCTCAGTCAAAAAGCATAAGGATAATTGCCATTTTCCACTCATTCTCTTCTGATGTAGACATTAGAAGCATGAAACTCTTGGGATGAATCATCAGAGAGCAGAGCTCCCTCCTCCACACGCATGTGGTAGGTTTCCTATTTCCAGAGGACAGCTCAGCTTTGCATCAGTCAATTTTGCCAAACTCTCATTCAAGCCAAACAGAAAAGTCTGCTGGGGTCAGCCCCAAAGAGGAGCTGGAAAAAACCCTGGATTTAAAGTAGAGATTGTAAATGCTTCTGGCAGTTGGCAGCATATGAGCGGTAGGCCTTGAGGACCAATTCTCACAACGAAATGTAACATTGATTTTGGCTGCCTGTCTAACAGCTCCCATGGTCATTATTGCTATGTGCGTAGCCAAGCAGTTTTCATATTAATCTTTTCACAAGCACTCACCATTTATTGTGTTAGTGGAGGCTTAACCAAAACCTCATCTGGCCAGGACGACAGGATATTATAACCTTTCCCATGTGTTTCACACTTCTACTTTTCAGTCCCTGTGGCCTATCCAGGGAGGACATAGAGGGGCCAGACATTGTTGCTAATGGAGTGAGCTTGAGGTGTTTTCACACTGCTACTGTTTCCACTTCTTGGTCACTCAGTGGTGGGATTCAGCCGGATCGCACCACTTCGGGAGAACCATTTGTTAACTTTCTGAGCAGTTTGGCAAACTGATTATTGGAAGAAATCATTAGGGCAGAGAACCAGTTGTTAAATTACTTGAATCCCACCACTGCAGTCACTCAAATATGCACCCCCAAATCTTCACCTCTACATTTCTCAAAATGCTAATGGAGAGTCCAAAAGGAACCCCTCCAATCCCCCAAACTATTACTGATTCTAAAGGAACAAAACTCCATTACCTCGTGTCTTAATACTGTAGTATATGGGACTTGAATAAATTCTGGCACACAATTATCCCAACTTCTCAACTTCTGCAAGTGTGATTATCATCTATCCCTAATAGCTGCATACTATGTTTTCTTAAGATTCATTTTACACTTTTGTTTTTAAGAAAGCCTACCAGTCCTATACAGAAAATTCAAAATATGCAGTTTACTCTGTGTTTTGAAATGCTTGCATATTAGAGATCCTTTTGCAGAGAAGTGGAACTGTGCAACCTTGTTTAAACCTGAGTAATTCGGAATAGCTCCTTTGGCGTTTGAATTTTAATTAGAGTGGTTGACTTGCAGCATGTGCAGATTTTCAAAGGACTATTTAGTTTCCACCAATCTGTTTCATGTCAGTACTCCTTGGAATTTTTAACAAACGTTAATTAGGACACTTGCTTGCTGCTCACATTATAGAACAGCAACTAATGTAGAGTAGTTTTTCAGATATGCTTGAGTTCCATATGATCATTTAGGCAACCTGTCCAAAAAAAGGGGGCTCGCACCTCCAACATAGCACCTTGACTGATTAGAAGATGTATTAGAAGTGTATAACGCATGCTCTTATTTGCCAGCTTTATCCCTGAGCAAGGGATAAAAGGCAAACTAAATGGTATACTGTAAAGCATTGACACACCTTCCTATATAAAGGTATATTTGACAAAATGCAAGCAATCCTACTTTTCTTCCAGACAAATCAGCACACATCTTGTCAATTGCTTATATTATCTAAATTCTGTGCCGACATGAGCAAGCCCACCTGAATTAGTCACAAAAGACTATCTTTATCTTACAGAATGCAATGCTTTAGCTACAGGGAAGATGGGTAATGGAGAAGAATATACTGTATCTGGTTTTCTCCCATTCATACCCCCAGCAGAGCTTGTTTTAAAAAACAGCTATAGGATTCAAAAGTTTAGTTTTACATAATTAAAAATTCCATGTCTAACTAGCATAAAAATGCATTGTAATGAGCTTACTTTACAGGAATGTTTCTTGTTTTTAAAAATAGCATTTCTGTGCCTTAACTGAGGGTATGTTGACTGTGAATTTAAGAACTGAAGCTTTTTTGCCTCTCAACTGCAGTTACATTTGTGCCTGTCGCTTCACTGTCCCCAGTGCCAGTCTTACCTGAAAAAAAAATGGCAAAGTTGAAGCTCCATAAGATAATATCAGTATTTTTAATGTACAAAATTATATAAAATGTACTGTCAGGAGGATCAAAATTTATTTTTCTCTTGTTCATTTCCCAAGCTGGGAACTGAGTAAAAATCACCAGACAATCAGTGGAGGTCAAAGAACATATATTTATTCACACAAAGCTGTCAAGTAGCTTTGGAAAGGCAGTTGCAAAGAACTGCTCCCCATCTCCCTTTTTTGTAAAGTTTTGTAGTTGAGAGATTTAACCAGTCAATGGATCAATGGAACAGAATGCTTGAGTTATTATCAAAAAATGATAATATATAGCAATGGAGTTCCCTTACTTAAAGTGAAAACAGATGCCTCCTTATTTATAGTTAAATGAATGTCTCTTTATCCAGAGCTAGAAAACATATGTTTTTCTATGCATAAAATATATGTCTTCCTTTACATGGCTTTTGCTGCCTACTGTTTCTATTGTTTCTAATGGAGAAGCCAATTTTTATAAAACGGCATTACTACTGCATATTTAATACTGCCTATACAATCTTTCTTAAATTATAACAAAGTACTGAAATTGTTACATGTAAATGCCCAACATTGTGTGCCCATGGCAGGGCAAGGGTTAATACCACCCAACCTACCCAGCACTTCCCTTGACCCCTCCTCACCTTGACCCCGCCTCCCAGGTATATAAGGTTTTGTCCAGGAGTCCATGTTGCATTCCAGAAGTGTATCTGCAAGAGATAAGTAACATGTGTTAATAAACAAGTATTGATTCAAACTCAACCTTGTGCTGGAGTTATTGGGCTAGATCCTTAGAAACACTTAACAGATTGGTAGCAGAGGATGGTTTAAGCCCATAACTCTGAAAAATGAATGGATCAACTGCTTGTTCTGGAAAGAAGAACAAGGAAAACGCAAGACCTTTCACCAGACAGATGGCTGCACAACTAACACCCAGGGGTGCTGCAGCGAGAGATGCAATGACAGAGAGGCAGCAGGGCATCAACCTGAACCCACTACCCAACGATGAGAGGCTACAAGAGAGAACAACCGAACCTGAAAAAGAAACGCCACAAGAGAGGAGCGAGCTCAGACTGTCCATCCTGAAGCTGATAGAGTTGTGCAGCAACGAAGGAAACCTCATCGCGGACCTCCAGAGCCTTCTTGAGAAACATGGAGCAGCGATCGAGGCCCCAGAGATGATCCAAGGAAATACAGCACTGGTAAGAGACAGGCCAGCCCAGTCGGACGACTCCGAGGTAACTGAATCCATTTTTGCGCCCTTTTCCCGGCGGCTATCTTGGAATGGCCAGCAACCAATGGGAAGCCGGGATTTAAACCGAATGGCGCAAAACCACCAAGACCCCAAAACAAATGGAGAGCATCCAGAAAACAACTGCAATAGACAAATCCAAGTAAATCAGAACTTGCCTAGTGAGCTCAAGATAGAGAAAGCAATAGAGACTCTAGCAGCAGCCTTTGGCTCCGCATTCAAGCCTCCTGCACCAGCCGCAAGCCACAAGGAAAACCTCAAGGGCCAAGAAGGCACCAGAATGACCACCGGCTACGAGACACCAACCCTATCACTACAAAAGGGGGCAACGTGCTTCCACGACGACCAAGAAACCCCGACTGCCTATGGTGCAGAACAAAGGCAAGACTCGAACTCACCACCCGCCTCACTAACTACGAGGGATCCAAGAGAAAAAAGATGCACCAGCTACTTACCTGCTCCGCGACCTCCGCCAGGCTTTTCCAACAGACCAGGGGCTAGCACATCCGGATCAGGACCAGCCATCGCTGCCGCCGCCGCACCACCGATCCTCGAAAGTCCTTGACTTACGACCGCTTCGATCCCGAGCCTCCAGCCATTCTTCGCCGGGGATTACACAGCCCAGGAGCGACTTCCAGGGTCCAACGATGCATCCAGACCACCAGGGGTGAGTCAAGTGCTCCACCAGCAGGCCTAGGCCTAGGCCTGAGAACTGCAGCCATGAGCTCCTCTCCGGACGGCCTCCAGCGTGAAATGGGCCTCGCACATGCCCAGATGCCACCTGCAGGAAGAGAAGGGAGGAACATAGAGATAAGTCAGAACATAGAGATAAGTCAGTACAGAATAGCATCTACCATTCCCATGCCATATTGTGAGTTCCCTCACCTGCAAAACCATGGACAGCACCAGACTGTGAGTAACTTACCACACAACTCAATGACTTTGCCAGGTGACTTTCCAAACTAAAGCTAGATGGGACTAATCTTTTAGAGTGGAATCATCAGCTCCAGATTGTTTTCTTAAGGGAAAATTTATTGTTCTTAATTAATGACCCACCAAGAAAACCTTGGACTTTTGATACAGATTGCTTGCACCACAGGGCTTATTACATATTGATTGCAAGCATCTCACCTAGCATCTACCCTAGCCTGGGTCACCATTGACTGTAGCAGAAATACTGCAAAAAATATTCAATCTGTTTTATAGCAAGAGTGTAGCCACAACCACAAGGATATCTAGGGAGTTCCATTCAGCCAAGCACAAAATAGGGACCCCCATGGGTGAGCATGTCCTAAATTTAAATGCTACCAGGGCTGAATTAATACAGAGAGGAGAAGTAATCTCTGAAGAAAGCATGAAAAGCATAATCATGACTTCCGGTTGGCGTCAGTGGGACACAGACGGGGAAATGGCGAGCTCCGCTGAGCCCTGCCAAATCCCCTCTGCTAAGCTGCCGCCAATAGGTCTGCGGACCTCCCCTGTCTTGTAGGGACAGGGGGACAAGAAGGAACACCTTGGGTGGCCAAGAGGAACAGGCGGGTTCCTCGGGGCCGGAGGCTTCTCCTTCCCGCCGGCGGCAGCGGGACGGCAGCCATGGTGGCTGCCCTGAAACTGCGGCAACCAGGAACAAGGATTGTGCTGGAGGAAGAAGATGAAGAAAGAGCAAAAATCAAGAAGCCGGGTGAGTGACACCAACCCAGGCAATAATGTACCTATTTGGAATTATTGGAAAATAAGACCCCAAAATTAAAAGCGGCTGTTGGACTGCGGGGCTTAAAGATTGAAAAGGGAAAAAAAATGGGTAAAAGACCCAAATTGGATTTTGTTGCAGTAAACTTAAACTGGATGATTTGGTATTAATAAATTTCTGAAATTTGACTGTGCCTTTAACTGGAGTGGAGAGGAGAAATGGATATTCCTGAGAATTAATGCCTCTAAAAGAAAATGAAGCTAATGAAGATAGAGAAATAGCCATGGAGTCTGCAGTGATTAAACAGAGAAGTGGATTAAAGAGATTTCCCTTTCTGGGTGGAAAAGAAACATGTTAATTGGCTTTTTACCTTGGATTACTTGAAATTAATATTGGATATAAGGATTTTGGAGATTCCTACTCTGTCCCAGATGATTTTAAGAAAGAAGAAAGAAGAAAGAAAGAACATTTTGGATTTTAACAATGGAGACTGACAAAAGTAGGTGTGGCGTAGTTAACAAAGACAGGAAGCTGATGCACTACGCTTGGATCAGACATTTTAAAAGTTTTAAAGGGACATTCAGAAATTCTTTACTTTGAACTGATGAACCTTGAAATAGAGCACTTTGGACAGAGAGGAAAAGGAAGAAAAGGAAGAATTAAAGTGGATAAATTTAAATGTGACTAACTGAAATGTAAAGTTTAAAAGCCTATGTATATATGATAAAGTTTAAAAGCCTAGGTATATATGATTTTTGGATAAAAACAGGAAGGGTTGTGAAATAATAAAAATAGAAAATAAGAGGTGGCTATTAAAATAGTGGATGATATCAAGGGGATAAAAATAATAAAAAATGTACTGTTTGATGTAATACGTTTTAATATTAACTTGCAAACAAATGTTAAACTGATGAATAAGGATTGATTGAACAAAATACAAGATACACAGATGCTAGTGATTGAATTAAGGTAATACAAGTTGGAAATGATGACTATTATGACATATACTGAGATTTAAATTGAAAGAGCAGGATGGAAAAATGATATAAAACAGATAATTATATTACAGTTAAAATGTATGGGATGGATACCAACTAGATAAGAGTTTGAGACTCGGTGGAAATACGTTGGAAATTAATTCAAAATGCTGGAAACAGCCAAACAAATAGGAGGAGAGTTGGGGGAGACTATGCTGGTAATCAGCCAAACAATGGAGGAAGTCAAGGAGGAGACGATGCTGGAAATCAGCCCATAAAATGCTGGAAACAGCCAAACAAATAGGAGGAGAGTTGGAGGAGACTATGCTGGAAATCAGCCAAACAATGGAGGGAGTTAAGGAGGAGACTATGCTGGAAATCAGCCCACAAAATGCTGGAAACAGTCAAACAAATAGGAGGAGAGTTGGAGGAGATTGAGGAACTATTCTAAAATCAACTAAATAGTTGGTGTTTTGGAGGGGATCAAGCTGAGAATTAATCAAATAGAATAAGCTGGAAGATACTTAAATATTAGAGGGAAATATAGTGGAAAATATATTAGAAAATGGATTAAATAAAATATGCCTTTGAGAGAAATCTGTATAATATGTAAACTGGGAGGAAAAAAAAAACCTAAGGTAAACTGATTTGAGGATAAGGGTCAAAGGATTAAAATTAGAGAAAATGTTGTTTTATAAAATATAATAAAAATGGAGTGGTATTGAATTGAAACTAAGAATAAATGGTGATAAAATTGTAAGGTAAACACTTAATAAGAGGTTAGAATATTGTAAAAATTATTTTGATATGACTTGTATAAGATATAAGGTAAAGAAGAATAAAGATATGTTTAGAATTGTTATGCAGATGTAAAAATGAGTGAAAGTGAATTTGAAACTAATTTTGGATAGATATAATGGATTTATATAGATGAAAATGTGAAATTTGAGGTAAAATTGTTTTTTTTCTTAAGTTTTGAATTTCTTTTTTATCTTCTTTTTTTTTCTTTTTTGTTTATTTATAAAAGATGTAATGGAAATTGTGAATTGAGCTTGTGAAAGGAATGTAAGCGTGGTAACCATCTATGACCGGATCGAGATTTTTGCTCTTGAAAGTTATGTTTTTATGTTTAAATTTGAAAAAATAAATAAAAAATATTTACAAAAAAATAAAAGAAAAGCATAATCATTAACTCCCTAGACTCTAGTTGGGACAACTTTATAGTGCAACTAGATAGCCTCAACATCGAACATCTCACACTAGAAACACTTACAAACAGGTTGATAGCTGAAGACAGCTTAAGGAGGGACCGCGCCATGAGTCGCAAAGAGAGCAGACCAGTAAAGAGAGTCGAATTTCAAACCAGGGGTTACAACACCCCCGAGTGCTTCACCTGTGGCTCCAGGAGCCATTATAAGAGGGACTGCCCTAGAAAGTCAAGGGATAGGGACTACACTCAGCACAGAGACAGACAAGGCCGAAGACAAGGGTTCTCAGACAGGCACTCACCCGACAAACGATACAGATGTAGGGACTCCCCCAATCCAAGGGACAGGAGGGGATACAGAGACAGCTCCAGGGATAGCCAACCTGGATCGCTGTATGGCATTAGGGAACATCAGAACACACACATGCAATCAGGAGAAGGGAATGCATGGCTCCTAGATTCTGGAGCCACCAACCACACTACTCATGACAGGAAAATCCTCACTTCATTCACAAAAAGGAACCACCACATCAAGGTAGCTAATCAGAATGAAGTGCTAGTGACAGGAGAGGGAAACACGCACATAAAAGGGATAGGCAAATTAGAGGGGGTATTACTCATACCCGAAATACCACACAATATATTGGCTACACTCAAACTTAGCAAAGACATGGGCATAGAGACTACATTCAGAGGGGGAAAGGCCTATATGACTAAAGATGGGAAAGACATTGGTAAGATAGTCATCGATGGAGGACTAACATACCTCCAACCTGAAAGGGATTGTCAGCCAAACACCAACACTAACATAGGAAATAAGGGGAACAAGGTAGATACTCATGAGGAGATAGAGGGGGATGAGACAGATGACACCACCAAAGACAAACACCCTCACGATGCAACACACAAGGAGAAATTGTCCATTGGAAAGCCCATTCACGATAACTGTGCTCACTTGCTCCACAGGAAGTTGGGTCATGCCAGCTTTCCAGTCATCCAAAAAATGACCGATTGTTCAAATGGTTTAAAAGTAAAGAGTTGTAAAAATTACCTAGAGTGTTCTATGTCTAAGTGTTCTAAACTTAAAACCAAATCTAGACCTAAAAAGGCCACACGCACCACCAATTCAGTTTTCCAATTAGTACATATGGATTTGGTGGGCCCCATGAAGCCCTCTATAAAATACAAAAAGAGATTCTTTTTAACAATAGTGGACAACTTCAGTCGTTATGGGTATGTATATACACTCAACCACAAAAGTGAAGCGTTTCAAAACTTTAAGGAATTTTATAAAAGGGTAGAAACACAACACAACACAAAGATAAAACAGATAATGACGGACAGGGGGTCTGAGTTCTTGTCAAGGGAATTTTCGAATTGGTTAAAGAAACAGGAGATATTACATTTTACTTCTTCGCCGTTCTCCGCATTCCAAAACGGAGTGTCAGAACGAAAAAACGGTGTTCTGCAGACCATGGTGAGGTGCGTGCTAGAAGATGCAGGGCTAGGACAATCTTTCTGGGCAGAGGCACTCACATACTCCAACTACACCCTGAACAGACTGTGGTCTAGTATAGTGGGCAAAACACCTTACGAGGTTATGTACAACAGGAAACCCCAGATAGCACACCTGCACATATTTGGGGTTACTGCAGATGTGCATATTCCGAAACAATTGAGACGTAAGGGAGACAAGGTGTCAAGGAGACTAAGGTTCATGGGGTATGAATCTGGAACAGAAGGGTACAGATTCATTGACAAAAACAACAGATTTGTCATATCTAGAACAGCAGTATTCCATGAAAACACAAACTGGTCCAAGATACACCTCAACGAAGTACTCCCCAGGCAGGAAATTACAAATGACATAAGGGATGAGGGCAAACAAGACACAGCAGAAACCAAGGCACACGAAAAACACAAACCCAAGCTCCAAGGATAACTAGCAAAGAATGGAAAGAAGACCACCCAATCATAAAAGTAGACTCACTCACACAAAAGGAAACCAGGTACATGCACGACACAGAAACACAACCCAGTAGACCCATAAGGCAAAACAGAAATAAGATCCCAAAAAGACTTGAAGATTACGTACTATCCATACACACAACCAAGATAACACCCAACTCATATGAAGAGGTACTCAGGTTGCCACAGGAAGAGAGGATTAGGTGGGAACAAGCCATGGAGAAAGAGATGGCCAGCTTGAGAGAACTAAATGTATACACCCCATCTAAGGCCCCAGCAAACAAAACACTCATTGGAACAAAGTGGGGCTTGAAAATTAAAGAACTTGAAGACAACAAGACCCTATATAAGGCTAGACTCGTATCACAGGGGTTTGCACAGAAATACCCTGAGGACTATACGGATACATACTCACTCACTGTTAGGGCTGAAAGCGTCAAGAGCGCCCTAGTAATAGCATCCATACTAGGCCTCGAAGTTTACCAATTTGATGTGCAGACAGCCTATCTACATGCAGAATTAGACAAGGAAATCTTTGTCAAAGCACCCCCTGGGAAAAATACGCAAAAGGGAGATACTTGGCTATTAAACAAAAGTCTGTATGGACTGAAGCAGTCTGGAAAGAGGTGGTATGAATGTGTAGTGAAAATCCTCAAGAATATGGGCTACGCAGCCACTTCTGCTGACCTCTGCTTCTTCATCAAGAGAGAATGCACTTCCATTGAATACGTGCTCGTTTACGTAGATGATATTTTATACTTTGGCCAACACAAACGGAAATGCGACGAATTCGCAGAGAAACTTGGGAAACATTTCGCACTGAAAACACTACGGAAAGTGAACAAGTACCTAGGGGTCCAAATCAACAAGACACAAAAAGGATTCAGAATCTCCCAGAAAGAAAAAATATTAGGACTCTTACACAAATGCAACATGAAGGATGCCAAACCTTGTGAGACACCCATGCAGACTGACTTCCTGAAACACATGAACGAAGAAGGCGAACCATTCAACGACAACACACTATATAGGTCAGTCATCGGGTCCCTACTATACATAGCCAACTGACAAGGCCTGATATCCTTCTAGCAGTCAACCTCTTGTCCAGGCACGTCAGCGAACCAAGAAAATATCACTGGGAGGGGGCGAAGCATATACTCAGATACCTTAAATACAGTTTAGTTTAGTTTTAGTTTAGTTTTATTAAATTTGTATACCGCCCTACTCCCGAAGGACTCAGGGCGGTGAACAGGCACAGGATAAAATACAGAAATACAAAAGTTAAGAACAATTTAAAACCAAATTAAATGATTTAGCCCACGACAATTAAAATCCCAATAAATTTAAAACAAATTAAAATTTCAATTTAAAATTTAAAAGAAAGGGGAGAAAAATTAGGCCAGGCCGGCTTGCTGGAATAAGAGGGTCTTAAGAGCACGGCGGAAGGTGCGCAGATCCGGAATCCTCTGTATCTCCGGGGGGAGCTCGTTCCAGATAGTAGGTGCCCCCACAGAGAAAGCCCTCCCCCTGGGGGCCACCAGTCGACACTGCTTGGCTGACGGCACCCGGAGGAACCCCTCTCTATGAAAGCGTACCGGCCGGTGGGAGGCTATTTGTGGTAGTAAGCGGTCTCGTAAATAACCAGGTCCTAAGCCATGGAGCGCTTTAAAGGTGGTAACCAAAACCTTGAAGCGCACACGGAAGACCACCGGGAGCCAGTGCAGCTCGCGCAGGAGAGGTGTTACACAGGAGCGCCATGTTGCTCCCATAACCACCCGCGCGGCCGCACTCTGCACCAGTTGGAGCCTCCGCGTGCTCCTCAAGGGGAGCCCCATGTAGAGAGCATTACAATAGTCCAGGCGGGAGGTGATGAGGGCATGAGTGACTGTGTGTAGGGAGTCCCGATCCAGAAAGGGACACAACTGGCGAATCAGGCGAACTTGATGAAAAATCCTCCCGGTCACGGCCGTCAAGTGCTCTTCTAAAGACAGCCGTGAATCCAGGAGGACACCCAAGTTGCGAGCCCTCTCCGTGGGGGCAAGCGATTTGCCCCCAATAGTCAGCGATGGCGTCAACTGACTATATCGGGACGTCGGAAACCACAGCCATTCTTGGTTTTGGATGGGTTGAGCCTGAGCCTATTCCTCCCAGCATAGATGCCTGCCTGTGTTTAGAGCCGGTGAACTCCAAGGAACCACTATTAACATGCTACGCGGATGCTGACTGGGCAGGCGACACAAAGAGCAGAAAAAGCACCTCAGGCTACGTATTCTTCATTAACAACTGCCCGGTACACTGGTACACCGGAAAACAAAATCTGGTGGCCACATTCACAGCAGAAGCAGAGTACATCTGCCTATCAAAGGCAGCCAATAACTTGACGTGGTTTGATGACCTGCTTTCTAACATCTGGACTGAACCAACTTATCCGATCATTGTGCATGAAGACAATAAAGCAGCCATAGACATTTCTACGACAGACGCTGTGAGCCAAAGGTCAAGGCACATAGACATCAAACACAAACATGTCAGGCAGTTAACAAACATTGGGTTCATCAAAGCTGTACACTGTGAGACTGTCGAGCAGATTGCTGACATCTTAACAAAACCCTTACAAAATAAACAGCACGCTTACCTAACTTCGAAATTGGGTGTACATATACAACACGCACACACTACCCCAACCGTTAGGCATTTAGAGGGGGATTTGTTACATGTAAATGCCCAACATTGTGTGCCCATGGCAGGGCAAGGGTTAATACCACCCAACCTACCCAGCACTTCCCATGACCCCTCCTCACCTTGACCCCGCCTTCCAGGTATATAAGGTTTTGTCCAGGAGTCCATGTTGCATTCCAGAAGTGTATCTGCAAGAGATAAGTAACATGTGTTAATAAACAAGTATTGATTCAAACTCAACCTTGTGCTGGAGTTATTGGACTAGATCCTTAGAAATACTTAACAGAAATCACTATTGCATAAATGAACTCTTTGCTTCTAAATGATCATGTTCATAATAAAGACATGCCATGTTTGAAACAAGAGCAGGCTGAAGATGTTTTGCTGCCAGTGAACATAATACCTCCATTCCATCATAAGAAGGCTAACTTAACATGGAAACTTTTCAATATATTTCTTACTTTGCCTAGCGGAAAGGTAGGCCCTGCTCAATTAGAGTTCCAAAACTGAGGAATAGCTACTCAGATGGCTGAAATTCAATTCAAATTCAGTGTATTAAAGTCAACTTTGACAGGTTGCCCTTTGGCTGAGTTCTCATGAGACACAAAGAAGGGGTTTGCTTAGAGAGATCTAGAGGATATACTTGTGGCCGCTTGAATAAGAGGCTTTAATGCCCTAATAACTTTGTGCAAAGACTTATTTTAGTGAAGGGTTATTTTAGTGAAATCTTGTTTTGTTTTGATAACAGTTTGAAATACAATGGAAGAAAGGAAGGAAAATCCCCCTTTAATGAGGTGGGAAACCTCTCCTTCTCCAGATGTTGTTGATTTATAACTTCCTTTTGTTGCAGTTCATCAGTTGATTTTGTGCTGGGAGATATACTTGCCAATTCCTGCCATACAACATTAGGTATATACAGTATAAGAAGGGATAAAAGTCTAATAATAACAATGGTCCCAGATTCAAAACAATCCCCTACTCTTTTGACTTCCCACCGTGAGTAGCAAGACTGATTTTGGGAGAGCCCTTCAACCTCTTAAGAAACAACAAAGGGCTCCTTACCGCAGGAAATAGTTGTAGATAGCTTATGATACACAGAGGGCTGAGTAGTTCATTTCTTGCTGTGGCCAACCTCAAACAGAATAGTTATGTTAATCACTTAGTTTGTTTTCCTCATTCTTCAGCTATAATTATGAAGGCAAAGGAAGTTATTCAGAAAGATTTCCCCATATTTGCTTACCTGATGCAGAGAGGAAATTAAAAGCCTCAAAACCAAAATAATGTCGTTGAAATAGACATACACAATAGGTAGATGGTTCCCATGTAATTGGGGGCCTGATTTTTAAAGGCAGACAAATAGCCCTGGGGCATTCAATTGTAGATCAGGGATTGGAAATGACAGGTGGTTCTTATAGAACAATTGGTTACAGTACAATTGGGAACTCCCCCAGACTCAGACAAGTTGAGAAAATGTTTATTAAAAATGTCATGCATGTCAATTTTATTCAGCAATATATTCCAGTTAATAAAACAGAGGGAAACCAGTACTATAGGAAGCTCATAGGACCAAAAAAATGATTATTTTGTTTTGTTTCAGCTCTTTTGTGTCTGTTACATTTCCTGTAGTAATCTTGTCATTTTTTTTCCTTTTTAAATTTCATTTGGACCTTTTAATTTAATTTTTGTATTTCTTGTTTCTAAACATTGTTGTTTTACTTTGATTATTCTTTGTAAGGATGTTTTTATTGCTCTTTTGTAAACTGCTCTGGGCTGAATTGGAAAGAAGAGCAACGCTGAAAAAGTGTAAAATTAAATATACAAACACCCAAAGTATTGTCATCACCTTTTAGAATGAAGATGATTGTCTCAGGTGAGTCTGTTAATCACAGAAATTAAAATCAATGTAAAATATCATTGATAACTCTTTTTCTTATTTACAGGGATTTGCAGAAGGAAACATCGCCTCACACATGTTGCGATGATTTGAACAGTTTTATAGGCTTGAAAAATATGATCATGTAAGGGGTGTTTATTATTTTAATTAGATAAAAACTTCTCTCAGTAAGCAGGTAATGGAAACGTAGAAAGGGGTGTCTTCTCAACTACTTTGAGGCCAAGTTATCATGGACTTTAAAGATAATACCTAGTGCTTTGTGTTCCTTCTAGAAACAAATTACCAGCGGTTGCAGTGTTTGTAGCACAGAAATAATGCAGCCTGTGACTGGTCTGATTGCTGAGTTCTGCACCAATTGAGTTTCCTGACAACACACAAAAGCAGCCCCGTGAAGTGTGTCTTAGAGTAATCAAACTTGAAGGTTACCAGCACACACACTACAGTTTTAAGGGTATTTTCTTCCTGAAAGGGAAGCAATTAGGTTATCCACTAAAGTTTATCAAAGGTAATCCTGATATTGCCTTAATCTAGAGAAGCAGAGTCAGATCTAAAAGTACCCCAAACTGATTATTTTAGAAGAACATAATCCCATTCAGAAAGCCAGATCTACTATTTCTTTGAAACTATGATCTTTCACGAAGAGAATCTTACCTTTGTCTGAATTTAGTTCCAACTCATTCTCCCTTATCAACCTATTCCTAATTATAAGTAGACATTCAAGGAAATCATACCATTACTGGTAGTCAAGTCCTCACCCTACTGGCAGCCCCAAATCCAAATCTCCTAAAGTTTAATGAAAATACTGAAAAGCATTGAGAGACAAATTAGAGCCTAGAGGAAAATAATTTTCATTTCAAGGAGCAAACCGTCTCTAAGCAACATTGCTTGAAATCCATCCGAGAGATAGGAATAGAACTATTGCAATCCCTTCTGTTCCCAGATCTATCAGGCAATCTAGAAGGCTACTATGATTGATGGTATTAAAAGCCACTGAGACATCAAGAAGAACCAACAGTGTTACGTATTGTATATAGTGTATAGTTATCAGTTGAAGTTCTCATTCTGGTCCTCTGTTGGAGCGGGAAAATACTCTCTCCTAATTGGTGGGCTAGGGTTAGGGTTAGGGTATAAATTAGAGAGCATAGGCTAGATGCTGGGAAGATAGATATCAGCCCATCTCCGTCTCTCCTCCAAATCTCTGTTACATGAGTCAAGTAGACTTTAGTTATTCCCTTTATTACCAAAATCAGAGGAGTACTACCAGTTTTTTATTGTAGCCCAAAACCCTATGTCATAGGCAGTGGTGAAATCCAATTTTTTTTACTACCGGTTCCGTGGGCGTGGCTTGGTGGGCGTGGTGTGCCTTGGTGGGTGTGGCTTGGTGAGCGTGTCAGGAGAAGGATACTGCAAAATCTCCATTCCCACCCCACTCCACGGGAAGGATACTGCAAAATCCCCATTCCCTCCCCACTCCTGGGAGAAGGATATTGCAAAATCTCCATTCCCACCCCATTCTGGGACCAGCCAGAGGTGGTATTTGTCGGTTCTCCAAACTGCTCAAAATTTCCACTACCGGTTCTCCAGAACCTGTAAGAACCTGCTGGATTTCACCCCTGGTCATAGGGCTGAAGTACCTAATGGCAAAATTACCTAGAGAGGTGGTGGTGTATATCTTAGTATGAACAGGACATTAAAATGCTACAATATTTAGGAGTTCTTTCATTTTTTAAAATAAACTTTTCTTGTTTTCACATCCTCTTTTTTAGTAAGTATATCTTGACAGAAATGTACATACATATAAAAAGAACTGAAAGCATTTAGTTTAAAATAAAGCTAGAGCTGTCAATATGAGACTTTATGTGGGAACTGATGCTTGACTATTAACCCCATCAATATGTATAGGGCATATTGGACCTTAGATATGGGAACAGAAAGCTTGACAGTTGATAAACTGATTCTCACACAGGTGAAATGGAGTAATAATTTTATACCCCTGATATTTTTCCATTGATGCAAGATTCAGTAAAATATATGCATCAGAACCTGCATTTATGAAAGATATTGATATTTCAGTCCATACATTTCAGTTCAAGAGGTGTGGTTGATATTAACGTTGCTGCAATCAGTGAGTCATGGTTAATTAGAAAACAGTAAACAGGTTGAACTGGAATTAGTCTTTCATCTTCAGACTTCTGAGAGAATGGATTTGCTTGGGTTTCATAACAGAGGGAAAACCAGGTCTAAGGACTAAAACAGCTGCTACTGTTATTAGGAATCTCGTCTTTATTAAGATATGGATGGAGAGATTTCAAAAAGAGTTCCTGGACTGTGCCCGTAAGGTGAATCCCAGTTTCACTTTTCTCTGTATATGCATTGTCCTAGTAACAGGAGGACACTGAGTTGCCTTTTTGTAGCATACCTGTCAACATCTGAGATGGCAACATCGCAGCTATGCCCCTGCGCGCCGTTTCAGAGTTGCCACAAGCGAGGGGGAAGAGGGTCGCATGGGGTGCACTGCTGGGTGTCGGGTGTTGGCCCCGGTAAAGTAAAGCAGCAGCGCCCGAAGAGTCTTTGCTTGCTTCAGCAAACCTGGAGCTCCTTTGCTGGAGCAATCCTGGAACAATCCTTGCCTAGCCCTCATAATCAGCTGGCAGGCAGAAGCCGGTAATGCTGGCTAGTTTCCAAATTTGGAAATGTGCCAAGTCGAGAGACCAGTAAAGGGGAATTGCTCTACCAACAAATGGTGTGACCTCGTTTCTTACTGGCTAGGCTCAGAACCGTGAGAATAACTATTTCTCACTTAGTAATTGGTTTTTAAGGCATAGGTCAAAACAAATATGCTAGTTTTTAATATATCAAGAGACTCTCTATGATTTTATTTGCAGAGACATTTTAACATTTTGTGCGAAATGCTTCAGTTAATATATAGATAGATAGGTAGATTGCAAAGATTTATTTCCTTGATTAAATTCAAAAGAACTCACTGCAGGCACATTGAAGAGAAAGTGGATGAGACTTTATATTCCCAAGGTGGTGACTTTTTATTCAGTTAGTATAATAATATGCTGCCACTTCTGACTCTATTAGTGACTCATTGGCTTAAATGTGTAATGGGAAAAGAGCTTCAATATGGCATCTGTTTTATAAATGAACAAGTCCCCTTATTGCAACCATTTCAGCACCCACAACTTGCTCACTGGAATGTGTTTTGGGCTGCCTTTAATGACTATTCAGGAACTGTAATTAATACAAAACAAAGCCACACACATGCTGGTGGGTGAGACAGCCATTAAACTTGTGTTACAGGGACTTCTGTGGCTTCTAATTGGTTTCCAGGTGTAATTCAAAGTGCTGGTTTTAACCTTTAAATGTCTATATGAATAAACATCCATTCCTAACCATAATGAAACATATGGTACATTGTGGCATCACAACATAAGTGCAACCTTTCATAGTGGTGTCACAATGCCATTGCCTCCACCCTCAGTAACTACCTGGCTTATCAATTTATTTTCCCATATTTTCACTCATATACCTATAGTTATATTATAACCAAAATTTGCAGCCCATTTTGCCATACAGTCCTTAACCTGTTCATCTTGTTTCAAATCTTAATAATTTATATATTTTTAGCTTTGATTGTCATTTGTACATGGCTCTACTTCAAATTCTGTTTTCTTCTCAATTCCTATTGTCCTTTTGTGTGTGCTAAATCTCTATTTCATCAAAAAATATTGAAAAGAATAAAACACTGAAAAGAATATCCTTCTTGATTGTAATCAATCAAAAAGATGGCAATGAAGAAAATGAAACAATATGAGAGACATGGCGGCGGGGGGGGGGGAAGTCACAGTGGATAGCAGACCACAAAGAAACACTTCTTAAAAAGAGGATATATTTATATTTTATATGTTATGTTTTTGTCATAATGTGTAGTAATAAAACAATAAAACTTTTTTTAAAAAAGAATATCCTTCTGTACCTAATTGTTCTCTTCATCTTAATTTCCCCCTTATGTTGTATTTAGATTTAGATTTATGCCATATTCTTAATAAAATAGTTCTCAGATAAAAAAAATTATACTCACCTTCAGTGTGTCACACCATAGGAAACTATGTCATCCAAATCTGAAATTGTAATCTTCCAACTCCAACATTCTTTTATTTCCTATCAATATTCACTCCTTCATCCATACTAAAAAATATGCAGTAAAATACAATTTAAGACCGGATAACACTAATCCTCATTCTTTTGCATTTTGTAAAAACTTATTTTATTCTCTATTTACTCCTGCCATATAAACCTTGATAAGTCTTTTTGCCATTGTTTAAAAGCTACATAATTTCAATATTGATATTGTCTGGAATAAAAACACCATTCTAGATAGTACATTTATTTTTATCACTAATATTCTACCAAGCAATGAGAATTTTAACTTTTCCCTGTTTAAGATATTTTTCTTAATTTCATTCCACACTTTAACATAATTATGCTGGTACAACATACAATTCATATTACAGCATATTAGTAATACCTAAATATTTTACCTTCTTCTCAATTTGAAAGCCGATTTTTATCTTTTTGTTTTGGCTTCATCTGCAGTTAACCTTTCTAATTTTTTTTTTTAAATTTTAAATGCAGCTAACTCACCAAACTCTTTTAATTTATCCAGATCCATTAGTATTTCTATTCCTTCCAGGAAATTTTCTACTATTAGATCATCTGCAAATGTTCTTCATTTATATGTCTCCTTTTTCACTTGTACTCCTATATTTCTATCATCCTGTCTTTTGTCCCTAGTGAATATCTCTAGTGCTAAAATAAACAATAATGTTGCAAATGTGATTTTAATTGGTTTTTAAGTTTTCAAAGTGATCTAGTTTGGTGTAGTGGTTAAGATACCACTTTAGAAACCAGGAGACCACGAGTTCTAGTCCTACCTCAGGCAAAAAGCCAGTTGAATGACCTTGAGCCAATCACCTGGGAAGAAGGCAATGGCTAACCACTTCTGAAAAACCTTGCCAAGAAAAGTGCAGGAACCTGTTCAGGCCGTCTCTGTGAATTGGATATGACTGAATGAAAGAAAAATGTAAAGAGATGTTTCCATCACACAAATGACTTAGTAGATGTAGGATTGCATTCCCTATGTATTACTAAGACTATTTTGGGTTAAACCAAAACTCCTGAGAATGGTTGATTGGGTCGCTTGACCTACTGTTAGTTTTCCCACAATATAGTAACCCTGAACTAGTTAAGTATGTTATGTTATAGGTTTCCAAGGATCTAACCCAATGACTCCAACACGAGGTAAGTTTGATTCAAGGTATCTTTATTTATATCATGTTTACTATTACAGGTAATCATCTGGAGTAAACTTGGGACCTCTGGACAACACCTTTTATACCTGGGAGGCGGAGCTAAGGTAAGGAGGGATCAAGGGAAGGGTCTGGTGGATGGATGTTAACCCCTGCCATGCCATGGTCAATGTGTGTTAGGCATTTATATCTAACATGTTATAGGAGCATGCCAGTGGTGAAATCAATTTTTTTTTACTGCCGATTCTGTGGGCATGGCTTGGTGGGCATGGAATGGCTTGGTGGGCATGTCAGGGGACGGATACTGCAAAATCTCCATTCCCACCCCACTCCAGGGGAAGGATACTGTAAAATCTCAATTCCCTCCCCACTCCACTAACCTGCTTTTCAGCTCTGTTCCTGTGCAGGACAACAAAAGAAGACCCATCCGATCAGCTGGGACTCAATCAGCTGGGATTCGGGAGGCAGCCAATAGATCGGGGGGCAGGGCCAGTCAGAGGTGGTATTTGCCGGTTCTCCGAACTACTCAAAATTTCTGCTACCAGTTCACTAAAACCGGTCAGAACCGGTTGAATACCACCTCTGGAGCATGCCCAATGAATAATAATTTGCTCTTCTCTGAAAATGAAATAATGATGAGCTAATTCTATTTACTATAGAGCATAATGATAAGGAAGCAGGCTTAAACCCAACAGAAAAAGGAGAGTTTATATTGTATTTCTAAGATTTCATATATCTTTACATTAAATGATTGTATCTTTTTTTCATGCATGGAATTGAGATATTTAATCAGGTTATAAATTATGCTTTGGGTACCCAGGATACAGATTAAAAAATATCTTATTTTTATAGAAATTTCAAAGTAGAGACTGGAGGCCCCCAGTCAAGAATCTTGTAGCAGTGGAATTTTTTTCAGTGGGGGAAGTTGGGTTAAATGAAATCAGAAGCCCCTCCCAGTTCTGATTTCTTGAGAGCAAGGCCATCTGTGAGCCTTAAAGAAAAAAGCAATAGGAATGCCAGCTTCCTCTGAAGCTCTCATTTTCAGTAAGTGTTAACAGAGGAGATAACATTACAGCCTTCATCTTCATTTTATGCAGGGATTATTCACTGAAGAGCTGTGGCATGAGGGAAATTTTGAGAACACCATTTCAAAAGAGAGACAAGAAGGGTTGGAATCAAATAGATTTAAACAAGTGCCTTCACGCAAAAATTGCCATGGCAACACTTAGCTTTTATCCTTTTCCACACCCCCTCCTTATGAGTAAAAACTGTTTCGTATTTCTGTTTGTGACGGCCCCTACCCTAGTTTTCTTCCTTGTGGCACGCTAGTGCAGCATATGATGATTTCAATTTAAAAGTGGGGATGCAATGTATGGACTGGCAATCCCCATCTTTTCCTTACAGCAAGGCTGATCTGGCTTGATGTACAGCTAATTTTAAACGGCTCTTGTATAGAACATGGTCTATCACACTATTGAAGAAAGAATGTGCATTTGTATTTCTGATTACAATTTTTTTGTTCTAGCAGCAGCGGCAGCAGCAAAAATATAGTTTTTTTTTATTTTGAAAAATCAGAAAGCACTGTTAGCGGATCACATATTTTTAAATAAAGAACACTGGCATTGTAACTGGATTATTCAGCACTGAAAAATGGATGCTTGCTAAGCAAATGATGAGTCATAAATTTCAGAAACACTCCATGCAGTGCTGGAATAATTGAATGCTGCAGCACTGGAGAGAAACTTTGCATTTACACCTTCAGTTACTATCAATGTCTCACAGATTGCTATCAGTTTCCAGGGTCAGTGGGATATTTGTACTAAGAAAAAAAAATGCACAAATGCCTAGCATATCTGTGCTTAACTAAATTTGCAATACTCACATGAGATCTTCCTGTATTTAAAAGATTATCTATAGGCTGGCTGGCTGACCTTGTCAGAGCTTGGAAGCTAAGCAGGATTGAGCCTAGTAAATAGTTTGAGAGTACACCCCCAGGGAACACCAGGTTAGACTTGGAGATTTGAAAAAAAAACCCACTCTGAATGAAAACAATGGTTCATCCCTTCCAAGAAAACCACAAAAATATATCCATAGTCACACCAAATCCTCCCAATTTAAGAGAAATTTTTATAGGATTAATTAATATTTTTCTGGAATTAGCTGGGATCTTTTACTTATCCCAGTAAAAGCTTCTCCTGAGCACAATTTTAAAAAAACAGCCATGGGGAATTTAGAGTAACTTGCACCCCTCACCCACACACACACCCAAACTATCCAAGTCTTGTATAATGTAATATGATTATCCTTTGTCTACACCAAATTTAAATGAATTGGGAAGCAGTGCAGGCATTATTGGTGGATTACAGATGTCCTGGCATTCATGAACGCTGTGTCGCATTGCTATTCCCTGTTTATAAGATCTATTTTTTTTCTTTTCTTTGTAGGCCGATTGAAAGAGTGTTTTAAAAGTTCTCAAAGGTCTGTGTGGATGGCAATCACCGTATGATCTTGAGAAATGAGTTCCACAACCACAGGGCAACCATAGAGAAAGCAATGGCTGTCATAGGAAGGGTCTTCCCAATCTCCTAAGAGGAGGTTTTCTATCAGGGGTCTTAGGAAAAAGCCATTTAGGGCTTCCAGAATAGTAAAATCTTATATTAAATGGAAACAAATTGGCAACCACTATAAAGATTTCAAAATTGGTATAAAATGGTCTCTGCAGGATATTCCAGAGATTAATTTTATACTACTTGAAGCTTCCAAGAGATACACAAGAAAGTCATACATAGTGCTTATTAGGGAAATCAAACTTGAAAGTTTGAGGTTATTGTTGTCTAGGAAAGACACAAATGGACCAACAGCCAAAGCTGATAAAAAGTACTCTGACTCCACCTGTCCTAAAAACAGTCCTTTTTAGTGAATTGATATATTATCAGGAATTAAGTATGGCTGGGGGAATATCTGCATTAATGGAGTGGGCATGAAAAAGACAGATGTCATCTGACATGAGCCACTACGTATAATACAGTGCATATTGGTGCCGAAAATCATAAGTACTACAAACAAAGGGTATCAGAGCTAGTAGAGACCGATGAGAATTCTTGGAGTAATGATAAATTGTTCAATGAAAGTGCCCATATAGTGTTCATCTGCTGGAGAGGAAAAAAAACACCAGCATATTAGGGATAAGAAGAAATGCTAATGAAAATGGAGGTGCCAATATTATAATACCCTTACAAATCAATGATATGACTGCATCTGGAATAGTGCATTTTCAGAGGAGAGCTACTAAGATAATCAAGGAGTTGAAGGAAAGATTGCAATATCGGAGCCTTTTTAATCTAAAAAGCATAGATAGATCTGAAAGATTCTCTTAAGGTAGCCAAAGTTGATAACAAATAGAGAATAGGCTTGCAAAATTATGTGTGACCTAAATACACGGAACTTATTTCCCCTCCCCAAAATACTAGAAGCAAAGATTACCCATTTAATCTTGGGAGGACAAACAAAAGGAGATTCTTTTTTTAAAAAAAAATTAACAACATATAATTAAGCTTTGGAATTTGCTACCATGAGATGTCCTGGTAACCAGCCTGGCTGACTTCAAAAAAGGGTTGGACCAATTCATGGAGTCATGGAGATTAGTGGCTGTTAACCTTGAAAGCAGAGAGATTACCTCTGAAAGATCTCTTGGGAGACTAGTGGATCTCCTTGTTTTCCAAATGCCTCTGTTAAACAGAAAGGCAACCTCCCCCCACTTCCTCAGGGGGTGATTAGTAATATTTGGCAGGTCCATTCCCAGATCTTCATGGTATGCAGATCAGTGATGGGTTGCTACCGGTTCACACCGGATCGGGCGAACCGGTAGCAGCGGGAGGCTCTGCCCACTCAGCTGGACACTTCTGCGCATGCGCAGAAGCATCCCGTGTGCACACCCACAAGCGAACCAGTAGCGACGGGATTTGGAACCTGCCCCTGATACAGATATAAGACAGGTTGGACAAGGATGAAGTGGGCACATGGCACTGCCCCAAACAGCCTATTTCCATCCTTAGGAATTACAAGATAGTCAGTCCCAGTATGTAGACCAAACCAAATAATCAACTCCATACGAAGACTAAAACTATTTTTTAATCAACATTGGCTACATTAACAGAATCTTCCAAACGTGTCCATGATTTACTTGCCCACCCCCGCTTTACATTCATGTGAATTAGGAAGGCGTCTGCCTGAATCTTTTGAGCATCACTTTTTCTTGCTTGGGGCTTAAGCCATGTTTTTCCCTTGTTGTTTTGATAATGGATCTGACCTATTTCTGTCCGGGTCATCTTCCTTACTCTCTACATCAGCAGTCTCCAACCTCTCTGACTTTGTGGACCAGCGGCGGTGGCAGGGCAGGGGGGAGAGGAGATGGTTTCATACTTTGCCACTGCTTGCGGGGCCCGATTCCCAATGGGCCACAGACCAGTACTGTGCCACCCTTGCTCTACATTATCAGATGTGAGACAAATTTTCCCTACCTGAGCTGTAGTGTCTTTCTTTGCTGCTTCAGCACATTGAACCCTTCCAGGTACCGTAAGGCTGACTCTGTGGTGGTTCTGAAAGAATGCTGGAGGCAAATGTATATATAATTCTAATGAGTTCCCTATCCTAAAACTCATCTGAAACATCAACAGAAGCTCTTATAAGAACCCTCCTATAGACAGCCTTTTTTGGCTAGATCAGTTATCATAGTTCTACATGAGAATGGTTATATATCAAATTTTAACCAGACAGTGGCTCATTTATCTCAATGGGATCACCCATGAAACACTATCCCATCCAAAAGAAGAGGCCAAATTGAGTATGTGACTACTGATGTGTGTTGGCTTTGTGATCAGTTATTGTGGCTGCTCTAAACTCTTGAGCCACCCAAACAAGCCATATCCAAAATGGATTGAAATAATCCACCAGGAATAATCTATAATACTCCAGTGTCAACCACAGTCAACTTGGCCCAGCATTGTAATGGTAGGTACATAAGAGGCAGGGGTTGGTTCTACTTACCTTTACTAACGGTTCGCAGCGGGGCCACGCCAGGGGTGGGTTCTAAATTTTTTTACTACCGGCTCTGTGGGCGTGGCTTATTTTGTGGGTGTGGCTTGGAGGTCATGTGACTAGGTGGGCATGGCTAGCTGGCCAGAGTCATTTCTGGAAGGTCCTCGCATTTACGACCAAGTCCTCGCACTTACAACCCGACTCATTTGTTTGCTTTTAACTGATCAGCTGTAGGATGGCCCTTTGAAGCCCCGCGGCAAAAGTTTAAACAGTTTTTTTCCCTCTAGTCATCAGCTGGGACTCAGGAGGCAGCAATAGATTGGGGGTGGGGCCAAATAAAAGGTAAGAATAACGTGGGGGTGGGTGGGGGGGGAGGAAGGGGGGGGGAGAACCGGTTCAGTGACGTCATATCGTCACCGCTATGGGCTCGGCCGAACCGGACCGAACCGGGAGGAACCCACCACTGGGCCGTGCGCATGCAGTCGCTTTGCTCACATGCGCGTGTGCTCTTCTGCGCATGCGCAGAAGCATTTTGATGACGTCAAGATTGGTGGGCAGAGCCTCCCACCGGTTTTACTACATATTCAACATAGATTACGTCTCTGTTAGTAGACTTAGCTCTAACTTGTCAATTAAGGTGGAGTCTCTTAAACATTTTTTCTGAGATTGCTGAAATGCTTTATCTGAGATAAGCATTCATATCTTTGTTCCCTGTTTCCCCTGAGTAAGCCTTTCTGAAACCACTACAATGTAAACACAGTCAGATAGCATGTGTGACAATTATATTTCTTTTGAGATTATCTTTTGACTCCATAAGTACACACATTTGGAATGTTGAAAACATTTGACGGATGCTTTCACAGAATAGTTGCTACAAAATACCCTCTGAGGTTTCCCTGAGGGCAAACTGGTGTGATTGCTCCCCTTTCCCATCATTCTTTTTAGAGTGCCCCCCTCTCTACTATCTCTTTTTAAGCTAAGCTTTTTCAAAAAAATGTCTTGAGCAAGTAATAATTTTGCTGCACTTGATTGAAGCTATCAGCCAGTTATATTTTTGGAGAACACTTATGTGTTCTCCTAGAGGCACTCTTGTAAATCAAAATGATGCCAAAAGCTTGTGCTTACAACACTGCAGTTTGCAACACACATTGCTGCACAAGCATACACATCATGTATCTTTGTATATAAATTAAATATCTAAAAGAAATAACAGGCGTGGAAGTATCTGCATGTACCACATGATTTATTCCTAAATTATATGAACAATTTGAAAGAATTATTTCTGAAATACTTTCTAAATGCCTTCCTGCTATAGCCAATACATTGTTTGATGTTATTCTGTCAAATATATATCTATATCTATCTTAGTCTCCTTAGTCTCCCAATGGGCAGCAGAGTGTTTGCTGGCTGCCAGAAAGAAAAAAAAGCCTAGAAACTAGTGGATTGTGATTTCACTGAACTAGGGCTGCAACGTTTCAACGAAGTCTCATTCGTCATCTTCAGGCTGGTGTTTTCGGCTTCGTGCTTCTAGGAGCAATGTGTGATCACAGCTGTTTCTTCCTTTTAACTGCCAGTGGGGATGTGAACTGATTGGGTGGGAGCTTGGCTGTGTTCTGATTGGGTGGAGATGTGTTCTGATTGGTTGGAGGTTTGGTTGTGCTCTGATTGGATGGGTGGTTGGCTGTACTCTGATTGGCTATGGGTGTGTTCTGTTTGGGTAGGGGCTTGGTTGTACTCGGGTTAGTCTGAGTTGCAGGGGGATTTGAGCTGGTGAGCTGCGTTTCTGTTGTTTGGCTTCGCGTTCGTGGTCGTGCCACATCTTCATGGTGGTTCCTCTTTTCTGACTGAGTTTTTGTGTTCTTCAATGCGTGCACTTATTCTTCTGTTGGTTTGTCCAATGTATGTGGTGGGGCAGGCGGTGCATGGGATTTCATATACTCCTTGATTTTCTAACTCAATTTTGTCTTTGGGGTTTCTTAGGATGGTGGATATTTTTCAGTTTGTGCAGAATACTGTCTTGATGTTGTGTTTGTGGAGGATCTTGCTGATTCTGTCTGTGGTGCCTTTTATGTATGGGAGGAGGGCTTTGCTGTTTTCTTGTTCTCTGTCTTGGATTTTAGTGGGGGTTTCTTTTTGGATTAGGTTGGTAATCTTATTTCTTTGGAATCCATTGGATGTTAGTACGTTAGTGTGTAGTTCGGTTTTTAGGTGTTGTTCATCAGCTAAGCGTTTTGTTCTGGAGATGAGTGTCTTGGCTATGGAGTTGATCTGTGCTGGGTGGTGGTGTGAGAGTGCGTGCAGATAGCGGTTTGTGTGTGTTTTCTTCTGGTAGATGGTGTGTCCTAGGGAGCCATTGGATTTCTTGTAGACTAAGACATCCAGGAAGGGAAGTTGGTTGTTAGCTTCTGTTTCCATGGTGAACTGTATTTTGGGGTGTAGGCTGTTGAGGTGTGTGAGGAAGTTGTCCAGTTTTTCTTTCCCGTGTGGCCAGATTATGAAGGTGTTGTCTACGTGTCTGAGCCAGAGTTTGGGTTTGTGATCAGATTTTTCTAGAGCTTGGGTTTCAAAGTGTTCCATGTAGAGGTTTGCAATGACAGGTGAGAGGGGTGATCCCATGGGTGCTCCTTCTATTTGTTTGTATTTTTGTCCATTATAGATGAAGTATGTGTTGGATAGGCAGTGGTTGGTCAGATCTAGGATGTGCTTGGGGGGGTTATATTTGTTTTGGATAGCTGTCAAGGCTTCTTTGATTGGCACTTGGGTGAAGAGGGATATGACATCAAAGCTCACAAGTAGGTCGCTGGGCTGTAAGTTTTGTTTCTTTATGATCTCTATGAACTGGAATGAGTTTTTTACGTGTGAGGTGATGGATTCTGCATAGGGCTGTAGTTGTTTGGCAAGAAATTTGGCTAGGTTTTGTAGAGGTGAGCCTATGGAGCTGACTATGGGTCTAAGTGAGGTTCCTTCTTTGTGTATCTAGAGGAGACCATAGAGTTTAGGGCATCTAGATGTATACATACATACATACATACATACATACATACATACATACATATATATATATATATATATATATATATATATATATATATATATATATTGTGGGATCTGTGTTTAGGTTTGTATGTGGAGTCTTGGAGTAGGTTGGTTAATTTGGTTTGGTATCAGATGTGTTCATAACCAGATATATATATATATATTATATATATATATATATATATATATATATATATATATATATATATATGTGTGTGTAAGAAAATAGATATATATCTATATCTATATATCTTTAGCCAGGTTCTTCCTATGTAAACCAAGATTTTTATGCAACCCTAGTTCAGTGAAATCCCAATCCACTAGTTTCTAGGGTTTTTTTCTCCAGCAGCCAGCAAGCTCCCTGCTGCCCATTGGGAGACTATAAATATAATATCTTAATATAAAATAGAAATAGAAATAAAAGATAATGGAAAACTGGAAAAGGAAAGAGAATAGAGGGGATAAAGTGAGGGAAGGAGAAAAATAATTAAGAAACAAAAAGCAATGATTTCTGACTTTGTTTGGTGCAGTAAAATACATAGTAAAGTTATAATATCAACTTTTTAATTATGTCAAATAATAACCACTAGCCACTATAAAAATAACCATTTAATTGTCAAAACCCAAAGTCAACATTCCTTTTTTTTTTTCTCTTTCTTACACACAGAACTTAAAACTTTTAACTGGTTTGATTTTCAATCATTTTGAAAAGATGTGTAAACCCAAAGAAAATTATTTTGGGATATGCAATGAAATGAGAGCTTACATTGGATGTGAGGGGGAAGTTAGAGAGGTATTGGTAGAGATTGGAGAGATTTGGGTTGTGGACTATCCTTAGCCATGGAAGCTTGTTGGGTTGCAGAGCTCACCCTTTAAGACAGTTTTTGACTTCTAGTAACTGCCTATACTAGTCCCTGCAGTTTTCTTGACAAGATTTTGGAGATGAATCTCTTTCCCATGGTTAAATGTATCTCACTGACCCAAAGTCACCCAGGTCCAATGGCCAGATCACTCTTCCAATTTCTACCCTAATGCTTTAACCACTGCACCAAATTAGCTTTCATTAAGGGGTTATAGTACTGCATATTTAAAGTGTCTTCCTTAAGGCAAGCACTTTTATTGCAAAGATACACATTTCCCCAAATTTCAGTACTTTGTTATTTTGAAAGGAGTGGATCATTGAGCAGAACATGATTTGCTTGCCTGCAGACTGCTCAACATGTCGTTTCACACTCCAGAAATGCAAAGTAGTATTTTGGTCCTGTTTAGTCTACAACTTTTCATTTCCCATCATTCCTTTTGTGGATAAACCTGTATGTCGAATGGCCCTTGGCATTATCTAGTATTACACCTAAATGCACATTAATGGGTGGGGCAATGGAGATTGGATTAATCCCCATTCTCTTTGCATAAATTGACTCTATTACCAATACTTAGACCATCTTATTTATTTATTATTATTTATTAGTTTGATTTATATGCCGCCCTTCTCCGGAGACTCGGGGTGACTTACAATGCTTTTAAGCAATAGCCTTCATACTTTTGTATATACCTGCTTAGTAGGGCTTTTGGCCCCCCCTAAGCGGTGTTCTATTTTATACAAAGTCAGCTTATTGCCCCCACAAACCGGGTCCTCATTTTACCTACCTCGGAAGGATGGAAGGCTGAGTCAACCTTGAGCCTGGTGAGAATTGAACTCGCAGTAATTGCAGGCAGCTGGCAGCTAAATACTACTTTAACAGTGGTTTAGTCCACTGCACCACCAGGGTCTTATCTTCTTGGTATTGAGCAAGGAACTCAGGCAGCATCCTTTTATTGATCCTATTTCTGGAAATACACACTACTGTATTTCCGGTAGAATCTTGTCTCCAGTTACAGCATTCTGAAAGCAAGCTTATAATAGGTAGTCCTTAATTTATGACAATTGAGCCCAGAATTTTTTTGCTAAGTGAGAAATTTATTAAGTGAGTTTTGCCCCACTTTACGATTTTTCTTGCCGCATTTGTTAAGTGAATCACTGCAGTTGTTAAATGAGTACCACTGTTGTTAAATGAATTTGGCTTCCCCATTAACTTTGCTTGCCAGAAGTTTGCAAAAGATGACCACATGACCCTGGGACACTGCAACAGTCATAAATATGAACCAGTTGCCAAGCATCCAAATGTAAGTCACATGACCACGGGGATGCTGCAACGGTCATAAGTGTGAATAATGGTCATAGGTCACTTTTTTTCAGTGTCGTCATAACTTTGAATTGTCATTAAATGAATTGTTGTAAGTCGAGAACTACCTCTATTAAGCATAACACCAAATATTTTATGGACACTTGGATGAAAAACTATAAATCAGAAGAGAAAGTTTATTTTTGGTAATTATGTAAAAATTTTACAAAAGCTGCTTTAAAACCAACTGTGCTAATTAGGGAGCATTAGATGATCTATAGCTTAGTGTCTAATTCTCACTGACATTCTTTAGCAAGCAAGAGCTTTTATTTCCCTACTTCTATCCCATGCCTGCTTCCAATTTCATACCTACATGAACATCCAAATAATTGGTTTCTCAGTGAGCCTTGTTTTAACTTCACTCTTTTAAGAGCACCACATTCAGTGCAGCAAGAGATTTTGAGGATAGTTTAGGGTAGAATTCTCCATTTTGGATCTCCATATGATCCAGAGGCACAGGCAAGTTGTGACTGATATCTGGACAACTAAAATTGGAAATCATTAGTTGAGGGAGCTTTCTTTTTCTTAACATACCACTGCATAAGTAACTATAGTAAAATATTTAGTAAAATACAATTACTGAACAATGTAATAATACTACTACTATTTATAGAAAAAGCCCATTGAGTTACCCTTGAGTCTTCCGAGCATGCTAATTTGAATAAGCAAACTATGTCAAAAATAAGTTTATTTTAAAGAAGGTAAAAAACCAACAACAATCAGAATAGCAAACTCAAACAAATCTAGGATCAAGTTAGAATAGTAAGTCAGAATTCTGATTAACTGAATGCAATAAAAAGAATCCACAGGGGAGTGTAATTTGATACTGATAGGTAAAACAGAAAGTAAAACTATTTCATCCCCAACTTTCAGGTAGTTGCACATTTCTACTTCATGAGCTTTGAATGTTGGTAAATAAGAACAGAATGTTAATAAACAAGATGTCTAAGATAATGTCGATGTATTTACTTGGGCTGTACTGTTATACAATAAGATCTGCTTGGCAAGAGAAAAAACTTTCAAAACCAGCCCATTGTCTCACCCCATGAACTCCTTCCAGAAAAAGTTGAAATATATGGATATTGAAGGGTAACAAGCAGCAATAATCACCGGTATCAGCAGTTTCTTCCAACTGTTCCATGGCTCATACAGTTCTGATGCTAATAACTTTTATCATTCTGCAAAGCAATCTATTTAAACGTGGACTTCAGAATATTGGGGAATGGCTATGCTGGAAGGTACCTGAAGATTAACTTCTCTCATTTTACACCCATACAAAAAAGGAAGATCTATCCAAGCACTCACCCACACACAGCTTCACTTTTTATAACATACAGTCTGTCAAGATAGAAATAAGCCACCCCCCTCCATTTGGGAAAAAATGCCTATAAATTTAAAGAATGGTTTTGTAAAATAACAAATATGATTCACCACCAAACGTAAATTGAGTCACACATTTTAAGAGAAAACAAAACCCCCAGGTTGCTATTCCAAGCTATTGCCCTGTATAGTCAATTTATTGATTTTGGTTTTTCTATATTATAGTTTACTATTTAAATAGTAGGTAAGATTGCTATTTAATTCAGCAATGGGAAAGGCAAAGTGACAGCACTGCTCTATAAAAAACATATAGATGAATATGTCCTCTTGGAACAACTGACAAATAATAGGTTAATTACACATAAAGACTGCTTTAGAGTCATTTTGATCAAAACTGTTACTAAAAAAAGCATAATGCACTGGCAGTACAATTGCTTCAACAATTATGTAGCAAAGGAAAGAAAGAACAAAAAAATAGCATGCCATCTTTCCCATCTCTCAAGACAAGGAAGCCCAGATTTATTTATTTTTTTAAAAAAGAGATGCATTATTTTTTCCTGAGAGAGTCCAGAATGACCAGTACCAATTTTCTCCCCGCTCCCCACCCCAAATATTACTTTGGCCTCAAAATTAACTGCGACTACATTCATTAAAAGCAATGGAACATATATTAAGTTGCATTGCCAATAAACTGCTCCCGTTATTTGTACTGGGTTGCGGTTATGACTAACATTTCTACCCAAGCCCCGATAGAAAGAAAGAGACATAATCAACTGACACAGGAATGTTTCTTATTGGAAGTGTGCTTCCACCATTTTTATTGAATTGCATGAACCCATTACTCATATTGGAACTTAATTTAGAGCAGGGGTGTCAAACTTGCATTATCACGTGACGTATTGGGACTTTTTCCCCCTTCGATAAACCGGGCGGGGGCAGGGCCAACACATGAAGCATCAGGCTCGTGGGCCGTGAGTTTGACACCCAATTTAGAGCAAGGGTTCACCTTTAGGTTTCTCTGTGCTATAACTCAAAGCTTGAGTTGTATGTCATTTAAAAATAGATTTTTAAAAAGTTCTTCTATCCAAATGCACAGTGCCTTTCCACAATGTGACTGCTTACACCTGGTTTTTATGGCTGAGGACTTCTAGGTTAGAATATAGGACTTCTTGCTCTTGTTAATGGGAAGTGAGGAGCAAATTAATCACTGCCTCACAAGGTCCAGTTTTCCCATTAATCCTACAGATTTGTTTATAGGATCCAAGGAAATTTTTAGGAAAGGAGGGAAATATTTTGAGCCAAGAATGCCTAACGATGATTCAAAGGAAGCATTGGAAGGTGGTCAGTTGTGCCAAAGGGTTCTCCCGCAGCAATTTCACTCCTCTCCTTTGTTCCTTCTGGATATGGTTATCCATGCTTCTTCCTTGGGTGATGTAACCAGCTCATACTTCGTGTCAATGACTTGGCCTTCCACAGGCTGCAGGTGGAGTTTCCTCACAATCACGCTCAGAAGAACTGTAGCAACTGTACAGGCAAACCTAGCCATGAAAAAAAGATCAGCCAAATAATTGGAATTCAGTGTTACAGAAACAGAAAGATACCCATGGAAGGAAGCCACTTCTTGCTACCGCAGGCATCTGAATCTCTGATAGATCAGTCACCCTTTGGACAGTGTGGAATGAGAGGCTAAGGAAGAAGGGGTGGGTGGTTTTTTTTCTCATTTGGGAGATTTTCCTCCTGCCACAACCACCTCTGGATGCTTTTCTAGAAGATCTCCAAGATTCCTTCCAACCCTATTATTCTGTGTTCTATCTTCTAAGTACATAAGAGGCTTTTTACAGATCTCAGAGAACTACCAGAAGAAGAGAGTATTGCTTTTCCTCCCCTCCATTTAGAGCACATCCCTCCCCCCTCACTTTTAAAAAAAAAATAATATTAATTTTCTCTCACCTCAATTCAGGGCATTCCTGACTTCCTGAAAAACCCAGGAGAGAGAAATTTTTTATAGCAGCTTCATCACTGAATCTATCTGGATCAAATCTATCAAAAAGAAAAGGAAAAGATCAAAAGCTACCCACTCCTTGAAATGAGCTACAAGAAATGTGAATTGGCAATTAAGAAGCTCTTCAGCAGAGAGTACCCAAGGCCGCCTGCATCCACCCAATGTACATTTTCTGATTTCGCACAATTTGGTGAGAGACGGAGCTGCTATCTCTTTCCCCTTTCCTCCCTTCTTTCTCTGCTGCTTGCACCAGGCCGCCTCCGTTTTTTCTCAATCCAGCTGGCCTGCAAGCAAATGTGTGCTCAGCAGCGGATGATTCATTAGAAAGAAAAGCATGTTTCACCATCACTGTTGGGAAGGAGGGGCAAACAAGCAATTATTCAGCCTCGCCTAAAACTAACAGTAGGGTTTTCATAATGAAAGGATGGACAAAGCAATCAAAAGGATGCCTGGTTATTTACTTTCTCACAACTCCACCCCGTCCCCCCATCCCGCTGCAATATTTATTAAAATCTGTAGTGTAGCACATGTGTGCTTTTCATTAACTTGATGTTTCTTTGGGCAATAAATCTTCTATTGTTCAACCCTTCAGCTGTCTGTTGGTTGTACCTCATCATGTTCCCTTTAAAAGACCAACCATATTCTGCAGGGAAACAGCAAAATCTGGAAAAGCTGTTTTGTTTGATGTATCCCTTAATTTGTTTTAATTAGCAGAGTTAAGAGTTGGATTGTAAGTGTCAGGAAATGATAATGCCTGGCTGATGCTAATATAGCTTTTTTGGGGGGGGGCGGCAATCAGACCTCTGTGAACTCATTTCCTAACCCCCCAAAAATGTCTTTGATGTGGAATGAAGAATGCATTTGTACAGTTTCCAGAGCCAGATTTTTTCTTAATTTTTTTAAGCTGTTTGGTTAATTTTATTTCAATCAATTCTATGGTATTTTCCCCTTGGATTCAAAATCAATGTCTTCATTTCAGCTCCCCAGTCCTGCCTCTACTTGGCTGAATGAGATTAAAGGTTGCCATTTGGAGGCATTAGTGTGTTTTCTTCTAGTCTGTGGAATTCAAATTTTGAGGCCAAAATTATTCTTCTGTGGCCATAACTGGAAATAATGATGTAAAGCTTTTGACTGGTGTTCTCCATCCTTGTAAATTGCAATGTCAATATTTTCTAAAATTGACAAATGCACCATAAAATTATGAACCTCTTAAAATCTTTTGCTGAGAAAATAATGCATCTGGATAATTCTACTTTTTTTTTTTAACATGCACTTTGTTGTTGTTTTTGAATCAAACATGAAATTCTAAACCTACATTTTAAATGGACGAGCCCAGAAACCATGTGTCATGATATAGGTCCACTATTCATATAGTACCAAGAGACAGAATTTAGCAGGGAAAAAATGAATTTACATTAAAAAACATTATCATCTAAGTTTTCTGTGTTCCATACTTGTAGGGCAACGGCCAGACTGAGCTGTCCTGCAAGACCACACCAAGTGCATATAAGACAAGAGTCTGTAAGAGAATTTAAAAAGCATCATATTAGGCCACTGACATGCACAATAGTATCACATTGCATACACAAGCTAGTAGTCTATTATGTGCATTAACAGCTGTATAAATACATGGCAGAGATATATTTTCTTTGCTTCAACTTCGATTTAGATCCTTAATGAAAAACTAATCCAATCTGCAAGTAAAGAAGAGATCGGGTCAGAAAAAGGTGACAGCAGCCAAGTACCACGGAACCTCTTAAGATAAATTTCCTTTTCGTGAAGCAGTATCACAATGATAGCATTTCAAGACAAAATGGACCATAATAGTTCCAAATGAGTATGTGTGTAATCATCTATAGCAATCATTGCATTTTATAAGAGGAAAAAGACAGTGACAGAAGTGATAGAAACCAAATGTTTTTTCTAGCTTTGAGCTTGAAATCAGCTCCTTTCACTACTTTTCCAGAAGTCTGATGTTTGATAATCTCACCTTAAGGAACTAAGTCATAATTGTGTTTATAAGGATGGTGAAGATATATGGAACTGATGTCCAAGTAAATATGGCACTAAATGGATCAATTACAATGGTTATATTTTTGTTGGAAATGGCACAAGCAAGGATGCTCTATTTATATTTTGTTGATCAAAACTCCTACTAATTTGGAACAAAAAATATAACAGCAATATTCATGTACCTCTTTCTCTTTATTTGTTAACAGGGATGGAAAACTTCAGGCTGGATGTGGCTCCTTCAGGGCCCATTTTATGGCCCCAAGATTTTAGCAAGCCTCAGTAAGATTTCATGCATTTATTCTGTTCCTTAAGCATCTCTCCCAAGTACTTTATGAACAGCTAAAACATCCATCTCTCCTCATTCTAATGATATAACTGTGTTACTATAACTCAGCACAGAGCACCATAAATTTTACTAACTATTAATAACATTCCCACTAAATTGCCCAGTTTAACAGCATGTATACCCAAATCTATTTATTTGTATCCTGCCTTTATTATGTTTGCAAATAACACAAGGCAGTGAACGTATCCAGCACATCTTCCTCTTCCTGTTTGCCCATAACAACAATCCTGTGAGGTGGGTTGGGCTAAGAGAGAGTAACTGGACCAAGGGCACCCAAGTGGCTTTCATGGCTAAGGCAGAACTAAAACTCACAGGGTCCGGCTTTCAAACCTGATGCCTTAACCACTAGACTGAGCTGGCTCTCATGATCATGATCCAATTATTCTCAATTAAGAATGTTATTGGTGTTCTGCTTAGAGAAAAAGGAAAACTGCTTAATTGGATCTTTCCTGGCTAAATTAGGTTCACAAACACACAGATGCACAAAGCATCTGAATGAATAAACAAAACTCTCAGTCATATAATGGTTTATTAAACCAAAAATGCATTTGAGTTCATTTGAGTATAGTCTCATTTTGGTTGTTTAATTATTGTGTTTAGTTGCCATTTTATATATTGGGTAGGGTTTTTAAAAATATTACATGGTTATTTGGGGGATTTATTGTTCATTGGTTTTGTTGGGTTTTTTTGCTGTACACCATCTGGAGTCACATTGCTTGCAATGGGCAGCAATGTTCTTTGAATCGGTTTACTGAAAAAAGAATTCAGTGTTCTGGTTTACACGGCCACTAATGTGCCTCTCTTAAAAAAACCAAAGTCACATTCTGTCTTTGTATATTCTCTTTCTAGGAAGCCTCCCAGTTAAAATGGAAGTTTAACTGAAATTGAAGATCAGAGCACCAGCTTCCAATCCTACCTCCTTGGGAATCAGATGCTGATCAACTCTGCCTTCCAGCTCCTGAAGCCGGGCAGCAATTGGGGTTAGTTTTGCTGTCCTCACTGTCTCGTTCAAAACCTGCCGGCAATACCTGCAAGCACAACATTTCCAAGGTTTTCAGTTGATTAAAAAAAAAAAAGAAGACTCCTAAAACACACACACATTCCTACAACTTCCAGAGACCGCATTCAAACAAGAATTAGATTAATGAACATTAATCCAGTCACAGCACAACTTGTGTTACAATAATCAGTTCTTGGAGGAATTACATGTATCTTGGCTAGGAGTTATCCACTTTAATATTCCCAATTTTATTCTGTTTCTTGAAGCTCAAATGGTTGCTTGTTGGCTGAGGCACTTCTTCTCCACCCCTAGCAAATTACACTTCTCTTGTATCTCTGTTCTAAATCGAAGTGCAGTGCCACTCATGGGTCACTTAGATTTATTTATTTTATTTTATTTTATTTAAATTTGTATACCGCCCTTCTCCTAGTGGACTCAGGGCGGTGCACAGCCAAGTAAAAAACATCCAATACAAAATTTAAAAATTTAAAAGAATTATACCCTTTGGCCAAAAATTTAAGAACCTTACGACTAAAACCCATTAAACAATTAAAAATCTAATATCTCAAAAATGGGGGGGGGTGTTTCACGCCAGCCCTGCTTGATGGAAGAGAAAAGTTTTTAGGGCACGGCGAAAAGCCCAGGGATCTGATATCCTCCGTATCTCCGGGGGCAAATCGTTCCAGAGGGCAGGTGCTGCCACAGAGAAGGCCCTCCCCCTGGGGGTCGCCAGCCGACACTGCCTAGCTGACGGCACCCTGAGGAGTCCCTCTCTGTGGGAGCGTACTGGCCGGTGGGAGGCTATTGGTGGCAGAAGGCGGTCCCGCAAATACCCAGGTCCGATGCCATGGAGCACTTTAAAGGTGGTAACCAGTACCTTGAAGCGCACCCGGAAGTCCACCGGGAGCCAATGCAGCTCATGCAGGAGAGGTGTCACGTGGGAGCGCTCTCTCGCTCCCATAATCCCCCGCGCAGCCGCATTCTGCACCAGCTGGAGCCTCCGGGTGCACCTCAAGGGGAGCCCCATGTAGAGAGCATTGCAGTAGTCCAGGCGGGAAGTGACGAGTGCCTGAGTGACTGTGTGTAAGGAATCCAGAAAGGGACGCAACTGGCAAATCAGGCAAACCTGATGAAAAGCCCCCCTGGCCACGGCCGTCATATGCTCTTCTAAAGACAGCCATGCATCCAGGAGGACACCCAAGTTGCGAGCCCTCTCCATGGGGGCCAATAACTCGCCCCCAATAGCCAGTGTTGGCACCAGCTGGCTATATCGGGACGCCGGAAGCCACAGCCACTCGGTCTTGGAGGGGTTGAGTCGAAGCCTGTTACTCCCCATCCTCAGCACCACTGAGATCTACTAGTAGATTTTAACTACTTCAAGTTTTCCTGTATTTTAAAATGCTTAGAATAGTTTTACACATAAAGGAAACCCATAATTGGGGGAAGGGGGAACATCCCAGAAAATTCCAGTCTTTCATGAATGTGCCTTGGCCTCACCCATTTTGCATCACTGCTCTGCCTATTGTTGCCCTCAAACACCCCATTAAGTATTGCCCCATTCGCTGGGTACAAGATATAAGATACAGGTAGCCTGCAATTTACAACAGTTTATTTAGTGACTGTTCAAAGTTACAACGGCACTGAAAAAAGTTATTTATGACCATTTTTCACAGTTACAACCTTTGCAGTACCCCCATGATCATGTGATCAAAATTCAGATGCTTGGCAACTGGTTCGTACTTATGACCATTGCTGTATCCCAAGATCATGTGATCACCTTTGCGACCTTCTGACAAGCAGAGTCAATGGGGAAGCCAGATTCACTTAACAGCCAGGTTACTAACTTATCAACTGCAGTGATTCACTTAACAACTGTGGCAAGAAAGGTCATAAAATGGGGCAAAACTCTCTTAATAAATGTCTCACTTAACAACAGAAATTTTGGGCTCAATTGTGGTCGTAAGTTGAGGATTACCCATGTGCTGGAATGGAATGGGTTGGCTAGCTCACATGGTAAACTCTGTCTTAAGTTAAGCACGTTAGCAATATAGTAACATACTAGGGTTCAAATGGATTTTAAAAAGTGGTGAGAAATTGATAGAGCAAGAAGAAGGAAAAGAAGAGTCCTCCTCTTCTCACACCTTGTTAAGAGATCAGGAGTATGACATTTGCCGACACTAAAAAATGAGTATAAAAACAGACCCACACCTAAGTTGTTCAATTTTCACATGTGTAACAGGGCTCTTCCCAAGAACCTGATCCAACTCCTTGTAAAGCTTTTGCTGAACTTCTTTTGAGGTAGTTAACAAATAGACCGCCCACGTACATACTAACAGGAAAAAAAAAAAATAGAGATGCATCAGAGGATAAAAGTCTTTAGGTGGTCAACACATGTATACAATTCACAGTTCATGTACTGAAATTAGGAAAAAGGAAACCCCCCATTGAGTAACTCAATAGAAAACTCAGGCCAGATGAAGCAGTCTGTAGGCAGAAGTATTAGGTGGCCTGTGAGAAAATGAAGAAGCATTTTAAAGGCTGAGCAGACTTTAGACGTAATCTACAGTTTAACAATCAGAGAACCTTTTGTGAAGTGTACAATTTGTATACCATAGTTATTGTTTTAGTCATCATTATCTTTGCTCTCTGAAATAAGGTTTTGAATTATCCCCACATAAAGAGGCTTGAAAAACAATGGCTTGACTAAAGCTAGCCAGTGAGTTTAGAGTCAAGACCTCTAATTCATAATTTCAGATATACCCAAGCATGCAAAAAACTATTCACCCATCCTCCATCCTTTTTTCTTCCACACCATTCATTCCAAACTCTTCTATATCTACACAAACCGCTCATCCCCATCCAAATGTTCCACGCGCTGGCAGCACCTCCTTTGGCACCATTTAATAGGCTCTCTGCTTCACTTAATATTTCCTAATTAAAAGCTAAAGTTTCACTGGAAGCTTGCATGCTGCAAAGCAAAGTATCAGCCTCTGGCATCAGCTTTGTTCGTCAGATCCTGATAAGCTTTTTTAGAAAGTAAGCATAATGGGAGGCTATATAATGGCACCTGGGCTCTGAAATAGTCCTACTAGCACTGATGTTACCTAGTTTTGCTAATGAAACATCAGCAAAAAACAACCAAGCTCAGAGAGCACCTAGGACCCCTCATTTCAAATATTCTTGTTCATTAGTGACTGGACATTGTCTAGTACTAGGGAGCATCTGCGAGGGTATCTTGGATACTGACATGGCTACTATATGGAATTTCTGTATATTCTTTTCATTTTATTCTCAAATATCAGTCTCTTCAAAAGAAAGGTTATAGAGTTATTTCAAAGTATATCATAATCAGCTAGGAAGGCAATTGCCTTAAAATATGAGGAAACCCATGTAATGCTATTTTCAGATCTGCCTCTAACATAACCCAAAGAATTCAGACAAGCACATCTCATGCCCAAGCAAAAGGAAATAAAGACCATTTCTCCCTATATCCTGAAATTTTTTCTTTATCCTGGAATACTGAGATTTTGCTTCTCCCAATCCCAATTTGCCAAAATGTTTGTTACTATTTTATTTACTCTACATGATGAGAAATTAGAATAAAGAATTTCAAGATATTTATCATTTATTTTGCTATTTCAGGCATAACCCCTAGTTCCCTCCACCTGCCCTATTTTAACTTTTCATGTCCAAGAAAGAAAACAGTGTGGACATTATAAAGGCCTGGAGCACCTCAAAAGCCCACAAACTAAATCAAATTATCTATAGTATTATGAAATAACAAGCACAGTAACAACATTTTCATAGGATTCCCCCCTCCCTCAATGATTTGCACTATGCTGTTTTATATACTTACATTTTGCAGTGATTATGGATCCTGCCAGAGAGAAGATCATAGTGTCTTCCAAAATCTAGAAAATGAAGAGAGTTTCATGAAGGAAGGAAAAAAGACACTGAGAATTAGTGCCAAATCTAAAATTGAAAATTTAATCAAACATTTTATATATGTCAAAGCAGATATAACGGAAATGAATTCCAAATTAATTGTACCTCCAGAAGAAATGGCTCCAAAAAGAAAGAAAATGATTGATTGTTAACAATATATCTTCTCTCTGCCCAGAAAAAATATGCATGGCAAAGTCTGTAAGTATCATGTACATTTAGAAGTCTCCTCTTATGAAGCCAACTGGCCTTCAGAGAACTCCAGACTGTCAGCTGCGTGTCATAGAGATTGTTTAAATCAAAACATCTTCTCTGTGTCAAGCAAAATCCTCCTGAGAAAGGCCGCATGTAGCAAAAGGATCCATCAATCGAATTTTTATTACAACTATAGACCAGCATAAGTATGCTTAGCAAAAAGAGTTTTCCTGCCTCCTCCTCTTCTGAAGAAAAAATATATTTTATCTTTTTATATATTTAAAAATTTCTAGCGAGAAGCAAGGGCTTCAGGGCTACAAAAGGAGCTAAACCTCATGAGCGTCCGATTAAAGGGGTGTCTGGTTAAAGGGGAGAACCTAATAGAATTTGGAAGAACTAAGAGAGAAATAGAAAACTTTGTTGTAGTCCTCAGTTTGCCTCTATGAAATAATAGCAAATTAGGTAACTGGAAATGTTTATTTATTTATTTATTTATTGGTTCGATTTATATGCCGCCCTTCTCCGGAGACTCAGGGCGGCTTACAATGCATTAAGCAATAGCCTTCATACTTTTGTATATACCTGCTTAGTAAGGCTTTTGGGGCCCCCCCAAGCGGTGTTCTTTTTATACAAAGTCAGCTTATTGCCCCCACTATCTGGGTCCTCATTTTACCTACCTCGAAAGGATGGAAGGCTGAGTCAACCTTGAGCCTGGTGAGATTTGAACTTGCAGTAACTTGCAGTAATTGCAGGCAGCTGGTGCTGGTGCAGTAATTGCAGGCAGCTGGTGCTACTTAATAGCACTTTAGTCTGCTGCGCCACCAAGGCTCATTTCATGTTGCATGAAATTACGTTTATTTTGGAATGCATGGAGGTTTATGGTGCCTGATATGATCCCTTTCTGATTTATTTTCCTTTTTCAAATGTTCAATGGTTATATTTCCTAATTAATAGACCAATTTCACTTTTTGCCTGTAGTTTTGACTTTGGGGATTTGCTTGAGATGCTATGAGTGGCTTTAAGAGCTCTCTATTTTTACACTTTTTTTTGCTGTATTGCACGTGATTATTTAAAATGATTTTTTAGCCTTCTTGTTTTTTTAAAAAAAAAGTAAAATTAATTCTGTTATACTGTATCATGTGAATGATCTCCCAAAGGAGGGGTGCTGATTTCTTTTGTCACATGCCTCCATACCCCAGAGCCAGGACATAGCTATAAAAATAAAATAAGATTCATAGCTTCTTTTACTTGACAATAAAATGCAGAGATTATGGGATCCCCAACTATCTGATACACTGAGATTGAGGAGGGATCTCAAGTAAAATCACTTCCCTAGAAAACAAGCAGTGGCAGCTAAGCAGCCATACCAAAGCAGGAAGGGAGATCCAAAGTGTGTCGACATTCAGGACTTCTCAGAGAGAAGATTTGATCCAGCCTTTCCTTCTGTAGGCTCAAACCTAATTGTTCCACCTCCATATACAATTTCATAATTATATGCATTTTTCAGACATAAATACCACTGTATTTAATGGGGCATTATTTGAAAGGCTATTGCCTTAGATACCAAAGATCAGAGAATATGTGTGAATGGCAATAGCTCCACTCTTCACCACCATGAGATGTGGACTTCTATAGTTTTTGCCAAGGCAATGCAGCTTCCATAAAAGCAACAGATATCCGGTATGCTGGTAGACCACTCATGCGATTGCCATGATGTTTCTGCCAGATTAACACCTCGGATATGCCAGATATTGTATCGCCTATCCAATATTCTGCCAATGAAGATTAGTTCAAGGCCTTGTCCCATCAAAAATAAAAAATTACTCTAGTCCTAGATCTAGTTGACAGGATTTCCTGCCATTTTGGAATTAGCTAAAATAATACATTAAGAACAGCTTCTCCCATTTTAACAACAACCCTATCCATGTCACCTTAGTAGTTAAGTGCATACAATAATGTATTACTGTATTATTTTTTTTAAAAAAGGCTTCAAGCCTAAAGGTCTAAAATAGCCACACACATTAGATTCAAGCAAGGAAAAAAAAGTACTCAAATGGGATACAGTGGAGGCTATTATATTAATCAAACACTACCAATACATAATTAGCAGCTGATCTAGAGGGAACTCCATTAATAGTTAATTACACCAAAGATGCAGATACCTGCTTGTCACTCAGATTCCCCTGTAGTAAAGAATCTATGAAGATGTGTCGGCTGAAGCTCTTTCCTTGTCGTTCTTTTATGACTTTCTTCAAGACCAGCTCCATTTCCATCAGGGCTTTAAGCAGAAAGAATAATGAGGTCATTTCCTAGCTAGCACAGTGGGGTGTCCTAGAAACACATCATATCATGTCTGGCAGCTGGTCTTTGGCTTCTGAAGGCTGCTTCCCTTGTGGTGGATGAAAAATGATTTGAAACGCATTTATTTTTATCATACCCCTATCCATTGGTTCCACAGATATGTGTCTGTATGCATGTGCAAGTATGAATGGAGAAACAAAATGTTATCTGTCAGCCTCCAGCAATTACAGAAAATTTATATCACAAATAGGTATTGCAGACTGTTGAAGGAGGGGCAAATAGGATTGATTTATTACACTATCCTACATTTGGAAAATAGATAAATAATGCTCATGGTATCTATCTATCTATCTATCTATCTATCTATCTATCTATCTATCTATATCTGTATACATGCTAGATAAAACAGTAGCATTTCTGAAATATTCAATAAAACATGATGCTATGCAAAAATGTTCAATTAGATCACCTTGCCAGGAATATGTGTCAAATAAATAGAAAACAAAACTCACCATCTTCATACTGCTTTTTTCTGGTCGTGCTTTTATCAAGTGAACCATCTAAGAAACCCTTTCCAATTTCTGCCCAGATCTGAAATAGAAATAAATAATAACAATCTTTCTTAGTTTATTGTTAAGTATTTATTTCAGTCTTACCAGAATATTAAATATGGTTTCTGTACTAAGGTAAGGCTGCTGCTAAAATGGAAGTGATTAATAACTTAACTCACTTAACAACAGAAAGTTTGGGTTCAATTGTGGTCCTAAGTGAAGAACTACCTGTACTACAATGGGTTCATAGGTTGCCTATTCTGTTAATTAGAAGAACAGAGGGACTTCCTCACACATGAAATAGTACAGTACTTATTCCAATTTTTAGAAGGTAACTAGATGAGTTTCAAAATACTATAGGGCAATTAAATATATTAATTATAACTATTGTAGATATTATGTTTAAAGTCTGAGATGAAACTGAAGATAACATTGGTATAGAGCAGGCTGATTCAGAAAGAAGGCAGTGAAATTGCACACTGTCTACCATTTTAGTTTTAGATGAAAGCTTGTTTTTGTTTTTACTCACACTTAAATCTGCAGTTGGTTTGCTCTGTGTGATCAGACTTTAAGAAAATATCTCTCAGCTCAGTGGATTAAAGATCCTCATTTAAAAGTTCTTAATGCAGATATTCCACTACAAGCAAGGTATGCAGCAATAGGCTATTTAAGCCTATTTTAAGAACTGAAATCTAAATTTCCCTTAAGGTGAACTTAGCCTCTGGTGACCACATGTTGGTTTTCTTGGCAACAATATAGACGTGATTTTCCATTTTTTAAAATTTCTCAGCCTAGTCTCCAGCCTGGGAATTTTCTTGTGGTTTCCATCCAAGGTCCAATTCAGCTTAGATTTTTCAAGATCAGCCAAGGTCAGCTAAGCGGTGTTACCTACTTATTCAATAACTGAAGGAGATTAGCAAAGCTATGTCTTTGAGCCCGTGCCTTTCTATGCACAGCTATGTGCTTTGTCTCCCCGTGTTAGAAAATGGAACTGAAGAGAACATTTCTGCCTCTTCTTTTTGCAGACTTACCACATCATGGTTCCTACGAAATCGGATGACTTCCTGGTCATCTTCAAACCTGTTGCCCATAGCAGTCTGTGTAACAGTCTTCATTGCAAAACCTAACATATGCTGACTGAGGGGCACATGTTGAGACTCGGGGAAGGTTAGCCATTTTGTTAGCAATTCTTCTGACAGCTTATACAAAAGAAATAAATGTGTCAATCTCTTTATCCCTACACATTCCCATGAAACTGAAAAGCACAAATTAAATATTATTACAAGGCCTGTTGAATAGAAAAGCAGGTCAATTCCTTTTAAACTATTCTGATGAAATCCACCTTTACTCATAATGCCTGTTTAGCATTGAGCTACTTGTTATAATGTCTCCCATCTAGTGGTGCTTTGGGAAAAGTGCAATGATTCTTAAGGCACGCAGACAGCATGTGCAATTACAGATCTCTAGTAATTGTACTGGACATAGCTGGACATTTGATCTGTATGATCAAAAAGATGAGGGGCATGGAGATGTTTCTCCAAGAAAAGTAAATGAAAATGCCAACTGCGGAGGTTCTGAATCTTTGTGATACCACAACTTATAAAAATGAACTTGGTGACCCAGCTGGCACGAATAAAACTGACTTGATTGGGATTGGGGATGGGCAAGTAATAGATTGTTATTGTTATTTATTTATTTAAATATATTATTGCCACCCACTCTCATAGACTCTTGATGGTTTACAATTATAATAAAAAAACAATAAAAGCAGGTAAAAACATACAACTCCACAGGCAATCTTGGACTAAAACAACTGAACAGTAACAATTCAAATCAGGGGCCCTACAACCACATCAACTACAGGTCTAGGAACAAAGTCAAGTCTTTATTTAGGAAGCCCAGGAGATGAGGCATTGTATGTATCTCGGGGGGTGGGGGGAATGTTGTTCCCAAAGATGGGGTCCATGACAGAGAAGGCAGGCTTCCTCAGTCCCATAAAATTACAACATTTAAGAGACATGGAGTATATCCACTTTATCAGAATGTACCAGCCAGGCAGAAAAAGAGATGCATGGTCCCTCAGACATCCGGAACCTGTACCATAAACAACTTCATACATAACAACCAGCACCCTGACTTACACCTGGACTTGCCAGTAATGCAGCTCAAGTAGCAATGGTGACAAAGGCATATTGGGATTTGGCAATTATTATTCACATTGCTGCATTTTGTACCAGATGTAGTTTCCAGGTAGTCTTCAAGAGCAGCCCTATGTAGAGTGTGTTGAAGTAATCCAATCATAACATGACCAGTGTATGAGTAACTGTCTAAACAGTCTTAGGTCAAGAAAAGATGCAACTGGGAGATGAAGAGTACAAGGGCTCTCCTGGCCACAGCTGCCACCTGCTTTTTGAGCAATAGCTGCAAGTCCAGAAGGACCACCTGCCAAGTTGTGCACTATTCTGGAATGGGGAAGTGCTGTCCCCCATAAGGCCAATGATGAAAATGCCCCATATCCTAAGGGGCCAGACAGCCATACCCACTCAATTTTGTCAGGATTGAGCTGAAATCTTTTCTATGCCTCTAGACCCAAACAGTCTCCAGACCCTGGATCAGTAATATATCAACAGCTTCACCTGCACAGCCCAGCCTTGAGATATAAAGCTGAATAACTTCAGTTTAGTGATAACACTGAGCCCCAAATTGATGGATGACCTCACCCAAGTGTTTCATGTAGATATAAAACAGGACAAGGGAGAGCTTCAAGCCCTGTGGTCCCCCACCAATGAGAGGCTGTGGGTGCAACTTCTCTCTCCCTAGTAACACTGACTGAAACCAACCACTGAGGAAGAAGGGAATCACTGCAGCACAGTGCCATCTACTCCTAACCACTATAACCAATCCAGAAAGAAGCCACTAAGAGATCAATACACATCTCAATTTCTGCTCTGACAAGGGTCATGACAAGAGTAACCTGCACTGCTCTGTACCATGCCCTGATATGAAATCTAACTGGCACAAGTCTAGATATACTATTTATTTTCAAAAATTAAATTTTCAGGGTCAGATTGTGAAGGTTTTCAACTTCTCACTATGAGCTTGTCCAAGGGTTTTTCAACAAAAATTTGTCCAATTTTTCAACAGCACTCTCTGTTTGCCTGTGCATGCCTGATCATGCTTAAAACATATTTAATATTAATAGGAGTAGTGCCTTGGGTGCACTCCCAAAACATCTCAAGCATTACTTGCATACCATTGGCACTGAGAAAATCACCATCAGTCATTTGCAAAAGGCAGCTTTACTTGGAACAGTTTACATCCCAATGACACCTTTAACGCCATCACACATCTGCCTTTTGCAGATCCTTGGGAAGGATTTGATAAGTGAATAAAAATGCTAAATCCAGTCTAAACATCTGTTTGATTGTGTGACCAACCATAATATTAAATGTATATGCCGACTAACTCTCAGCATCTCTGGATGATTCACAACAAAAAATTACAGCATAATCAATATGACATAAAAAATACAAGATAAAAAACCAATTGTTTTTAGTTTGGAAAATATAAGTACTGCTAAAATCCATTGTGCGACAGAGTGAGGGTGAGGGGTAAAACAGTAGCAGGCATCTTCATTCGAGTTTTAACATGTCTTGAAAACACAGGAAAGATATAAAATGGAAATGCACAGATAAAATTTACCATAATACTGGGGAATCACTTTTGAGAAAGTTGAATGCTTACACAAGATAAGCAACTTTCAAAAACCTTAAAACATCTGATTCTGCTCCACGCATCATGGCCTTTTAAAGAGATTATTCTGAATCATTTATCCTCCTAGAAAACACCCTCCCATACACTTGAGCAAAACTCTGCCCTCGGATGAAGCTATTTACCTTCTGGATGACAGGAAAATTACTCGGCAGCAGCTTGGTGACACCGTTTTCATACAGTTTTTTCCTCAAGCAGCTCTCAGCCATGTCTCCACCCAGGCCAGATTGATACTGCAACAAGGACTTTAACATCGTTTCAAAGGGGTCCGCTGAAAGAGAGAGTGAAAATGCAATCAATCCCTACAAGGCTCTAAGTCGCTCCTCTACTTTAGTTCCCATGGTTCCCAGCCACTGCTTATGCTGGAAAGGAGGAGGTTAGGAAAGACTGCTATAAATCTGTCAAATTAGTTCAGAGGTTTGCAGTTAGTTACATGGGTGGGTGCTAAGTATTGGTACCTAAAATATCGATTTTTCTTCAACAGCAATAACACAAGAAGATGCACAACTCTCTATGCAGAACAAATATCTTTGTTCCTGAATGTCTGCATTGTCCAAATCTCCAAATAATCATTTTTGTCAATAGTCACACATGCTTACAGCTTCTTCTAACCCCTCTGCAGAAGAAAGGGAGAAGTACAATTTGTGATCTCAGAGTAAGAAAGTGATCTAATCAGGCAGTCAAGAAAGCCTCAAGCATGTAGTTCATGTAGAACTAGCCTCTCCTGTAAGAATCAGTAAGAACTTGGCAAGTTCCGCAGAAGTTCATTTTTATTTTAATAAACCTATCCCTTGCTTCAATGACATAATGTAACTTTTACCAGATCGCTAAGGGAGTCTTCCTTAAAGTACGCTTTTCATCCATGTTAAACAAAGCAGAAGCCCAACAACCAGTGCTTCATGCCAACTGGACCAGCTCCAGGTTATAGTGATTATGTAGCTCACTTTGCCTTCTGACAATATCCTTTGCCCAGTACTATCAGATGCTCAGAGATTCTCAACCATCTGTTGTCCAAGGCAATTTGCAAAAATGCTACAAGTTTATAAAGCTGGTGATAGATAACATATCTCTCACAAGAAGCAGTGGTAGAGAAGTTTAACCACAGGTAAACCTCTCTTCTGAGGATCACAGAGGTCTCAAAGCACCAGTGGATGTATCAAAAGGCACACATGGTCACAGGCAGGCCTTAGGTTTCAGATCCTTTATTATCTCTTACTAAAAGAAAATATTTTCACAGACCCCAAATACATTACAAACCTAGGTGGAAATATCTGTAATGGAATGTGGTAGATGACCTTGAGGGAATGAAGGAAAGAGATGCTGGCTAGGGAACATTCAGACAAGAGAGGGAAGACCTTGCAGGCTGTTGCTTAACAGACAGAGGAAGAAACTTTGGAAGGATCACCCTAATTAATCAGACAGCTAAAAGTGGCAGCAAGACGTTTGTACCTTCAGATTTGCAAGATTCTGTTAATGTGTAACAGAATTACAATAAAGTAGATTTAGCTCACCTAGTTGTGTTTTCTGTCTGGTTTACCCAGAAGGCCCCACAATACTTCAGCTACGGGGCTAACCCTGGGTGTCTCAGAAACACTGGCGGCTCACAGCTTGGAGCACTACATCAATAATGGTTGCATACAAGCTATTTCATAATGTATGTGCAATCACACTGTATATATTTGGCAGAAATGCATGAGTTTCCTGCTGCATTAATTACAGGGTATGTGATGCTAATCCTAATGAATTTAAAGACATTCTTATTTTAACCGATAACAAATTATGTTACACTAAATTACAACAAAGTGTTACTGCAGCCAGAACTAGAGGAATCCAAAAGAGGTCATTGTGTGACCCAGCTCTGCCTTATCAAATATTCTGGTCTACCATCCACCATTATTACACAACATAATCTCTATTTAACAGAATACCTTGCAATCATAATCTTGATGTTTTTTTTCCCTCTGAATATCTTTGGAAGAGAAGGACAAAACCAAGACCGTCTGATAAAGCTCCTGATGAGTAGGATTGACAAAAACAATCAACTGATTCACCTATTGCACAAGTGTAAGCAAAGCATAGTAGTCAAAGTACTAAATTAGGAATAGGAAGACTTGGGTTCAAGTCCCCTCTCAACCACTGGATCTTACTGGGTGATTTGGGGCCAACTGCTCTCTCACACAGGGTTATGATTGTGACAATAAAATGAAAAGAGATTTTCTTGTTAACTGAGCTCCACTAGGAAAGGCAGGGTTTAAGTCCAGCAAATTAATAAAATAGATGCATTCCATTAGAAAATCACTTTGTCCCTGCTTCTATAGCATGAGCTAGATACCCAATCTATTCAATAAGATGCAGCAGCAGCAGAAACCTCTGCAGAATTTTGTATGATTTACATCTTAGTATAAAAGTGTAGCACTGCACTATAGAACTATTTTATTCTCTCTTCTTGGCAGTTTGCCGTGCAAATGCTCAAGTGTTCTTTAAATGTGTGACTCAAAGAAAGAAAGGGGGGAACCCTCTATCCTCTAGGTGCTGTTGACTTCCACCCACTCTCAAGCCAAGTATAACAAAAGCAGCATGGTGCAAAATAAAAGCATGCATTAAACAAGGGAGCTTGGCAAGCGGTTGGCAACAGAAGGCAAACATACCATGAGTAATATGAACCTAAAAATCACACAAAATCCAGGAAAGATATCCTGCAGAGCACATGCTACAATCTCTGGAGGCTGAAATCAGTTCTAAACTACTCGAACAATTTGTGCTTCTATTATTTCTACTGCTTAATCTTTGTCCAATTCTCTTCTTTGCTTGAAGCCCAATATACAAATAGCAGAGTTATAGTTGAGGGTTTTCATCTGTATCAATAGAGAGAGAACAATAAAAAGCCACAACAGCACAGTAGCAAAACAGCTATCAACAAAAGAACGCTGAATTAGTAGAGGTTAAAAAACCTCCATAATGGATGAAACGCAAAGGTATGGTGCATACCTTTACATTGTGTATTCCGAGAAGGAAGAAAGAGATGTTTTCTCTTTTAAAAAAGAGGACCACATTTATTCTGGTGTATGGATTGAGTTTGGAAAGATGGACAAGACATGAAAAGCAATTTACAGTTGAATTTGAGGGAGGGAGGGAAGGAGGGAGGAAGGAAGGAAGGAAGGGAGGGAGAGGGAGGGCCTGAGGGAAGTCCTGCCTTAGCACTTGGCCACCTCAGGCACCCAATATGAGTGACATTGAGCTGGCCACATCCCCTGTCTCCTCACACCCCTCCATGGTCAAACACAACCCTGATGCGGCCCTAAATGAAATCGAGTTTGACACCCCTGGATTAGAATTTATAATTAGAACGTGTATGATTTTGGACCCTCTGTGCATGCGCAAAGCCTTCTGCGCATGCACAGAGGGTAAAAAACAGGTTACTTCCTGGTTAAAACCAGGAAGTAACAACATCTGGGCGGAACCTCATGCTGCCACCGCTACCAGTTCTCTGAACCACCACCGCCACCACTACCAATTCGGCCAAACTGGTCCAAACCGGTAGCATTTCATCCCTGGAATGGCATCTAGGGACCATAGTGTGTTCATTTCCAGTTTGGGGAGGAGACACCAAGAACGGAAAGCAAAACAAATGAGGAACCAACCATACAACCTCTTGAGCATCCTGATGCCGTGGAGACATACAAGAGTGGCCCTAGTTTCACTTGAGTGCAGCCTTTGCATTTGGAAAAGTCCCGGGTTTTAATATTGATCTCATTCAAGGAATACAGGTTTCCTTCATCATCACTTATGAAAAGACCAACATTATTCCAATTTAAATTTTATAACATCTTTCTGTCAGTAGACTATTTCATAGACTTTTTCCAATGTTGCTCTATGTCACATTCAGCTGGAATAAAATTCTGCTGCTTTTGAAACTGTTCCTTTCCTCCCCCCTATGAGGATGTAGTCAAGGTTACACTAAGGATAGAGCAAGATAAATCCAGTGCCAGAACTGGTCTCCTCCTGCAGCTCTTGTGGGGGGAAGAATTTCTCTTTCAAACTCAATTATCCTCCAATCAATGGTATTGTTTTTAGAGATAAAACAGCATGATGTTTGAAAAACCAGACAAACACATGTGCACATACTTGTACAAGAGCGAAAAGATACCTATGATAGGTACCCTTTCCCAGGATAATTATCTGAAAACTTCCTTCTTTCTCAAAATTCTACAGGGCCATTAGCCTTGGGCATCCATATTGCTGCAAAGCTTTCATGCTGATGGAAATTGAAAACACAAGAGGGAGTGCAAATAATGACATCTCTTTTCAATTTTGGCTTTCTATCTCATTTCTTCATTTTTTCCCAGACTGTAAGCTCCTTTGGGACAGCCACCTGCATCTTTTGCTTCTTGAACTCTGCAAAACTGCTTACCAGCCAACTTTTTTTGGCCAAAGGATACGTCAACCTTAATGTTCTGTTGCTCCACAGTTAAAGAAAAATGGAAACAAATTATGTGATGCGTTCTGTACAATCCATAGAAGAGGTGAAAGAAGAAATACAACAAAAAGTCTTTTGGGCATGAGGGAGGGGAGGAGAGAAGTTCCAATTTCAGAGGGAATCTGCACAACATTTCTCCAAACAAATCTACTAGTTGGGAGGACAGCAAAAAGGAAGCACTCACAAATTCACAATGCTCGTTTGTCTGGGGAAAAAATGGCTTCCTAACTCATTTCTCACCTAATGCTTCACCTAAGTCTCAAAGGTAGTCTAGGAAATGTTTTTAAGAACTGCTAATTAAAAATATGTGCAACAACTTTAAGAAACAGGCTTGCCCAAGAAATTTTTTAAGCTTTATTTGCATCTGAAAGGAAGAACTGAAAGAACAGACTTGTTAAATGTCACACTCTTTTGTTAAAGGCAAGAATCTGTTGAAAAGCGTCATGAGAAATTTAACTGCTATGTGTTTAGATTAGCACCTCTCAGCTGCAAAAAACTGTAAGGCTGCTAGCCCCCAAACTTTCATATCCTGCCAAGTGAGTGAAGGGACAGCTGGGAGAGCTTTAATTCATAGGAGTCACCAGAATTTAATGGAACAATACCCAGCCCAACTCACCTCATATAATTACTGTTGTGGGGAAAATAGGATGCAGAAGTATTAAGTATGTTTACTGCTGTGTGTGTGTGTCCAGAATAAAAATCTATTATTAATAATAATGTCAGTAAAGTAAAATAAATGTTGATCTTGTCATTCTTCACTGAACACGGGACCTTAAACTCACCCAGTGTTAAATAAACTGTCAGCTCAGCCATAAAACACTAAAAAGGCCAAAAAATATTGACAGAGCTAAGAAAAGATATTAAGAGGCAAGCAAAGGCTCTGGGAAGGAAGGCATAAGAAAAACCCATAGAAGTAACTCTTTAGAAATAAAACTATGTCCATGAAATATTGCCTTTGTTTTCTCAAATATACATCTCTTACTACCTTTATTACCTCAAACTTTTGCCTTCCTCACCCAGCAATGTGCTATCATAGCCAACCACATACTCTGCAGTGTATCTAATCACATGTACAGTGTAATTTGCAGGGCCTGCATCCCTGCCTCTGGTACCTTAAGAAACAAAGTGTGTTTCCATGAGGTTGCATTTAAACCCCGTTATGAAAGAACTGTATGAAGAAATTCTTTCTACACACAGACACAGAGCAATCATATTTAGCCTATTACAGGCAGCAGGAGGGGGAAAAAAGCAAGCACGTTGATTGAAACACAGCTAGTCCTTGACTTACACTCATTCATTTAGTGACCAAAGTTACAACAATACTGAAAAAAGTGACTTAAGACTGGTTTTCACACTTACATCCATTGCAGTACAGGTAGTCTTTGAGAGTTCATTTAGTGACTGTTCAAAGTTAACAACGGCACTGAAAAAGGTGACTTGATTATTTTTGATACTTATGACCATTGCAGCATCCCCAACTACATTCGGATGCTTGATAACTGGTTCATTTTTATGATGGTTGCAGTATCCCGGGGTCATGTGATCTTTTGTGACCTTCTGACAAGCAAAGTCAATAGGAAAGCCCATAAGATTCACTTAATGACTGTTCTGCTCACTCACACGTAACTGTGGTTTAGTGAATTTATTAATATTCCCCAGCAATTCCATTCACCTAAAAATCCAGAACTGTCCAAATTAAGTCCAACTATAAGCAGACTAATGCTAGTCTACAGAGCAATGGCCAAAGTCCACAAGGCACTTGAAAGTTTCTCAATCAAAATAAATCCACCAGGCAAACTTAAATCCACAACACAAGAGAGTTCATGAGGCAAAAAAAGTCCAGAGTTTCCAAGTCAAGGTAGTGTCAATCCAAAGCAAGGCAGGAATCACAATGACTAGAAAAGAGATAGGTAGGAAACAAATAAGACCTGTGTCTGTCTGCTGTGCTAAACAGCCAGCTTCCGGTGCAGGCCATTGAGAAGGGCGAGGCGTTCTCCTCACGAGTACTCTGGCTGACCTTTTCTACTCCTGCCTTTTCTATGCCCTATGTGTTCTTGGATCAGGAGCAGAAGGCAGTTCCTCCTCCTCCTCACTGACCAGCTGCAGCTGCATGCTTTCCCCACCTGGAGCCTCAGCCAAAGCTCTCATAGACTGCTGCTCAGAGCCATCAATCAACTCAGCTCCTGATGTGACAGGAACCAGTCCATCCTCCCGCAGCTAACATCTAGACAGTTATCTAGGAAAACGTGGGGTGGGTGGGGGGAGTCATCACACTTAACTGAGTTACTAATTTAACAATTGCAGTGATTCAGTTAACAAATGTGGCAAAAAAAGTAAGATGAGGAGAAACTCAACAAATTTCTTACTTAGCAACATAAATTTCGGCTCAATTGTGGTCATAAGTCGAGGACTATGTGTATTGTCATGGTCCTGTTACCAAAATTCAGGTGCTTAGCAGCTGGCATGTATTTATGACAGCTGTACTGTCCTATGGTCATGTGATCACCATTTGTAACCTTCCCAGCTGATTTCCAACAAGCAAAGTCAATGGGGAAAGCCAGATTCGCTTAAGGACTGCATGATTCACTTAACAACTGCTGTGATTGGCAGTTGATTAAAAAAACTGATAAAAAGAGGCAAAACTCACTTAACAGCTGTCTTGCTTAGCAACAGAAATTTTTGGACTCAACTGTGGTCCTAAGTCAGAGACTACATATAATGAATAATGTGACTGTAGGGTTTTGTCATAATAATGTGGCAAAATTTAGCATTAGGCTATATGCTATAAACCAGGGGTGTTAAACTCAAGGCCTGCAAGTTGAATGCGGCCCACGGGTTGCTTAAATCTGGCCCACAGGGCTGGCCTGGAGATAACAAAGGATCAGCCCGCAGTGCCTCTGGCAGACAAAAAGGGGTACTGGGGGGCTGCAGGCATTACCCCCACACTCTGTTTTCAGCCTGGACGGGCCCCCCGGACCCCGTTTTGGCCGGCAAAGTGCTGCAGGACGCATCCGTCCTGTCTCCCCACCCAGCCGGCCTGCAGAGAATTACAATGCTGATCCGGCCTATTGATCATTATTATGTCTACTACATTTTCAAATCTGTTCAAATGACATATTCAGAAGAACAGCAACATTATTCAGGTTTCATTCACCTGGACCAGGGGTGCCAAACTGGCAGCCTGCGGACTGGATGCATCATGTGCAGGCCACGCACACTCCAGCTCTGTGGATGGGGAAAACATCGCTAAACGTCACATGATGGCAACGTGACGCAGTGAGTTTGACACCTGTGACCTGGACAATTCTCTAAAGCAAAGCTCCCCAACCTTTCTTGGTTGGTGACCCAGAATAGGAGAGGGGAGAAAGAGGGAATGATTTTGTGGGAGGGGCAAGTGCATGTGTCTGTGCATGGACAAACACCTGTGATTTTTCTGGCAACGCTTGCGTGAATGGGGCTGCAAGCACCCACAAGGCTCGCATGAATGGGGCTGCAAGCACAAGTAGAGTGCCCGCAATGACAGAAGTGCAAGTAGAACCGTGAATGCTCGCAATAGCACAAGTGGGGCCATGTGCAGAGGTGCGCGCGCACACCAGCTAGCCATTCATGCAGCCTGCAGCTTGGTAGTGAGCCGTGGCCCACAGGTTGGGGACCCCTGCTCTAAAGCGATTCTTGACATTAGGTGTCAGTAGCATTTTATGGCACTTTCACTGGATTGATGTCCCACAATAATTAGTAAGGTGAATGTTTTTAAAGTTAGTAACTGAAAAGTAGTATAGAAACCAGTATTTCACTATTTACAAACAAATATGAATAATTTTGCTGTAGTTTTAAAAAAAGTATTTTAAAAATCCATATATTAACTTTCAAATATAGAACTATCATACTGGGCAGTAGCTTATTAACATTGCTTTAGATACTGAAGTACTGAAATTGAAGTATTTTAGATGCATTTAATTACTTCTATCATCTAGAGTTCATGGGAATGTTGCTTTGCCAATTCAAGTTTGCTGGAAGTAGGTTACCCACTTTCTAAATGGATCTATTTATATGAACAGATCTTTTCTTATTTCTCAGTTTCACAAATGATTTTCCACCTTACAATTCTTCTGGCTGAATTCATCTGTCTAAATATCACTCAGCTGAGGATAACATTCAGTGGAATTCATGAAATTCGTAAAAACTCATGTTCTCCTAACAGAGTTTATTTCATACCATCCACTGATTCAGATTATTGTAGACATGAGAAAAGTACTTACTTGTCCTGTTAGGGTTAATGTGCTGCTTCAGGAGGTCAATGGACCCCAGACTGATCACAAGACGTTGTCCAAACCAGAAAGAGACAATTGGGCCATATTTCTCATGGAGGTTGACCAGAAACTCATGCAAGCTGCCACTAGTTATGATATCGGGGAGATTCCCATCTCTGGAATGAAAGAAGGATGAGATTAGGGCAAATTCATTAAAATCTCCAAAGAAGAAATGAAGAACTTAACATAGAATCACAACATTAAGCTGAGCCATAGTTTGTTCAACTATTTCATTAACTATCATAAATCACTGTAAACTGGGCACAAACAAATAAGCCACAAACCACAGTTTGTAGACCAAAACAGCTGGATTTAAAGCATAGTTTATGACTACTTGAAACCTAGCTCCAACTAATTACCGTACTTTTTGGAGTAAGACACACTTTTCCCCCCCTAAAAGAGGGTGGAAATGTTGGTGCGTCTTATACACTGAACATAGCTATTTTTGGCCTCCCAAAACCCCGCCCCGTGCATCCCGTTTTTGCTAAAAATAGGCTCATTTTTTGCAAAAGTGGGGTCTGCAAAGGGTTTGGGAGGCCTGCAGAGTCTCCAGGAGGCTGGGGAGGGCAAAAATGTGACACGTGGGGGGTTTGGGAAGCCAAAAACAGGGTTGTTTTTTGCAAAAACGGGGGCATTTTTGCCCTCCCCAGCCCCCAGGAGCACTCTGCAGGCCTCCCAAATACTCTGCGCACCCCATTTTTGCAAAAAAATGGTCCCATTTTTAACCCAGACCAGAGAGTTTAGAAGTTAAGCATTCAGTTAAGCATTACTACCTTTGCTGAGATGGACAATATGTTTAAAGAATATTTTTACCCTACTGAACTAGACCGCTCCAAACAGTCTTCAAAACTTTGCAGAGGTTGCTCCAGACTACAGCTTCATTGTTTGAAAGATGGGGATAAAAGTGAGAGGAAAAAACCTAAAATCAGCTAGGAAAAGGATGGAGTAGGCAAGGGAACTGTCTTCAATGAAAAAGAGAGCAATTATTGAGATCAGAAGAAAAAAAGCAGAAAGACAATAATATACATAGGAAACAGAAAAGGAGTTTCCAATGCCAAGTGCATCCTCCCTCAAATAAAGTGTGGTAGTTCTAAACTTTGTCTTAAAATTTGCAACATGTCCAACGATCCAAAAAGATTAAGGGCACTTCTGTGTAGAAAAGGGAAATTAAATAGAAAGGAGTAACTTACTTTTCATCAGTTGGAGTGATCCCTGGAATTCCTGAAGCTTGTCGGGAAGACTAAAAAGGAAGGTAACATAATTGGAAAGATTAAGATGTTTTTTATTATCAAGTCAACACAAAACAAAATATATTACTTAGCCAATTCTTTCCTTAAATCTAGGTGCTTATGATTTTTACCAAATATAGGACTACAAGTCATCATAATTTCTATGAGACTAAACATGTATGTCATTGTAGTTTATTTTAATCCTAAATACATATATTTTGCATTCAAACTCAGCTATTCAGAACTGTTAATTTATAAATTGCTTGTGTTGCTGATCCATTATGGAGTTCAAAGGAACAGATTTTAGGCAGTTTCCCATTCAAAACTGGATTACGGATGCAGTCTAACAAAACAAATTATATTGGATAGCTGAGGTTTAATTCCTCTATGCTTTTAGATATTGATCTATATAACTATCTAACACAGGGGTGTCAAACTCGATTTCATTGACGGCTGCATCAGGGTTGTGTCTGACCTGGGGGGGGGGCATGGCCAACTCGATGTTACTCCTGTCACAGAAGCCCGCATGTGGCCCTCCCGAACTCCGATTTCACTGGCAGAAGGTTGCAGGAGGCTGTGGCAGCTGAAAACGGAGCTCGGGAACATGTTTTCACTGGCAGAAGCACCGCAGGCCGGTCCTTTGCTGTATCCAAGGATCCGGCCCCCAGGCCTTGAGTTTGACACCCCTGATCTAACACTACTTTTCCTCCTTCCTCCTCATCCTATTTCTTTTTGTGCTGAATCTTCCAGTCTGTAAAGTTTACATTTTTATTCGTCTTAGTTCATATTATAGGCTTTCTAAGTTATTTAGAAGCAGTAATTTGTGAAAGCAAAGGCAGAAAATTTTAAAATAAATAATTGCATTAGAAGAACCTTGATACTGTGCTAATTTCCAGGATCTGGAATAGTTCAGAGAAAAACATTTCCCATCCTTGCTAGGGACTGGACTTCCCACCTCTGGGCATGCCAACTATTTTCTTCTCTACTTCTCTTTCTGACCCAAAGCCCCTCCCACCACAGGAAGCTTCCTTCCTTCCTTGGGGCAGATCACAGGCCCATGTTAGGCCATTTTGGCTACTAACACTGACTACTAACAGCTGAGCTGTCCATCCCCTAAGGCAAAAAAGGGGCCTTCACATCCCTTTTAAGGGGTGCCTTTGAGTGGGCAATGATCACAATTTGAGATTACCAGGATCCTGGCTCTCATCCTAAATTGAAAGTCTGGATACATCTGAGTATTTAAATACATGAAGCGAAAGAAAACTGAAGAAAAAGAAGGTAACCAAACCCTACTGGTGGGTGACCCACCTACACCAATTCTGCTCTTTGGATTAGTGTTCTCATAAATGAAACAAACACTCCTTGGAAGGAATTGAGCTCAACTCTTGATTTAATGGAAATATTTTGGCAACAATGTGGAAGTAGTTAATTGTTACTTTCTTCCAGAATGCCATCTTTGCTTCCCAGATTTATCTTCACTATTCCTAGTGGCCTCCCACCCAAATATTATCCTATCCTGTCCATATTCCTTCAGAGTTGGCTAAATGCTGCCACTTGCTGTCCACACTGAACACAGGCTGAACTCCTTTTCTCCAATTTGCTTTTTCCTCCAAAGTTGGTGTGGGCAATAAAGTGACTGACTGACTAAATCAACTGACCAAGGGCTTCTCCACTTTATCTGATTAAGTTTCCATTTTGTATGCCTGCATCTCTTGCACTTTTCTCGGATTTTCACGTGTAGAAGAGAGCAAGATGGGTGTTGCTGGGAAAACTTTGGGGATCCTCTTCCAGTGCTTTCAGAAATATATTAAATACCCGGGGAGGAGGAGGGGGGGCGGACAGAATGGGACACCCTTTCGCGGGGAAAGTCTCGCTGGAAGCAAGGTGGATGGTCTCTGGAAAGTCCAGAGAGCGGGGTGGGGGTGGGGATCAGAAAATGGTTTCTGTCCCCTCTTCGGTCGTCACAATAAAACTGCAAGGAACAAAATAGGAGCTTTAATTTAATTTAATTTAATTTAATTTATCGCATTTCTATGCCGCCCAACTCCCAAGGGACTCTAAGCTTTACTAAACCGCTGCCGCAAAACCCTGAATAGAACAGAATAACAGAGTTGGAAGGGACATTGGAGGTCTTCCAGTCCAACCCCCTGCTTAGGCAGGACACCCTATACCATTTCAGACTTCTTCGTCACAAGAAACTCAACGGAAGTACTACTTCCAGTCAGTCTCAGACGCGAACTGGGTGTTGCAAAGCGAATGTCCTGGCTCACTTGTCTGCGAGTAAGCCCCGAGGTCTTACTTCCGAGTAAAGTTGCCTAGTAGGATTGCACTGCAACGAGTGCGTGGCGGCGAAAGTTCCCTTTGGTTTGCAGACATTCCCCACCCCCCACCCCCGGCTCACACCCCGCTTATTTACCGGGCAGAGATAAAGCACGGCTCCCACCAGGATCAACAGGAAGGTGACGGCGAAAATGACAAAGTCCAGCATGATGGATCGCCCCCGGCCGACCGCCTTCCCTCCCTCCCTCCCTCCTTCCGAAAGAAAACCCGTCCACGTCCACGCCGGTCTCCGCAGCTCCAACGCAGAGCGGAGGGGCAAGAAAGAGGCGGAGAGCCGAGGAGGGAGGCGAAAGCAATCGAGTCTTTAGCGGCGCGAGCTGAGTTGGCCTGGCTGGGGGCCGAGTTCCGCGGCTGGCTCTAATCCGCCCTCCGCTCTTCTCCTAGGCAGCCTCTCCCCCTCCGCCGATTGCCTTGCAGACACACCTCTCCAAACGGAGCCTCCTGCTCGCCTCTTCTCGTCCAGCGCCAGGTGGCTTTTCCACGGCTTCCTGGAAGAGGCACCGTCGCGCTTTCTTAACAAGATGGGAAATCGCCGGCGGCTGTTGCTGATTTCCAACTCCACCCGCTACGGAGGAGGCTATCTCGACCACTGCCAGGAACAGATCAAGACCTTCTTGGGGGCGTAAGTTTACACGAGAGGCAGCGCCCGGTGAGAAGAGGCGCTGCGTCTCCAGGTTGACCATCCTAGGATCGCTTTGCCTCCCCAAACTGTTCCTCGACTTCTGCTTTTAACTTGCTGCTTGTACATACAGCCTCCTTTTCAAAGTGAAAGAAGAATTGTAAAACTATTTCTATGCTACCTGGAACAGGAATCAAGTTGCCTGTTGTTATTGTTGTTACAAAAATGAAGCCAATAAAGGAGAAGCCCTGTAATCAGAAAGCTATTTAACATTGGAAAATACTATTTATATATGAGTGGTGTGTAAATTATAAATAACAAACAGCTTGGTCACATCAAAGAGTGTTTCTTGAGAACTGTTTCCGCAAATCTGTAGGGTTCTTATGGGGAAATAGATAAATTGATTGGTTTTTCAGGGTCTATTTATTTAAAAATAATCTGTGTTCAGCCTGTCTTAGTAGGTATTCAATCAGCTTCGCTAGGTTCCTGCTTTAAAATACTAAGTAAACATCAGAATGATAGGGGAAAGGCACTTTCATATTGTTTTACTTTTTAGGGTAAAATGAGATATTGCCCAATCCCAAACTTGTGTTTGTTTGTCACAAAATTGTTTCTCCTAGGCAGGTGAGGAAAATTCTGTTTGTCCCCTATGCTCTTCATGACCAAGCTGCATATGCTACACTGGCAAGGGAGAAGCTGGAAAGTTTAGGTAAGTCAGACCTGTCCTTGATTCACATAGAACAGTGATTGCTAACCTTTTTGCCATCGTGTGCCAGGAAGGTGGGCGGGGGAGGTTCACCCACATGCGTCCCCTCCCCCCTCCCCCACTGGGCGATTGCCCAGTAGGCCCTTTTTTCTTTCTCACCTGGCTCCAGAGCCTCTCTATGCATCTGGGGAGGGCAAAAACAGCCTTCCCCAGCCCCTTGGAGGCCCTCCGGAGGCCCAAAACGGCCTGTTTTCCAACTTTCAGTTGGACAGGAAGTGATGTTTTTTGCTGTCCCTAGCCTCCAGAGCCTCTCTAGGAGCTGAGCTGGCATGCCAGGCAACATGGCTCCACGTGCCACCTGTGGCATGCGTGCCATAGGTTTGCCATCACGGACATAGAAGATGGATGGGTGATCTTTTTGCTCCAAGGCACTAAATTGGAGGGTATCCAATATTTTTAATGTTTGTTTATAATATATTTCTCTGTGTTAATATAACATATGATTATAATATAATATACAACATGACTTTCTTTTCATCTTCCTCTCTGGCAACAAGTGTAGCTTTTACATATGCCCAAAGGTATGCTTAGTCTTTTTCTTCTCCATCTTGACATCAAGGGATGGGAAATTGTAAGCCTCCTCTTTCATTGTATGGGCTCAAGTGCTTTTTTGAAAATAAAGGAGAGATCTTTGCTTTTCTCTTTCTGCCCCAGCAAAATGAGATGGTGATCCTCTCAACCTGTCAAACTATGATTTCCATAAGAAAGAAGTAGCATGGGTTGATTCTTACCACACATCTAAATGCATCAGGAAAGTGGGAAGAAGAATGATTTGCAGGGAAAGAAGTTGCCAAGCGTGATTTCCCAGCCCATCTTCCTTTGTGTTGGCAAAGATGGAGGGGTTTTGGGTGGTCAGCTGATTGGGGCATTCTCTGCAGACTGTATGGTGCTCACAGGGTTGCAGGGGGCCATTCCTGGTGTGAAGAAATTACACAGAATTTCTCAATAATTGTTGAGCACAAGTGAAGACACTCAAAAAGGTTATCCTACATCAACACCATTCTTTTTTGCAAGGATAAAAACTGCTGTGGCATTTGGTAAAAATGTTTTGCTACATTTTTTTACAGAAGTATACAGTTTTGTAGCCCTTAAGCCGTATATTGTGGCTTGCAAAATGGCTAATAATTCTATACAGTTTGTAAACCCAGAAAGAAGTTAAAACAAAAATGCTTAGGTACTGGCTAAAGAACTAAATTCTTCTCAGTGTAGGAAGTTAGCACCCACCCCTTTCCTGGAAGAGTAAAATATTTTAGGAAATATGAAAAAAAGGCAGAATATTATATTTCCCTGGATGAGAAATGGAGAAGCATATTTTACAGACAAAGCAGCTCCCACCTTCCTGCCCCCCACCTTTTGTCAATGGGCCATTAAGGCCTGGGCCAGTCTATTCTACATAACAAAGATCTGCCTCCTTCAGGCAGAACCATAGTAGGAATTGCGAAAGATAGGATTAGCCCTCTACACAATAGCAGCAGAAACTCACCACATGTGACCTGGGAAGCACATTTGACCATCAGCCAGCAAGGCCCCCACCCCCTGGGAGTCTGACAACCAATCAGGATACTCTTTCTGGGCCCCAGAAAGTTCAGAGCCAGAGAGAGCATAAAAACCCGAAGATTTACTGTATCTACCCCTTTTCTGTTCAGGAACTCAAGCCATGTGATCCTGTCCACCATTAAACCATCTTTCCAAGCAGTCTCTATGTCTCCAGTGTCTTTTTCCCCACTTGGAGCAGAACCTAGAAGGATGTTTCTTCCAACATCAGTAGATAAGGCTATAGCACCAAAGTGCAAACTTTATCTACTTGTCTATTTTTTTACTTAACTGATACAGGCTGAGTGAAAAACACATATGGAGGAGCTACAATGAAACTGTCAGCTGTTCCTGAAAACATTTAGGGTATTCTCTTCCCCTGAAATCAGGCTCTTGCTATTCCAAACAGGGGTTTCCTTCTCACAATCACCAGAATTGTCCTTGACGAGGCCTTTTTTTTTTAACTCTTGCACTGTTTCAGTATATAATAGATATAAAAAGTCTACCCATTCCTGTTAAAATGCCATGTTTTTGAGATGTAAAAAACAAACCAAGATAAATCACTTAATTGAATTGTACATCTGACATGTTATATTAATGGTGGAAAAAAACTGAAGTTATTTATTTTGATCCGATTTTTTTTACATCTCAAAAACCTGAAATGTATAGACTTTTTATATCCATTGTAATTTAGCCATCATAGCATCCTTAATATTACAGGGCTTGATCTAATTCTTTAGTTGATGATGAAGCTAGCAAGGAAGTTCTAGATCAGAGATGTCAAAATGGCGGCCCGTGGGCCAGATGCATCACGCGCAGGCCACGCCCATCTGGGCTCTGCAAAGTCAAAAAATGCCATGATACGTTGTGATACGTCACGTGATGCGATCAAGTTTGACACCCGTGTTTTAGATGGTCATAGCAACAATATTCCAGGCTATTTAGCATCCTTTCTTCAGCTTCCTTCTTTTCTGCACAGGTATGAAACTTGCTTCAAAGACCACTATTTCCTGATAGATATTTTGATCATGAATTCATTATAGTACTTTAGTACTTAACCGGGACTGTGTCTCTGAGCTGAGAACGTCTTGCTTTCAAATTCTGTTACAGTGCACATTGTTGCTTACTGATTTATATGTAACTTCTTGTCTTCTTCTTAGGCTACGGACTAGACAGTATCCATGAATCAAGCGATCCAAGAGAAGCTGTAAAAAAAGCTGAGGCAATATTCATTGGTAAATATTAACCTCTTGAAAGAATTTGCACAAATTGTCTTCTTGATAAGCCTATGATAAGGTACAAAAAGGCAAAGGTAGTAGGGTAGTAAAGAGACTTCTTAACTCTACTTCTGCTTTTTAAGTGTTATGGCAGTAACATAGGCTTTTCAGAATGCTTCGGGAGTCCTTAACATTGGTTTTTAGTTCATGTGTATCTGCAAGTCAGTGCTTTAGTGCTTTAACCACTAAAAGTTGTATTTAGGTTATAGCCTTACATTTGGCAAGTGTATTACACTGAACCAGACTCTGGTCTTTTTAACATAGATGAATCTACATCAGGAAAAAGGAAGTTTCAGTATTTTGGCTATAGACCACCTGATTCTGAACATATATTAATGATCACATGCTAGAGGTGGGCAGAGTCAACTCACATATGATCTTTCTTTCACACTGATAACATTCACATTCTGGACTCTCCATGTAGCAAAAACGTTTTGATTTTATTCCAGAAATGATCAGGAATAACATTACAGATCCTTCAGTTAAGATTTGAAGTACAGGTAGTCCTTGACTTACGACCACAATTGGGACCCATTAAGCAAATCACTATAGTCTTTAAATGAATCACATGGTTATTAAGTGAATCACATGTTTCTTTTTTTTTTTTTAATTTGATTTATATGCCGCCCTTCTCCGGAGACTCAGGGCGGCTTACAATGCGTTAAGCAATGTAAGAGAATAATTAAGCAATTCTTAAGAGAATCTGGCTTCCCCAACTGACTGCTTGTTGAAAACTAGCTGGGAAGTTTACAAATCGCAATCATGTGACCACAAGACCATTGTAAATGTGAGCTGGTTACCAAGCACCCAAGTCATAATCACATAATTACAGGTAGCGCAATGGTCATAACTTCGAGAACAGATTTTTAGTCATTTTTCCTAAGGGTCCTGTAACTGAACAGTACTAAATCGAGGACTTCTTGTATTTCTGATGCAGTCAGTATAACCCCCTTAAACCCAATTGCCTGTTTCTGTGGATTTGGTATGGTGGGGGTAATAGAGCTATCACAAAATAGCTCCACTTTCCTTAGGATCAGATTCTCAAATGGCCTTTGTGAGAAGAGCCTCTAATTCAGTGGACTCCACAGAATGTGGAGTCAGATTTCATTCCCAAATAAAAACCTCCAGAGATTGAGCATCACATCTTCTGGAGGCAAGCCATTCCATTGATTAATTGTTAATTATTTTCACTGACAGGAAATTTCTCCTCAATTCTAATTTGGATCTTTCTTTGATAAGTTTCCATCTGTTACTTTTTCCTCAGGTGCTTTGGAGAATAGGCTGACCCTCTCTTCCCTCAGCTCCTTAGATATTGGAACACTACTGCCAGATATTGGAACACTACCGCTTGTCCTTCTTTTCAATAATAATAATAATAATAATAATAATAATAATAATAATAATAATAATAATAATAATAATAATAATTTATTTCTATACCGCCCTTCTCCCGAAGGACTCAGGGCGGTGTACAGCCTATTTAAAAACAGAATAAACATCAATTTAAAATAATTTAAAAGTATTAAATAAATTTGGCTTAATTTAAAACCCCAAAAATTTAAAACATCCAATTTAAAATTATGTTGCTAACCCAGCCTGGCGGAACAATAGGGTCTTGAGTGCGCAGCGAAACACCCAGAGGTCAGAAATCTTACGAATTTCCGGGGGCAGTTCATTCCACAGGGCTGGGGCTCCCACAGAGAAGGCCCTCCCCCTGGGTGTCGCCAGCCGACATGACTTGGCCGATGGCACCCTGAGGAGACCCTCTCTGTGGGAGCGGACTGGCCTGTGGGAGGCTATTGGTGGCAGAAGACGGTCTCGAAGGTACCCGGGTCCTATGCCATGGAGCGCTTTAAAGGTGGTAACCAACACCTTGAATCGCACCCGGAAGACCACTGGGAGCCAGTGCAGCTCGCGCAGGAGGGGTGTCACGTGGGCGCAACGGGTTGCACCCATAACCACCCGCACGGCTGCATTCTGGACCAGTTGGAGCCTCCGAGTGCTCTTCAAGGGGAGCCCCATGTAGAGAGCATTGCAGTAGTCCAACCGGGAGGTAACAAGGGCGTGAGTGACTGTGCGCAGGGCGTCCTGATCCAGAAAGGGCTGCAACTGGCGAATCAGGCGGACCTGATAAAAGGCCCCCCTGGCCACGGCCGTCATATGTTCTTCTAAAGACAGCCATGCGTCCAGGAGGACACCCAGATTGCGAGCCCTCTCTGTAGGGGGCAAAGATTCACCCCCAATAGTCAGTGATGGTACCTGCTGACTATATCGGGACGCCAGGAGCCACAACCACTCGGTCTTGGAAGGGTTGAGTCTGAGCCTGTTCCTCCCCATCCAGACCCGCACGGCCTCCAGGCAGCGAGACATCACATCAAGGGCATCGTTGGGGTGGTCTGGGGTGGAGATATACAGCTGAGTGTCGTCAGCGTACAGGTGACACTTCACCCCAAAACCACGGATGATCTCACCCAGCGGCTTCACATAAATGTTGAACAGGAGGGGCAAGAGGACCGACCCTTGCAGCACTCCGCATGCGAGATGCCTCGAGGTCGACCTCTGTCCCCCTGCCAACACAAACTGCGAGCGGTCAGAGAGGAAGGAGGAGAACCACCACAGAACGGTGCCCCCTATTCCCAACCCCCTCAACCACCGCAGCATGATACCATGGTCGATGGTATCAAAAGCCGCTGAGAGATCTAATAGGACTAGGACAGAGGAACAACCCCTGTCCCGAGCCCTCCAGAGATCATCCACCAACGCGACCAATGCTGTTTCTGTGCTGTGCCCCTGCCTGAAGCCCGACTGGCACGGGTCCAGATAGATAGCTTCATCCAGGTGTCGGGGAAGCTGTCGTGCCACCACGCTCTCAACAACCTTTGCCACAAAACGAAGGTTGGAGACCGGACGGTAGTTGGCTAATTCAGCCGGGTCCAGGGAAGGCTTCTTGAGGAGGGGCCTCACTACCGCCTCTTTCAAGGCGGCAGGAAAGGCACCCTCGCTCAAAGAAGCAGTTACAATCCCCTGGACCCAGCCTCGTGTAACCTCCCGGGAGGCCAGTACCAACCAGGAGGGACACGGGTCCAATAAACACGTGGCGGCACTAGCCTCCAGTCCCTTAATCATGTTTGCTCCTTTCTGCACTCTTTCTAGAGTCTCAACATCATTTTTGTCTTCCAGTGACCAAAACGTCATGTATGACTTAACTTAGTGGGATTTACTTCTGGGTAGAAGAATATGTATAGGATGTATTGTATATTGTGGACTCAAATAAGAAAAGGAATAAACTTGATCAAACAGTACTTTTTCTTTCTGTAGGTGGTGGCAATACTTTTCGTCTTTTGAAAGCACTTTATGACAACGATTTGATACGGCCAATCAGAAAACGAGTTCTTGAGGTAGTATAAATCAGTAGTTAAGTAATTCTGAAACAAACTTTTGGTACTTGCTCAGAAATTGTAGCTATATTAAAAAGATGCTGCGTTAAGCTCTCTAAGGAGTCCATTCTGAGTCTCATTCTTTGTAAGTATTATGTTTTTTTCTGTGTTAAGCATCCAGAGGTTCCATGTATTCCTCAATTTACCAGGGAATGTTCAAGATGGCTTATCCCTCTTATTGTATGCTGACGAGACTCTCTTAGTGCTTACCTGGAGATCATGTTTTGCTAGGCCTAGTACCCTGAGTGACACTGGGTATTACATTGGAATAAGGGCATGGAACTGAATAGGGAAGGACCAATCTATGCTGTTGCTGTCCTTCAAAGTCTCAGAAGCATGGAATATAGAGTTTATGTTCTTATCTGGTGACATCTGGTGACTCCTCGTGTGGGAAGGGCAGTATGAAACAATGATAATCCCTGATGCTTTGTAATAGTTAGAGCTCCAGAGGACTTGCAGAATCCCCATTCATATGGTAAAAGCAGGGCAGTACTTCTCTAGTTTTTATACAATTTCTATCTTGAGAGCCAGTCCCTGACTTCAAACACTCACTGTTTAAATATTTGTCTTTCGATAGCTCTACAGAGAAAATGCTCTGCAAAATGCTAATGAGTTTTTGATGGAGCACTTCTAAAACAAAGATGAAGTAGGAAAATGGCGTCCTGCTCTTTTCCCCAGAATTCAACCTTGTAATAACAGCATGCATTAGATCAGGGGTGTCAAACTCACAGCCTGCAGGCCGGATGCGTCCTGCGCTGGCCACCCCCCCCCCCACCCCCAGTTTAGCAAAGGGGGAAAGTCATGATATGTCACGTGACAACAACATGATGACGCAAGTTTGATACCCCTGTATTAGATTGAGTGCATGTATAGCACAACACAGCATTAGCATTAGGGCATCCATCAGACATTTAAAGGCAGATCAACTGAAAATTATAACAAAATAAAGAGCCAAGATCATATAGAAGAAACTTCCCTTTCATAAAAAGCTCCCACCACAAAGAAACACAGAAATCTAAAAAGGTTTTGGCATTTCTGTGAAATTTTAACAATTTGAGGAGGTTTCAGTAACTTTCTGTCAGCTCTGCTGGATCATAATAAAAAGGTCTACAACTGTTTATTAAAATCTTCTCCCCTGCAGTTTGTACTAAAAAGCATGGAGAGCAAATTGTGGCTTTAATTGCATTGTGGTTTATTAAACAGTAAATATGCATCTATCTTCTCCATAATCTGAAGAAGAAATTTGGTGCTTTTTACTGATACCATTGGGGTTTCTTTCCATTCTTAGTACATTTCCATTGTCCTTCAGACAATTCCTGTGGCAACTATTTGTCATACAAATATGTTCATCAGACCTTGGCTGCAAAGACTAGATGTCTAGAGGGAGATACAGAAGACTTACTCTTTGCTAAGGTATAGTGGTCACTTGGACTGTTGTAGCCCATGTATGCCATACCTAGGTCAAAAGAGATTAGGCAAAGATGCAAAGAATCAAAGCTGGCGTATCACACTGGCTTTCCACCATTATAATAATACTGTATCCTTTTGTGATAACTTTGTTTCACCTTTTGAAACAGAGCATATTTTAGGGCAGGGATGTCAAACTCACGTCGTCACAGCGTCATCACGTGACATATCGGGACTTTTCCCCCCCTTCACTAAACCGGGTGTGGGCATGGCCAGCACATGATGCATCTGGCCTGTGGGTCAGGAGTTTGACAGCCCTGTTTTAGGGGAAGGGAATTTTAGTACAATGCACAGAATGTGTTTATTTCTGCATAGTTTTCTATCTTGTGTAAGTGCTGTCCCTCAAGCCCTAGAATCAACAGAACAAGATTTCAGCCACTAAAGCTGAAACCTTGCTTGCCACTGTGGTCTTTCTGGGGTTTAGGATTGTACAACTTTTGTGGACATAAAGACAGTCTTTATGTGGAATTTTGTGGATCAGCCTCCAAAAGTCACCTGGGTCTGGTGACCTGGAAAGGACAAGCTGGAATTTTAAATGATAAAATAGCACTACTGTTACAAATATTCTGGTTGGATCACACTTTCAAAGGAAAAAAAATAGTCCAAGAATATCCAGACATAGGGTAATCGTTTTCATCCACATCCTCTGGAGTCAGATTTCATTCCCAAAAGTCTGTCTTAGATTTGCCATAACATATGATAGGATCTCTCTGCAGGCAATGGAGTTCATTAAGCAACCCAAATTGTAACTTCAGAGTAACATGGATTATAAATCATGCAACTTTGCCAGTAGTTGCTGCCCTAGACTTTAATGAAAGTGCAATATATGTTTTTATTCTTTAGTATTTTTACACTTTGGATATAAACATGATTTAAGTTCAATAAAGCTTCAGGTCTTATATTCTGCTTTGTATATATAGGATGGTCAATTATAATTGTCACATTTCAGAATTGCATTACAAAAACTTTTAGTATAGAGTTGACAGTTTCCTTGTGATTTTAAGTTTTCAATATGGTGAAAAGAGAAATTTGCAGGCAGAGTACACTTCCTATGATTAGCTCTTCAGATTAAGAAAAAACTAGACTTTAATTTCCATGCCAATATCTATACTTTAATTATGTGGGTTTGTGCAAGAATTAGCTAGATCTGGTTTTGCTCTCATCAGTGCCAAAATGATGTACTCAATAAAGTTTTGCATTCAGAGATTGAATCATCTTGACCGTGCCTGCTTTGGTTGGGTGCATCAGTCGGAACGTTGACAGAAAGTATAGCTGCCTTCCCTACTGTCCTCTTACCTACTCCCTTAATATCTACTCAATATTTCAGTATTTCTAGTAGAATGCTGGGTAGTATTAATGTGTTGTAATACCACACATCTGGAGACCACTGTTTTTGGAAAGTCTTCTGTACTTGTAATGATTCACACTACATGCTCAATTTAAGAGAAAGGTAGAACATTCAAATCATCTTCAGATTTTTGAGCTTTATAAGCACTAAATGTTGCTCTATTATTGTATTCCATGTTTTTTTACAGGATGGTATCCCATACATTGGATCCAGTGCAGGAACCAACGTAGCAACCATCAGCATCAACACAACTAATGATATGCCCATTGTGTATCCACCTTCTTTGACAGCTCTCCAATTGGTTCCTTTCAATATCAACCCACATTACTTGGACCCAGATGTTAATAGCACTCATATGGGGGTAAATATCCAGTCTATTAACAGCTTTCTAGCACTTATTGGCAATGCTTAGCAAAGCATGATGGAACTATATTATCCCCACATTCTTTGGATGGGCATGAAAACATTAATATTATTGGTGAAGGTCTTTGAAAGAGATGGGAGGCATTAATGATTGAATCCAGAGATTACTGTACATTAAACAACAGAACTTTGATTTGCAGTCGTTAGGAAATGGAACTGAGAAATAGTGGGAAGTCCATTTATTATTATCTATATAAATACTATTTGGTATCTGAATGAACAATCCAAATTACAACTACCATGGTAGCTGAATAGGCACGGTATACTAAGTTGTAACATTCTTTGTCTAATTTTGGCTTAGCCAGAGTATAGCCAGTTGTAGGAAACCTGAGTACATCCAGAAGGACATTTCCCATGGACATGGGAGTGAGTATATGAAGGTACTTCATATTTTAGGTGGAAGGAGAAGTTGAGTGCTTAAAAAAGTCTAGGAAAACAAGTTTCCCCTCCCTGTTTTAAATATACAAACTGTAATGTAGGTTTTTATTTAAAGTAATGTATCTATTTAAAAAACTAACTGTAGCTTTAGAAGGAATCTGTGGATGGCATCTTAGTAATACTGTTAGTACAAGGAGACAAAACTGTTTAGGGATTTTTGAGAGCCAAACTGGAACCCATGCAAGTTTACATAGGGGATGGCTTCTTTTTTTTTTTACACCATCCTTTTGACATCACACTTGCTGTATTCTAACACCTGAAAGTGCTGTACTATTATTCTAGGAAACTCGTGAAAAAAGGATTATGCAGTACCATGAAGAACCAGATACACCTCCAGTGCTAGTGAGTAATTCTTGGGGGGGGGGATTGTTCCCTCCCATCTTGATTAATTTGATCATTCTAAAGAATATATGCTAAAGCCAGATGCACTTAAAAAGTGCTAAAATTGCTGATCCCTAAATTCTGGGTTTGGGTAAATATTGACCGAAAATATGAAGTGAATCATGAACCAGTGGTCTCTTTAGCTGCAACTCTGAATCCAGGTTCACAAGCCTTCTTCAATCTGCTAACCTGCAGGTATGTGGAATTTTGCCTCTCCAAATTTAAATAGCAATAGCACTTATATACTGCTTCACAGTGCTTTGCAGCCCTTTCTAAGCGGTTTACAGAGTCAGCATATTGCCCCCAACAATCTGAATCCTCATTTTACCAACTTTGGAAGGATTAAAGGTTAAGTCAACCTTGAGCTGGTGAGAATCGAACTGCTGGCAGTCAGCAGATTTAGCCTGCAATACTGCATTCTAATCACTGTGCCACCACAGCCCTTGTTACCAGAACCTGTCTACAACGCTTCAAAACAAGTCCTTGTCCAAAACATAAATATTTAAGAATGTAGAAATTTGAATATGACTTGAGGTGTATGGCTTCGTACTACATGCTAAATGTTAGCCTTCCATGAGCTATCTATTCCACCAAAGCCATAATTTATTTCTTTAATTTTTTTATTAATCTAACCATTCTGGTTTGCAAATAAGGATTTATGGCTCAATATGTTGTCAGAAGTCTTTGGTAAACTTTAAGCTTGGCTGTTTTCTTGCAGAGGTTTCAAGAAAAGGTTACCCAAACTAGGTAACCAGTGCTAGTCCTGATGATGTTAACTAGTTTGGGTAACGAGAGCACCAAGGACCCCTTATTTCAATCCTGAGCTACAAATATTCTCCTTTATTGATAGCAATATGTTTGGAGAAGCAAGCTACATTTTAACAGAATGTGTGTGAATTAATTCAAGGATGGCCAGTGGCTTCCCAGTGTTTTCAACAAAGGCATTCCACACTCCTATCAAGAGTATGCAAGTGATTCAGACTGAGATACACTACATTCCAAGTAACTGCTGTGCTCTTGATCTTTCACATTCCTTCCTGAGAAGAATTAAACATTTCAGTTCACGTAGTTAATCTGGTGTATTGAAAATACAAGAGGACTGATTCTGAACACAGATTCAACCTGTGTCATAATGTTCCTGGTATGCAACGCACGTTTCTATTTGTTCACACACACTCGCTCAGTCAATGGTAGTCTCAGACTCGATTGACCCTGCCTGTACTTTTCAAGGTGAGTTTGCCTGTTGCTCCCCTGTATTAAACAACACACATTTTGGTCCTTACCCGTCAAGGGCTTACGTGAAGGATCGTTGCTGCTTGTGGAAGAAAACAAAGCTACCCTGCAAGGGGAAACTGGGGCTCGGCTATTTGTGAGGTAAAAACCTGTTCTGTACCTTTACTTCAAATCCAGAGACTAAGCATAAAAAGGCAGTCCAACACATTTTGCTTTTATTTGTATTCTGAAACTGGCTCTATTTGCGAGTTTTGTTAGTGAAACTCATATAAATTCTCTGGCAGTTATCTTTCCAAGGAGTAGCCCTCTTAATGCTTTACCTTTTCAGACAAGACTAAGCTGCATCTTGTTCATTGTTATCTCTGCCTAAAGGCATACCACTTACGTTGGTAGATGTTAATAAGAGGATATGCCCCCTCCTCATCTTTTCACTGAACCATTTAGATCAGTATTTCTTTCATTATCCTTACTGTCCAGTCTTAACTGCTTGCTTTCCATGTACATACAATATTTGAGGAAGACCCAGAAACTTCTCAAGTGAAGTCACCGCATAAGACCTCAATAGCAGTTGAGATTTTTTCCTTAATCAGCAATATTCACATGCCACTTAATTCTAACCTGATACCGACTGCTGTTAGAGGACTTGTGATAGGAATGTATGTGTACAAGTGATAGAGGTTTTGTGTTCGTTAAACATTCTCCAGTACTATATAACAGGTGAATTGTCAGAAATGTCTATGAAACTAGTACTGATTTCGAACACTTCATTCTTAAACTTGTCAGTAATTATTCAAATGTTGTCTTTCTGTGCAGAGGAAGTGCCCCAACGGAACATGAGCATGGAACAGATTTCAGTTTCCTGTTAACAGAGGGCTTCAAGATAGTGTAATTATTTTTCCAAGAGTCCTCTCCTATGCAGGATTGTGCTCCTCAAAACGGCTAGGAAAAAAATGCCATATATTAGAAGGCCTGGGGATAGGCTGCCATACTGATCACCTCTTTCCACAGCTTAATGGCAGTCTTTTGCAACGGAAAAATTGAGTTCTGGAAAATACTAATAAAGAGTTAATTATAAATGAAGAGCTGCAATATTTTCATTTTATTAAGCAAATATTTATGGATGGACAGGTTCCCCAATCCGAGATTATAGTGTTAGTGAGCCTCAAGTCTAGTGCTTCCCAAGCATACCTTAAGACATTAACAGACTGGATAAAGGGCAGACTGGATAAATAAATAATTCAGACTACAGGGGACTTACTTTGAAGCCTACATCTGAGGATCTGAGAGGGTTATTTTCCTAAAGCCACTTAATAACAGCAACATTTCAGCCATCTTTCGACTCCAGCTTGGTTTCTTGGCTATTGTAACTTCAAGGATTTTAAAGAGCTTAAATTCATCTCTGAATTGCAGCAGCCTAAGTAGCAATTCTGATATGTGAAGAAAAAAATTGTATTGTTGTCAGGACTAAATTGTCTCGTTTTAACAGATAACAAGATAAGATTTTGGTATCATTGTTTGAAGAATTCATTTGCTAAGAAAAGAGAATAGAATAGAGAAATTTCAGCTCCAAGATAAATGTCAATCGCTATCAAAAACAAAACAAAAAAATAAAAATGCCAATGCAGCAAAATTGCATTTGGGTTACTATGTAATGGTAATGTGCAAACACTAAGCTTATGTTGCAGTCCTGGAGTTCCTTAGAGATAGGCACATAAATGGGAATGGAACAAGGGAAAAGTATAGAGTAGAACGATAAAAATTATATAAATAAAGGCTCTGGAAGAGTCGAAGAACCTAACATGTTGTGTGACTAGTAAAGACCGATTACCTAAACCTTTCTGATCTTCTCCTTACCAAAGATGTGTACTCAAGAACTGGGATAAAAGTTGTTTTAAATCAGAGTTTTATGGGAATATTATACAAAGTTAATTCATCCTGTTTGAAGCCTCTTTAGATACATAAATCTGGATTTATTCCACAATTAAGGCATTTGAAGACCGATACCAGTTAAGGAATGGCAGCTGTGATTTCACATTGTTGGGTTATATAGTAATTTGTTAAATTTGTATGATGTCTGACTCTCAACAACTGGGTGGCTTTTGTCCCTTTGTAAATGAAATAGAATACTTCACAGAGTTGCCATGATAGGTGGGCTGTCCCCTCCCCCATGCCAACTGCTGATTTTTTTTAATGAAATCCATGAGATAGTGTTCAATGATGTAATTCATTTTTTGTTTAAAAGGTGTCCTAACCTTTTGAAGTCATTCACAGCAAGTTCAACAAAATGCTGAAATGAACATTTCCTAAACCTATCCAGCAATGAGCACAACTAGATTTATTTTCCCTCCAGTGTCCTTGAGAGTTTCCACAGTATGAGTTGGTGGCAAAGGACTACGTCTTACAACTGAGGTGCTGTAAGGGAGCCACAAGGGTTGCTCATACCTTGCAAAAACCCTGCTCTCTGCTATTATGCACCTATTATTCCATGAAGGAATGGGAGGAGAGACAATGACTTCCCAAACCTGTTGAATGAAACCATCTGGCCACCACTGCCTGCACAGTGATCTGGCTCCTCCCTCCCAGTTGAAAACATTCTTTAAAAAAAAATAATAACTATAGGATCAGAATGTGTTTTTGAAAGGCACAATTTGATTTCCTGCCTAAAATTAGTATTTTCTGTAAATTGCAGTGCTTTACTCTAAAGGAGTCCCCCAAGCACAGTAAAAACATACAAATTAAGCGTGTTTTCAGGCAAGGGAAAGGCTGCACCCATCCAGTCATGCTCCAATCTCGCCTATGAACATGCTCAGAACTGCAACCCTTTGAATTTATTTTCTTTAGGAGAATAAGGGTTACTGGCTATAAAGTCCATACGGACATCTGAATTCCGCCCATGAGGCTGTATCTGGCACTGTATTTTGAGAAATAGGAAACAAGTCCATCATTCATTAGGAGACTAGTCGTAAGTCCATTTTTTAAATTTAATTGGCTTCAAACCTTGTTATATACAAAGCTAATTTGACAATCATTTTATGTACAAAGTATGCAAGCATTTTAAAAAGGTTTAAATTACAAATCTGTAAATCCTACAAAGTGCAATTTTTAAAACATTTCTCACCATGCTGTACAGAAACAGTTCACTGTTAGCTAATATACATACATACATACAAGCTTAAAATTATTAAACGTTATCATTGGAACATTAATACAAATAGAATATTATTTAACCTTAGAAGCACCAGAAATAAAGAAAAGATATTGCACAAAAGGTTTTAACATTCCATGATGGCTAGTTGAAATTTAATTATATCAAAACACTTCCATCTAAAATTTGAAGGCATTTTTGGCATTTTAAGTCAAGATTGCACTATTAGAATAATCAGCATTAGATTATCATTTGCCCTTATGTACAGAAGGCTTCGTGCTCTTTTTACTTTTAAGTGTGATGTTTTAAGCAAATGCAGAGGCACAGATTAGGTGTAATGCTGAATTTAGTAAAAGAAAATTTGTTTGGTGCCAGCACAATTTCCAAAGCCAGTTCTTAATTAATGGAGGAGAGTCTAAAACTCCGGCCTTTGTGACACTTACTCTCTCTCTTGTAGCATCAAATCAGGCAAAACTTCATGCCTACTAATGTATGCATTTTTGACAATGGAAGCTGTTTCTCTACAATTCATGACAGCACAACACTGAAAACCGCAGACATTTTCCTAAAGTGGTTCATTCTGTTTTAAGTTAGGGTTAGCAATCTGTGATGGTGAATTTCACTGGCATGTAAATAGTACAAATATCATGAATATCATGGATGTGCATAGATAGCTAAGCAGAAAGACTGCCACTGGAATAACATGGAGCACTGAGAGGTGCTATCCTTATCTGACTGATCTGAACATAAGCACAGTCCTGGAAAAACTGTGCAAATATTGAGACTGGATGGTTGTTGTTTTTAAAAAAGCCTGATTTAAATGCTGAGAAATATTAACTTGATGCTTTGTGCAATAGGCACTGTCAATCAGTCTCTTTCTTGATGCTTGTTTATAATCTGGATTTCAGAAAACTACCAAATAACCAACCAATTTTCTTTTCAGACCACTCCATCATCTATTCTGGCCACTATCCAAGTCTGCTTGATTTCAGTGAGATATATCATAATTCTGTTAGGCTGAGCCTAATGCCCTCAGTGTAGCCTTTAGAAATACAGCTCTTAAATGACTGAGTAAAGATGCTGAACAATTTTTCTTTTTTCTTTTTGCAAAAGCCCATTCAAAGAAGATAAAACACTATTTGTTCTCTGAGTAACACAGAGAAAGCAATATCAAGCATGACAATTTCACTTTCTGAAAAGCAGACCTTTGTGCAAAATTTTAAACAAAGCACAACTTTACATTCTTAATGTGGATTTTCCATGCCATCTTTTCACCTTATAGTGTTCCTGCACTTTTCTGATATTCAAATGTATGACACGGGTAAGAAAACATTAAAAGTGTTCAGAATTGATATACTAAGGGTCTTTTTTCTAAAGACAGCCAAGGTAGCAAGCATCCGTTCATACAGTCACAAGGTATCAAACCCAATTCAAAGGCACCAGTGGGAACACCAATCAGAAGAATACCATAGAAAGCAAATGTATAATTTTCAGATTTAAGTCCACAAATCAACCATTCCCACCACGCTCTGGTCCTAGGCATATCTTCTTGGAAGTAGGGAGACAGCTAGACAGAGTGTTGCAGACACCTGCTCCCAACAGAATATTTGGGCCAAGATAACAGAGATGAGAGATTGATTGATTGATTCTGGGGCCCTCACTCATATGCTATGGAACATCATCAATTCTGCAGTATCTTTGGAGGCAAAATGTGAATTTGTATTATAGTGCTTTAGTACTCCATTGATTCTATTTTTAGCATTGATTCCTTCAAACAACATTTTACAAAAAGCAAATGTGGAGAATGACCACTAAAAATAATGGAAATTAATATTTGCTTTTTGCAAAATGTTATTTGAGGGAATAACATCTGATATTTCATCTCATATATTTTTGTTACAACAGATAAATCAAAATCCATTTTGAGCCACTTTCCACATCCTAAAAGAAGTACATGAATAAATACATAAAATATAGTTATTAAAACAGGAATTAAAATTATTAAACTAATGGTCAAAGCTACTCTTAGCCTTACATAGGAAAGAGCCCAGAACTCTTTCAAGTCAACCTTTTGCACATCTTAAATAAATAAATAATCATAGCGCATATAGAAAGAACATTTGGATGGTTTCTGATACCTGATTTCAATAAAAAAAACATTTTTAAAATGTCGTTACCCTATTCTTTTTGGATACACCCTAACATTTCATTTTTTAAAATTATAAATTATCTCCAAGAAATTAAAATGTTCTCTAGGCTCTGGTAAATAGCTGAGAAATTTCTAGCAAGAGGCTTTTTGATGGATAGAAAATATCCATTATTTTCCTGGAATGGAGATCTTTGAATTGGCTCACTTGAAATCTCTCTGAAATTTTAAACACATTTCAAAATATATACATATCAAATATACAATTGGAAAACCATTAATATAATGCCCTAGAATATTCTTTACATGCAGTCCCATATTTAAGTATAGCATCTACATGCTTTTACAGAAATGGTTTAGTTTGCAACATTGATTAACAATCCTTCAGTTTTTAAATTCTCATAACCCAACTTCACGTCAAAAACATCAAACACTTTGTGATTATCTTTGGTAATGCTACTGTTTTCTATTCCAACTTTCACATACATCTTTTAACATATTTTGAAGTTCAGTCTTGTGTAACCTTTCCTTAAACTCTTCTATCCAATCTGTAAGATTGTCGAAAAAGTCAGGTCATCTTTCAGTAGAGCTCCTGGTGACTTCATAGATACATCCATATCACTTTCTTCGCAACAATACAGAAATAGCTTGCAGTTCCCTTCTTCTGGGCTGTGCTTTCAACTTCCTTATCTACTTCACAACTCTGGAATTCCCACAAACTCTTCCATCTATGTCCAGACTCTGCTTAACTTTTAAGATTAACCCCAAATCTGTGCTTTTTTGCCCACAATTATTTTACACTCGAGATTAATAAAATATAACATTTTCCCAGAACATTCTACATATGTCTCCTTAAATATTAGTCCCATTAACTTCATTTAGTCATCCAAGGAAAAGATTGAAGCTTAGACTACAGAAGGATATTTAAACACATATGTATCTAAACAGAATAAAAGACAATAGTCTTTGAAGTAATAATAATAAAAATGAATGAATTTTGTATCAGTGATAAAAGTCTGCAAAATTTCAACCCGAAATTAAAGATTAACTTCATATTTTCTTGTGTTTCTCTTGTAGTTCTTCAACTTTTGAGCCTCAAAGGAACCAGGAGAAAGTTATAAATCCACCTCCATAAGGTGTATATGGCACACTGAAATATTCATGTACTCTGCTCTTAATAAGCCTGCAATTTTTCTTACAACAGTGAATACAAAATCATAAAAAGTTATTATAACAAAAAGATGTTCTTTGCTTGGGGAATCAGAACATTCTCACTCAAAGACTTTGCAACCAAGGCTAAAATTGCATCATTTTCCCATTACATAATTGCCTATATTTAACGTCCAATTTGTTTAAAAAATAAACCCTCAGTTAGGGTTATAATTCACACTGTGCAAAATAAAACCTGGAGAAATATAGAGAAGGTATATATTATATTTGTAGTCTCTCTCATTTACATTTCCCAGCATTGAAATAATTCTTAGTTAAGAAATGTTATTATACCATAACTCTGCAGATGAAGATTTCTTCCCATTACAAAAATGACTGCCATTAACAACATAGTACCGGTAGCTTTTTCAGATGTGTGAGATGAGATTCAATCATGTGCATATACATTGGCTCTTAAAGAACCAAGCAAAACTGCTAAGCTACCATCTTCTGACCGAAAGAACTATCTAGCCCTATTTATGGCATCTCCCTCTCCCCGCTATTGCACGTAAATGTAAATAGGACTATCCCAATGCTTTTGTGCATGGAATACATTTAATGTTTTAATGCTCAAATTTAATATTTAGCAGCAAAAAATGGTTCCAGTTACCATTTAATGATGCTGAATCAGATACCCTGAAGGATGAAATTTCTGTGCTGAATCCCACAAAATTAAGAACTCATGCATTGGTCCTCTATTTTTTTGTCATTTATGTTCATATATTAACCATTCAACTTGCACCTCAACCTGTTCAAAAGATTTCAGAAAGCTGACTTCTGAGTAGAGCAACTTGCGCTGATAGTCATCCATTTCCCCCCTTAAATAGGTGAGTTTAAATAAATTTCTCATTCAGTTTCCAAGAACTAAAAAGGCATTGGAATTTTTTTAAATAATTGTTTTGTTGATTTATATAGTTAAATAATTTAGAGACACATTAACCAAGATTCAGAAGACTCCTTTTGTCAAGGAGGATTTAAAAACTAGATCTCTAATTCTTTTTTGGCATGACAGCAACTACCTCTCCAGTGGCCAAGGCCACTTTGAACACAAGCTGTGAGTTCTATTATGCCAAAACAGCAGCAGGTTATGTAAAGGGGGGTACAGAATAGTGTTATAATGGATAGCCACAAATTACTGATTTTGACATTTATGTCCAACTGTCAGTAATTACAGGCAAATTTAGTGACTGTCAAAATACTTTACATTGCTGATAGTCATTAAATTTACCCCAGTTTGTTGGCTTTCTTATATGTCAGTTAAATTTTCAACATTCACTTTAAAACACACACACATATACATCCATACTTACTATCTATCTATCTATCTATCTATCTATCTATCTATCTATCTATCTATCTATCTATCTAATCTTGCAATGTGTTTAAAAAGGACTGAATTATCTTATTGCTTCTACTTAGCACAAAAAAACAATAGATGTTGTATACTAATATGCATATGTGCCTGTGGAAATTGTGCTGTAGTTGCAACGTAACTGAGAAAATTGAGAGGTATGATTGGAAGATTAAACAAAAATGTATGAATCCCAAGAGATGATAGGAGCAGATATCACATGGAATCTTGAGTATTATATTCAGTTTCTCCAGATGAAATCTGACTGATCCGTTTGCTTGAACCCCACAATTTTCGGGAGAGTTGGCCAGCACGCATCTGTTTAAAGTAAGCCAGAGACACAAAAAGGAAGGGGAAAGGGGGATAAGGGGGATAAATTAAATAAAAACTTCAGATGATTCTACAGAAGCGCAGACAGCAAAAGATAGAGCACATATACACAACACAATGGCAATTTATTTCTAAAGTATTTCAGTGTTTGGACAATCCTAGGGAAAACAAATAAAGGGCACAAAGTGGAATTCTCTCAAATACATCGTTAAAAGGTCACATTGTCAAGTGACTTTAAAGAGGCATCTTTGAATGCCCTAAAAAACTTTGTAGGCTGAAGAAAACAGAATTTAGATATCAAGATTATGGTGCCTTCTGTCGTTATTTGGTTTTGAAATATAAACAGAAAAGATCCTCTATAAAACAATCGATTTTGTTTAAGGTTGCAAATTGAACAACCTAATTAGGTAGTCTTCTAAATATGCTTTGGGGCAAATGGCAAATGAACACATAATCTTTACACCATAAAGAGTGTTTAGGGGTAAAACACTTGACAATGTTTGAAAAATAACAGCAAAAAGAGGGAATGGAAGAAGAAAATTATTATGGTGGGGAACCTATACACATTTACATTAATCTTAATCAGTGCAAACAATTTGTGTTAAATGATGCAATTTATAATGCAATAAATAAGTAAATTAATAAGAAAGACTCAAAACCTAGGTCAACAATCAAATGACCTGGCTGGGTTGTGCAATTAAAGGCATACTAGTTTTGTGGTGTAAACAACACACATTTTTTGGCAAATAAATAATTTATCTAATCAAGATAATAGTGCAACATTTGACTGTGTCTGACTTTGAATGAAGTCAAAGCCTAACTTCAGCTTGACAACTTGAACTAAGAGAGTGAATGGCTTTGATATGTTATAACCTGGATATTCCAGAGATTTGAAAAGGGCTTAGACACTTCCCCCAATGTGACACTTGAGAGACCGCCTGCAAAGATTTTGTATCGTCCTCAATAATTAATAAGCATCAGTCATTTCCTGGCTTCTTCTGAAGAGGTTAGTGCAGAGGTTTGCTTGAGTTAAGAAAATACTATTGGGCATCTCTCCAAAATTAGGAGAATCATTTTCACAGACGCCATAATGCAGTATTCCATCAGTTCAGAAAGCCCAGGGTGTCACTGAAGGGCTTTGGTTCACTTGCTCTAGGAAATATTTTGGTGACATCCCTTTTGTGCGGTAGACTAAAGGACATGCCCAATAAACACTGCATAATTGTAGTTGGCATCCAAGTAGTTTGCATCCACTCCAAGGATGAGAAGCACTGCCCTTTGCATAAATCTAATTAGCAACAAAAAGATGGATCCTTAATGGCATTTTTTTTAAATGGAGCATGAATGCAGCTAAGCAAAGCCACAATGGTTCCAAAGTAGCCCACTGTTGTCTATTCAGTGCTCTTCTGGAAGCTAATGTCATTCATTGTAAACAGTGGTGACAGGTTAATGTTGAGAATTAAGTATTAAATGGCAGGTGGCACTAAGCAAGTTCAGTCCAGTTAGAAAGCACTATTAGCGCGTTCAGGCTAAGTCAATAAAATCTGTATGTTAGTTCAGCACACCTCCTTTCCCCTATGGTTCCCCTCTACATTCTCTCTCTTTTTTTTCCAAGCAGAGAAGGATGTGTTAAAGAATCTCTAAGAATGTCTTGGGAATTATTTCTTCCCCCTTGAAAGGTCAAATTTGCTTTGAAGTTTGCCCTGCCACAGAAGCGATCGCTTGCTCAGCCGGAAAGCAGAAATAAATGAGCTTCCCATTGTTCGGTAGATAAAGTTCTTGATGGTAGGTTTTACCTCTGCTGGCTTTCCAACGCCAATGATAATCAACTTGCCATCATCGAGGCCCACCAGAATGTGGCTGAACTCTTTGGTAACAGAGACACAGTGAATTGGCAGCCGCATGGCTAAAGGGGAGGAGCTAAGGCTCAGGCTGAAATAAAGAAATAACAAACATCTATTATTTACAGCAGGCCAAAAAGCACTCGAGGGGCAATTTATATTAAAAGATAGAAATTGCTGACATCTACCAGCAAGTCTTACGAAGCATTATGTACCGAGTCTCTGATTGGACATCTGTATCTAAGACATGGTCAGTAATGGAATACCACCATGTTTAAACCTTTGTTTCTGGGCCAGTTCAGTACATCAAACTTATTAGTCAATTTCAGCATAGATTAAACATCCATAATTTATTAGAATGAATCGATACAAAAATGGATATCATTTTAAGATGCAAATCCAAACATAAGAGCAATTCCAAATCTATAAACAATCAATCTCAAATTAAATTATAGCTCTAAGCATATCCATTACTCAAACAAAAATATAACTTGCTTCTGTTCCCAATTGGCTCATTCAAGGGAATTCACTGAAAATCGAATTACTGTTATTGAGCTGGATTCAGATTCATGCTAAATAAATCCACTTGTGAACATCTATCTGCTTTTGACTGCATTTGTATCTCTCCCCCCACCCAATTTCTCAGAATTCTCCCTCAAAATTGTGTTTTAGTGTAGTGTGTTTTGTATGAACTACAGAAGGAAATTTGGAATAGAAAATTATCAACAATTAAGCAGAAGTACCCAGCAGAACTAGAGAAGTAGCAACAGTAATTACCATATTATAACATGAAATAATGAACTCCTCAATTTACAACCATTCATTTACTGGCCATTCAAAGTTACAATGGCACTGAAAAAAAGTGACTTATGACAATTTTTCACACTTATGACACACTTATAGAAAAAGGACAAAACAGTAGCAACCAGCAATAAAACACAAATCAGGAAGTTGGTTGAGATCCAGAAAGATTGTTTCCTGGTAGTTTGAAGCATGATTAGTAGTAAAAGGCATCATAAGAGAGCTCAAAATCGTAAAGAGCACGTAACTAACTAGCAAAGAATTAATTTGCTTCTTAGTATTCAGCATATGAGATTCCTTCCATATAAACAATAATAGTTGGTGGAGAAGGATCATAGACTGTAAATTAAGAACTGCTGATTTATTTATTTATTTATTTATTTATTTATTTATTTATTTATTTATTTATTTATTTATTTATTATTTATTTATTTATTTATTTATTTATTTATTTATTTATTTATTTATTTATTTATTTATTTATTTATTTATTTATTTATTTATTTATTTATTTATTTATTTATTTATTAATTACATTTTTATACCGCCCTTCTCCTGAGGGACTCAGGGCGGTGCACAGCCATACTAAAACATGTGTATCTATAAAATTTAAAAAACAATTTAAAACATATTAAATGATTTGGCCCTATATTAAAAACTAAAACACCCATTAAAATCCATTCTTAAGCCAGCCCAGCCTGTTGAAACAGTAGAATCTTAAGGGCACGGCGAAAGGTACAAAGGTCAGGGATCTTACGAATCTCCGGGGGCAGTTCGTTCCAGAGGGCAGGTGTCCCCACAGAGAAGGCTCTCCCCCTGAGGGTCACCAGTCGACATTGTTTGACCGACGGCACCCTGAGGAGTCCCTCTCTGTGGGAGCGTATTGGTCAGTGGGAGGCTATTGGTGGCAGAAGGCGATCTCATAAGTATCCAGGTCCTAAGCCATGGAGCGCTTTAAAGATGGTGACAAGCACCTTGAATCGCACCCTGAAGACCACCGGGAGCCAGTGCAGCTCGCGCAGGAGCGGTGTTACATGGGTGCGCCGTGTCGCTCCCATAATCACCCGCGCGGCTGCATTCTGGACCAGCTGAAGCCTCCAAGTGCTCTTCAAGGGATGCCCCATGTAGAGAGCATTATAATAGTCCAAACGGGACTATGATTAATCATAGATCCCCAAGGACTCAACTTGTCAACATTACAAGTCATTGGAAACAGCCTTCCTTTTCAAGCTTCCCCTTACCTGTAGAGATCTCTTATGGAGAGAAATCCCTGTAGACTCCCTATTACAATATACTCTCCAGTCACACAAAGATCCGACACTTCTTCCTTCAAGCTCTCAGAGCCCAAATACTTCCCATTCACAGAGTAGAGATGCAATGCATTCTTATCCTGGGCAGAAACCAAAAAAAAAAAACAATAAAAGAGAGAGAAGAGCCTTGAGCAACAACATTTCCCATAGAAATTTTAAATTCTGTAACAGTATTGTTTGTAGCACCATTACAAAAAGAAGATACCATGGCATGTAATCTCTACATAATGTTCAGGATTGTCAATTCATATAATATTTACATATACAGGTGTGGGAGCCTGATTAGGAACCTGTCTAAGTTAGTAAACCTGATCTGCATGATTTTGTATCAAATTCTGTAGATAGGGTGTGAGTTAGGGGTTGTTAATAATTTCAGATCCCATGGAAATTAAAATTTTGTATATGAGAATACAAGACCTTACAAAACATGTGACTTTGTGAAATTCTGTCCATTTTTTTAAATGGGAGCGTACAACTGTGTTTTAGTCTGCAGAGGACATGCAAATAAAAGGTTGCCAACATTTGCAGAGAAGTGAATGTTGCAGAATATCAGTTGCAGAACTGATCACATTCAAGAAAGAGTAGATATGCAAGGCTAAAATCTACCAAGAGACTCTACAACTTGGCTCCACCTCTAAATTCCCAAGCAGTATCTTGACATTTGGGAAAAGAGGAAGCCACAATTTCTCCAACACTGCTAAGGATGCTTATCTAGAAGCAAAATGACAACCACACAACTCAAAATTGTCTTTTTCCAATTAAATTATAAATACACGATGGCATTTGGTCTTGAACTTTATCTAGAACCAATTTCGCAAAAGATCATTGCTTAAAAGGCAATTAAAGCTATATTATTATTATTATTATTATTATTATTATTATTATTATTATTATTATTATTATTATTATAAAAAGGATTGCTGCCAGCGTCCTAGGTATCAACATCTTTAAAAGGTACTTGGTTGATACCTAGGAGGCTGGCAGCAACCCATATCAACCATTAGTACCAGTCAATGGTATTTCTGATGCATTTTTGAATGTTCAGATGATTGAGGTTTGGTGAATAAAAGATAACAATAACAACAACAACAACAATAATAATACTCTCCAGGTTGGCAGACTGGAGGATTATTTTTATTGCATATCAAGTATAGTATATTGAAACATTAAAGGCAACATTTAGTCAGCCAAAAATAGGTAATTCTGTTGCATAATATTGAGTTTAGGCTAACAGGGATACTAAATTCTTGGACAGTGAAATGCCTACGATTTGCTTGGGAAAAAGAGCTATAGAAGCTTCCCTCCAGCAGCCACACAATCCTAGATACAGCTTTGGCTGCTTCCTTTTGTCATTTCTCTGTGTTGCAAAGCCTTTCCTTTCAAACAAATGGCACAACCTTACACTGCAGAGGCAGGAGACACAGTCAAGAATGAATTCCAATACTTTGTCCACACTAATTCATGTACAGGCAAAAGTTGCTGCATTTTGATTAAACCAAGTCTATGTAACTGAATTCACACATTAAAAGGGCTTTCCCATATGCTCTCTTTGCCTATTTTTCTGGACAACAAACCATGAATATATGGTTTATGCAAACATAAATATACACCTATGGGCCCCAGTTTACAGGTATATATTTGTATTTATCTAGACATAAATTATATATACCATTCCATGGTTTGATGGAGGGAGGGACTAGCCTTGAGAATGCTGAATGACAATAAGAAACTCCCATTACTATTCCAATCACGCAGTTAATTTATCCCTACCTCTAGAAACAAAACCTAGAAACAAAACAAAACTGTTCATTCTGCTGTCTGAATACCTTGAGAGTTGTCTTTCCTTCTATGCTGGTATGAACGACTAAGCGTCCTTCCCAAGAAACAGCCAGATTAGGAACAGTGATCGGGAGAGAACTCTCACAAGGCGGCCTCAGAGTCCTCATATGTTGCCCCTTCTGAATTGTGTGGACAATCACAGTTCCATCCTATTAAAACCAAACAGAGATATCTCAAAATTGGAAGGATGTGAGAACCAATTCATAGTGTAGCAACACTAGCCTCTGTGCTTTTAATACAACAGTCAGCATGCCCAGAATGACACACAGAAAACAGCCACCCAGGCAGTGGTTTTTCAATGGATTATTTATTTTATTTTATTTTTATTTTACTTCAAATTTATATACCGCCCTTCTTCCTGGGAACTCAGGGCGGTGTACAGCCAGATAAAAACACATAATATAAACTATCTAAGCAATGTTTTATGAGGCAAATAAGACTTTTAACAGCAAGTATTTATAACAGCTCTTTATATTAATGACTTTTAAATAATGCAGCTCCTCTCAGCCTCAAATGTTCATTATGCCTCCACACTGCAGTTTTAAAAACATTCCATATATTTTGTTGAATGCATTCCATTCTTTCTGCAGAAGACAGGAAGGAAGAATGTTTTGGAAATACATTTTAAAAATAGAAGACCTTTTTTAAAACCAAACTCCAAAATGGTTCTGTGTTGAACATTTGCCATCAAACTATCATGCATGTATTTGCCTGGAAGCAGATGTTCAAAAGGGGAAATACTTTCAAAGAAGCGGGCATAGCTTTGCAGACATCATTTACCACAAGGGAACAATTTAGAAATGTAAATGGCCTGGCAAGAATGAATTGCATATTCAAGGTTCACTTGAGACTGATGAGGTACTTTAAGCTTGGGAAGCAGTTTTCCTTTGAATGAAGACTTAGGAAACAACAAGCAAGCATACCCTGGCACCTGACACTGCCATGTCCAGTTCTGTACTAATGCCAACTGAAGACACTTCATTGGTATGTCCATAGAGAATCTGCAAAGGTTTAGGAGCCAGTCCTATTGGCACTCCTCCCTGCAATTAAATATTGGAAAGAAGCACAGTTATATTAAAAGACAAGGTATTTTCAAAGCAACACATCTGCCCAAAACCTGACATAATTTTGTGCCAAACTTTCTACTTTAAGGAAGTATAATGCTTCTTAATATATTAAACATTCTTATTATAGGTCAGTGATGGCTAACCTTTTTGCCGTCGCATGCCAAAAGCAGGGGCAGCATGGGGGGGTCGCACACATGTGTGTCCCCACACATAATTCAATGCCCCTCCATGCCCCCCCCACTTTTGGCATGCGACAGCAAAAAGATTACTGGTGGGTCTGGAAGGACTGTTTTCCGCTCTCCCCAGGCTCCAGGGGCTTTCTTGGAGCCTGGGGAGGGCGAAAACGGCCTCCCCCCGAAGCCCTCCAGAGGCTGGAAATGGCCCATTTCCCGACTTCTGGTGGGCCCAGAAGGCCCAAAAATCAGCTGGCCGGTGCACACATGCGCACTGGAGCTGAGCTAGGGCAACGCTTGCATGCCCACAGATATGGCTCCACATGCCACCTGTGGCACACGTGCCATAAGTTCGCCATCACAGTTATAGGTTAAGGCAGAGACTAAACAACTTCTGCAGCCAAGGAAGGAAAGGCTTAGCTACCTCTTCCTGCTCACTATGATCATGATTGTCATTAGCCTACTATTTAGACCCATTTAACTTTGCTTCAAACTCTGCTCCGGTTTATTATGATAGCTGGAAGTTTAGAAAGTCATCAAAGGTAAAATAAAATACAGCTAATAAAGGTAAGGTAAAGGTATAAAGGTAGATTTATTTCATCCAAGGTAAAATAAAATGCAGCTCATAGTTGCCAATAAAATGGCAGCTAGTAGGTGCTGTGCTGCCATTTTATTGGCCATGGTGAAAACAAAGCTGGATCATCTGAAACTGCTACCAAAATAAGTAAACAAAATAGATAAAACAGGAGAAAACATATCAATTCAATTTATTCTTAGGATAAAACTTTAGCTCAAAAAATTAGAAAATCTCAGGATGTATAAAAGAATAAAAAAGGAATTCTTTCTTCACTTGTGCCTCAGAAACTAATCGATACAGCAATAGTTCCATTTTACATTTACATTTACACTAAAGAAAGCACTAAACAGTGAACAAAGGACTGGGGCTTTTAATTGCACAGTATTATTTTCCAAGGAGTTACAAGAACAATCAGTACAAGAACGACCTTTTTATAAATTTATTTTTATTGATTTATTTAAAAAGACTTGCATGGCTACCCATCACAATTCTAAGCAGCACAAAGTCATAATGAAACCAGACGAAACCAACAGCCCAAAACAAATCCTCTCCAACCCATTAGCAATACAAACGCCATCGCTGGACTCCAGTCTTACCTCACCTCACCCCAGCGCTTTTGGCATGTTCAGGTAAGTTTTCATGCACTAATACTTTTATCAGATATGCCAGAATGTATCCCTCGTGGCTCTGTAAGCCCTATACAAATTCCCAACTGTGTGAGATTCAAGTAACCCTTTTATATTTTATAAAATTTGAATGAATGTATTGTACCTCACATTCTGATCTTTCTGCCCCATCTGTAAGTTAAGGCAATCAGAAAACATGGCATCCCACAGCACAAATAGCTTGCAGAGTTCCACAAAAGCCAACTCACCTGCTGAACTATTTGCCACACCATACAGGTGGTGTCCCTTGAGCCCGAAATTAAATGGATCCCACAGAAATCCATGGCTAAGCATGTCACAATGTCTATAAACACAAACAGAGGAAGACTCAATTCATAGAAATTGAAATAACCAGATAAAAAAGTGACAGTTTAAACATAGATGTGCTGGCTTTGCCCCAAAATGAAACAACTATTCTACATTGCAAAATGAATGTAAATTCATGACCATTAGATTTTAAAGAATATGAATTAGCAAACATTGTATGTAGCATGTGGAACACCTAATTATATCAATAAGGATTCCTAAAGAGAATATTTCTGCTCCCAGGAAAAAGAGGCATTAAACATAAACGGTTATGTAAAAATTCTTTTTCCTCCATCAGATATTATCATAGGATAATAGGATATGGATCAGTGGTGGGTTGCCTCCGGTTCGGACTGGTTCTATAAAACCGGTAGTAAAACCAGCGGGAGGCTCCACCCACTGACCCTGATGCCATCAGAAGCTTCTGCACATGTGCAGAAGCAAGGCGTGCACGCGAGCGAAGTGAGCTCGTGCGTGCAATCCCGTTGCAAACGGGTAGTAAAGGAAAGTAGAACCCACCCCTGATACGGATGTGAGGCCAGTAAAGGCTCACCAGAGGCCTTCATGCACATTTACTTACCTTCTTTCAAGCTAAATTCTATTCAATTCTATGGGGTTTGTCAGGAAGGAGACATTTTAAATGGATCAAATCCAACATGATTTTTGTTTTAACCAAGAATAGTCTGTGGTAGCAAAAAACAAAGGAGGAGCCTTGTTTGCCCCAAGCTATGGAAGATTAAAAAAGAGAAACTCTGGTGTCAGAGGAAGAATATCTTATTAGAATAATTGGTGATCCATTGTCTTTTTAGCCTATCTGTAGAGTTCGCAAAAATTCTAATGGATCCTTGTGGACAGATAGTGGAATGGAAGAGGCTTCTGAGCCAATGCAATCTAATATTTAGACTACACTTTAGACTAGGCCTAGAGTGACATTATTTTAAAACTTCACTTGGTCTTTGAAAATCAAAAGTAGATTTTGGTCCAATCACTATTCTCAATCTCATGGGGATAAATTGAGCTACAATTAACATCTTGAATATCTGGAAGGTAACCTCCTTCCTTCTTACTAAAAAATAATGCTAATCAGCACAGCAATAATATAAATATTGTTATTTACAATACGTTTTATCATTTTCTGAGATGCAATAAGCAGTAACATCCACCAAATGGTCTCTATATTTTACAGATTCACAACATGGTGAGTTTTCTTTACATATCACAATGGAAGAATACAGTGCATTTGTATCTATTCTCTGTATCCAGAATTAAGGAAGAAGGGCCAACAAGAAGGCGCCAATCCTGTTTGTAGTTTAAGCATTATTTTTGATCCATTAGTAGATCCAAGTAATGTGTTGCTGCATCCTTTTGTATTTTAGGGCTTCTTTCTGCTATAAAGTCAGGACCTCTTTACTGCTGGGTAGACAAAACAATTGCTATAAACATCAATGTTTCCATGGATATCTTGCCTGGCAGTCTCCTTACTTTAATTACATAAATGAACAGGATGTGGGCATTCTGCAAAGCAAAGCACAGACATCTTCTGTATGCTCATGAATTTCTCAATTGTTAAGCATTTTTGCATATAGAGTAAGTTAGTAGAGTAAGTTGCAGCCCAGTGCTTCGTTTTGGAGGATGTTATTTGAATAGAATATAGTAACAGGTGCTTCAAGGTCTGAGTCTGAGTTTTCCCTTTCTTTCCTCTTATAGCCCACTGATTTAGGGTCCAGCCAGCTCAACTTCTGTCTCAGCTTTCACTGTTTCCCAAACTTAATGCAGGCTTTTTTGTTTTCCAAATAATTTCTGCATGGTTCATCTCTGTGGCTTTCTACAGTTTGCTTGCCCAGTAAACAGGAACTTTGTGACTGGCCTGCTCCCTGGAGCAGAAATTTATAAGCAACCCCACCTATTTTGTGGCAGCTATTTTGTGAGAGCATCTCAACATTCTAAATAGGCCCATTGTCTAATCCACTCTAAATAAATACGTAAGTAAGTAAGTAAGTAAATAAGTAAGTAAAGTAAATAAATAAATAAATAAATGCCCAATCCCTTACCCATGTGCCGAATATGCTGTGCCATCACTTTTCCCTTGGTGAGAGATGTCACACGAATGCTATTGTCCCAATGCCCTCCACTGAAAAGCAACTTTGCATCATGGGACATCACAAACAACTTTGAAGTAATTTCCAATCCTGGTGCAAAAGGACCACTGATGTTTCGTTGTGTTCTGGAAACAAATATTAAAATTAGATCTACATTTTCCACTTATTAAAGTATATTATTGCCCAAAATCATGAAGCATGTTTCGGTGCAAATAAAAATGCAATATAATTACTTAATAATATTGAATCTGCTTGCAACGATATAAGCATTTATCAAAGTGAGAATAAAGCACAAGTTTCAACTTCCAGCATAACAAATTTTGTTTTCTTCCAGTTAGGATGGGAGAAGGGAGAGAGCTAGTCAGAGGTCAGGTAGATGTTTACCCTGTTCATTCATATAATGACTGATTGTGGTACACTATTATAACCAAACTCCCAATTCTTATCAATAACTGTGCAAATTTCTAAGATCTGAACTGCGGATTTAAGATTTTATCATCCATTCTCTTGATCTTGCATTACAGGAGTCTCCAGGCTCATATCTGAGCTTTGTTCAATCAGGATGTACTATCCTTGGGAAAATGTCTAGAGGACAGTATAAAGCTGATTAAATAGCAAAGAGAACATGAATTCAATGAGCCAGTTTATTAAGCCAAAATTAACCATGAGCCCATGGACTCCTTCATCAACATTCTCATCCTTCGGCAAAGTCTGCTGATTTCTTCAGATAATTTCCCATAGCATCCAGCTCTGAGAAGAAGCTTTCATCACCTACCCAGAAGCCTATTTTGCAGTTCAAAATAGACAACATACACACTGAATGTATGTATGCAATGCATACATACAAACTTCTACCTGTATGCATATTTGTAGTTTGATTCAGATAAACATATTTATACCTTGCTCTGGATAAAAAGATTAAAGACACACGAAGAGCAATGAAAATATTCTTTCTCTCTATGCATATCCTCAATGAAGGATCACATCAATACATTTTATAAGGTGGGCTCTAGTTTGTAAAACGCATGCCAAAATATTTCCCAGAAAATTATGGTTTTTTTACTCACTTGGGATTTGTCACTGTTTGATCCTTAAGGAAAGTGAAATAATTGGAAATATTTCGGTCATAAGGTAGCCATCCATGGGTCCCAATAATAAAGTTGAGGTTTACTGTTACCTTCAGAAAGGAATGTTTAATTTTTTTAAAATGAAATATAAACTTCAGTAACATCAAATATAAATACAATTTGCCTTTCCTCCCTGCCTTTATATCCAGCTGCTCTTTTGTGAATCTTTGAATTATAGTTCTGAAAGTAGAGATCTATTAATTTGTATATATTTATTGCATTAAGATACTACATCTACTCAGGAAACATTAAACACAACAATCACACCAACTATGATCAAAGATACCTCAACTTATAGTATATTATAATATCCTTAAACTTTCCACCTTTAGTTGGAAACAAGTTAAAGATTAATAACAAATTAACAACAGGCAACAAGTTAACAATGAATAACAAATCATTTTGATAATTTCATATTAGACAGTCTTCCAGCATTTTTCGCAAATGTCACTCACCAAAAGTTCTGGACTTCCCTGTGACATGAAAGATCGATATTGGTTCCTGGGAACAATGGCCTTAACAATGGGGATTCCATCGCTGATTCCCTAAGGGGAAAACAGATGCTAGTTGGTGATGGTAAGTAAGGCAAATTAATCTAATGTGACATATGCTAGCATGTAGGTTATATTCAAACTTATAGCCAATGGGGATGCTAATATTAAATGGAGTTTCTAGAAGAAAGCCATGCACAGCATCAAGCTCTGTTACCATGGCACAGTGGTTAGTATGTAGTTTTGCAGGCTAATTCTGCTGACTGCCAGGAGTAAGATTCTCATTGGCTCAAGGGTGATTCAGCCTTCCATCCTTCCAAGGTTAATAAAATGAGGACCCAAATTGTTGGGGGCAACATGCTAACTCTGTAAACCGCTTAGAGGGGGCTGTAAAGCACTCTGAAGTGGTATATAAGTCTAAGTGCTATTGCTATTGATAGACTACTATCCTCGGAGTGCTTTTGACTTCTCTGCTTTGCTCTGTTTAGAGAGATTTAAACAATGTTAAAGACTGCTGTAGGTTTTTTGCATTTGCAGAAACCAAAAAAACTTAATAGATCTGTTTCTACCATCATTGTAGAAAATGTGTAATGCACAGTCTTCTGTCTCTATAGGCATTCAGCTTTTTGGACCTTGAATCCATTTTTAGCTCATCCAATCATGTGGGAAATTATTATTTTTATTTTCAAACACCCTAGAGGCTGTTTTTTAAAATATTAAATATAAATAACGTGAAACATTATCAGCTGCAACCTGATAACAAATATCTTTACCTCAATGAAGAAGGATTTTAGTTCAGGGAGATGCTGGAACAGATTGAGGGTGGAATTTTCATTTTTGGTCTGCTTCTGCAGCACTTCCTCCACAGATAATCTTGCTGGATGGGGCTCCTAGAATAAGTCCAGAGAAGTGGGAACCACAATTACACAATGATTCTTCAACAAATTATTGAAATAAGAGGAATAAAGATTGTATGATTTGGCACAGTATGTGACTGTGAGGTATAACAGGGAGGTGTGGCAGGCCTGAGGAGAAACCTCTGAAGCATGAGACCCATGATACATGGTCAAAGATAGACTATACATTTGGAGATGGTACCTGGGATTCTTAGTGCTTCCAAAGGATTTACCTTCAATAATTGGCAAGGTGTTTGTCCGAAGTTGTTAATCATCCCTTCTAAGGCTTTTCTTTCTTTCTCATCAGTTAAGGCATCCAGGTCTACAGCTCCTGTAATGATAGTCAAATGTCAAACAAAATAATAAAAATAATATACCTTTCTGTACATGGTTTCACAAGTATTTATTACTTAATATTTCATCAGCTGAAGTTGTTATGGGGAGGTATACGCTTGCTCCCTCCCTTGCAGTTATTGAAATGTTTCTCCATGTACCGTAAATGTACAGTAGCCTCTCTTTCTATCTGGTGTCCTTCAGATCTACTCAGACTACAAACTCCAAAAAGCATCAAGGTTAAGGAAAATCAAACTCTGGTAGTGAAAGAGAAGATTTCATGAGGGCCTAAATGCTAACTATGGCCAAGGTCTGTGACCAATCTGCCCTATCCATTTGGATGCAACATGAAGAACAAGAATAAACCTAGTTTAGTATGATGAAAATGACTGACCCTTGAACCTGTGTGATCCCGTTTGCTCCAGCATTGTTTACAAAGCATTTCCTTTCATTTTTAAAAAAATTATTCAGCCCTAAGAAATTCTGGTTATTCTTCAACTTCATACTAGTTTAGATGATGTGCTAAAATGTGACCAAATAAAAGCAGAAGTTTCCAGTCTCCCCATATTTATAATGGAGCTGAAGAAAAGCATTTAAGGCTCAAGGTGTATTTGGAGATTGATGTTACACACAGACCACCTCCCAAAGAAGGCCTTCAGCTTCTGCTGTGAAGAACCATTTTATCATGAGAGGCACAGACTTCTAAAAGTTGATGAATTTTAACCTTAGAATTTCTGTGTCAATCACATGGAGTCTAGTAGCATCTTTTCAGACTAAAAGATGTCATTAACAAACATAAATTTCCATGAGCTGCATATAATGTCATCAGATGCCTGGAAACTTCATGTAGTCTAGCCACTCTATGAATCTGACAACGCTGATGTCTGTTAATACAATTTGCTAGTCAGAAAAGGTGCTACTAGACTCTTCCTGACTTTTTTTGCCACCCTAGACTCAATGGTCTTCTCCTGCAGTGTCCAGTAAGAGCTGACTGAGTGGAACACTCTATATGAGGTCATGGAGAACATTTCAAATAAAAACTGAACTTTTATTGCATCAACTTTGTCACTTAAAATCAACTCCCAAAATCTTAAATGATCCGTATATAGATATGATGTAGGTAAAACTATGCACTTGATTCATGGCGCTGGTGAAATGGTGATGCCATGGACATGTCTACACAATGATTGTTTGCCAGAATGTATTTACAACTTTCAATTTAGTTTACAATTCTGGGATTTTGTAGTAGCCTTCCATCGAAATACAGGTAGTCCTCGATTTACAACAGTTTGCTTAGTGACCATTCGAAGTTACAACAGCATAAACGTGACTTATGACCGTTTTTCATACTTACGACCATTGCAGCAGCCCCTTGATCATGTGATTTACATTTGGCTGGTTGACAACTCACTCACATTTATGACAGCTGAAGTGTCCCAGGGTCATGTGATCTCCTTTTGTTACTTTCTGACAAGCAAAGTCAATGGGGACACCAGATTTACCTAACAACGGTGTTACTAATTTAAGAACTGCTGTGATTCATTTAACAAATACAGCAAGAGAAGTCATAAAATGGGGCAAAGCTCATTTAACAAATTTCTCAGCAACAGAAAATTTGGGCTCAATTGCGGTCAGAAGTTGAGGACTATCTGTATTAACAAGGTCTGATCTTGCTTAGCTTTTTTCTGGAGCAGCCAAATATCAGTTGGATACTGCCACCTATCACTGTTATAAGACATCACAAACATGATGTAATGCATACATATTATCACCAAATAGTTGGCCACTGATACATTGTTAATCATTCTCCCTAATCCTAATTAACCATGTATAGAGGCTAATGCAAAAGAATAATAGATAAGCCATTTAATACTATGCAGCACTAATCAAATCATACAGCTATAAGATAGCAAATATTTAATAGAGTGCAACATTTTATCCATGGCATAATCAAAGCCTATTGTGCTCTCTCCTGCCCTTCCTTGGTATAGCTTTTAAAGCTACTATTAACCTTTTCAACACACATGATCCAATTATGAACCAAGAAAAGATGGGACTTATACCTTCATAGGTACAGTAGTAGAAAACATTCAGAGCTTCCACTGCAGCTGGACCCCTTTGTTTATAGCCAAAAATCAGATCTATCCATTCATGGAGATGAGCGGAGACATATTCTGATTCCTAAGACAGCAAGAAAAAATTAAGTTCAGTAACTGAGTTCTTCAAAAAAACTTCTAGCCCATTTTATTTTTTGAAAAAAAGGCTTTTTCCAAATACAGTTTCCTCTCCATATTTACATTCATTGAAAAATATCATCCTAGTAATATGATAATGTTTGCACACATAGGAACTGTGAAATATTAGAAAATAAATCCAAGTTTCTGCAACCATTCAGGAGAAATAAATAGATACCAGAAAAGTACAATTTAATTCAGCTGTAGTAAAACTTCTAAGGATAAGAATAACAACTTACATCGCAAAAAAACTATAAAAAGATTTTTTCCAAAACATTTGGCCAGATTACCAGATACTATCTACAAAATTTTAGTAATTAAATATTTAATTACTAGCTGAAGGTGCTATCCATGGACCCAGATGGGTAGCTGTGCTTTGAAGAGCAATTACACAATAAGCAACATTGTGCTTGGGCCACCCAACTTTCAAATGTCATCTCTCAATATGGATTCTCTATCCAGTTCTCAGTCCAATCACCTCTAAAGGCTTTCAAACAAAGAGTTATTAATGTGGCTACTTAAGATGATATTGCAGCATGTGTCAAATGTCTGAAGCGGCTGGCTCAACACAAATCAGCCACCCAGTTAGAAAAATACCTGACAAATATATTACATGCTGCCTTAACATCTCAGAAGAGTTTTTTCTAGAGCTTGATTTGAACATTTGGACTCCATGATAAGACATCGGAGGTTTCATGGGATCCCAATTGAAGAAAGATTTTGGATTTGTGGAGCACCAGCCATTAAAGACACTGAAAACATTCTTGTCAACTGCAAATTGTACCCTCCAGAAACAGCCACTTATTTAGCCTTATTTAAAAACTAAAAAATATTCAAGCACCCAAGAGAAACAACTTATTGCAGGGAACAAACCTACAAATCATCAATAAGACTGCAGTCCTCATTTCAAAGGTCACCTCAAAGAGGAAAGAATACCTTGATTAAATTGAAATTAACTATAGGGGTGATGATATAGTATGAAGTTATGTTTTCTTCTTATTTATTTGCATTTTTGTGTCAGTTTTATATATCTGACACAGTCATTTGATATAATTAATTCTCTTCTTTTTCTATTTTACCTTCTATTATTTTATCTAACTTATTTATCTCCAATTTATCATGCCTCCTATATTTTATTCTGTTTTATCTCACTTCGCTGTATCATATCTCATTTTATTGTATTTTACTGTGGTTAATATTTATGTTTGATATGGTTGATTAATATAGTATATCATATTGTATCAAGAAGAATGAAGAGAGAAAGGCCACTGAAAATCATTTTACATGATTATGAATATAAGTGAATGCCGTACCTTTTAAATTTTTAAAACTTATTTATTTGTATCCCGCATTTATTATTTTTACAAATTACTAAAGGCAGAAACATATTCAGCACACCTTCCTTTCATTTCCTGTCAACTTACACATGTACTCTGACGGTCCTGTGTGCTAAACACACATTTTAAAATCTTACATTATCTCTCCAGAGGGATTATAACTCACCAATGCTTTCCTATGTTTGAAAATGAAGTCTTCTGGAGAATGTGCCCATTTTGGTAGGACAACATCATTTACCTCTTCTTTTGAAATCTGGAGCTGACCAAAATTGAAATCTGCAGATAAGACAAAAGGGTTTCAGGTGCAATTAAGATGATAAAATGTTTCAGAAAATATCAGAAGTTATTGTTTTCTAAGCCAGATACCACTGAAGGAAAAGATGACAGAAGAAAAGCAGTTAATCAGGAAAATCAATGTCTCACACATTTATTTTAAATAGAACCAAATTATGTAATAGAATAACAGTATTTGTAATAATATGGCAAAAGTGTAATTTAGGAATTTTTGTATGATAAATCAGATTTTCTATTCATTCTGTAATCACAGGATCAGAACATTAGCCAATGTGTTGCAGGAGAAGAGCAGGCAAAACTGGGGGTGGGCGGGGTGAGGGTGTAGAGAGAGAGCAGAGTAAAATGCATCATCAGTTTAGAGTCTTTGCGTTGCCACAAGAGAACTACGTCTAGCCCCCACCCCCTCCGGAATTCTGTTGACTCTTATCTAGTGCCAGTTTAGTGCTGGTGTTAGTTAACTAGATTCTTGTATATAAGCTTCAATAAATCATTTATGCTGCAATCCACATGAATGGTCCTGATTATTTGCACCTGACATAGTGTTACTTAAACCTCACAAGCGATTCCATTGTTCTGTGCAGTTTATTATTGGTTTAACTTCTTACGATTTTGATTCTCTAAGAACTCTGGCAAGTAGAAAAATTCTGGGATTAGCTCATTCACATCATTTGGATTCTCCATGAGAGCTTGCCAAGTAGCATGAATGGAATGGAACTGTCGATCCGCGCAGTCAAATCTGCAGAGAGAAAATACACAGGCAAACTCCCCAAATTACACATCAGTATTTCCACTAAAATTCCATTTAAATAATGGAATTGCACTTAACTTTAGATCAGTGCTCTTCGTATCAAATCAAATATGAATGCAATTTTTAAAAAAGTAATATACCTACTTATTGGGATAACAATGCATATCTGGAGCTACACATCATTTGCACACACTCCTGCATCACATTTGAACTAGAACACAAAGCTTGTTCATTCAAGAACTCTATTTAGCTATTAGCATATAAATGAAGCTCTGGACAGCAACAAATTGCATGGAGGAAGACTATGCATGGCCATTACAAAACTTGGTGGGAAATTTGGATATCTCCAAGATGCTAAGATTACATGGCAAAGTATCAGAAGTTAAATATCTTATAATTACACTTTTTAATATTGTAAGCCACCCAGAATTATCCTGTGGTAAGATGAGCGACCAATAAATTTTATAAACAAATAAATAATTTTTGTTTTATTGGAAAGAAGCCTTTTTTTTTTTGCTTCCTTTACTAAAAAGATCTATTGTGTTTGCGGCTCCTCTGAATTACATGCAAGGGGGCTTCTTTTCTGAGAAATAACCATCTCTACCCTAAGTATGTGAAGAAATGATACCTTGTTCACTTTCAAGGAAAATAATACATGCTGCAATTCAGCCATTAAGCCAACAACAGAAATTGGTACATCGCTTAATATCATACCTCCCACTCTGAAGCTGGATATGCAAAGTGGTAAAAGGTTCAACCCGAATAAGGTAATGCATGACCCCAGCTGCATTGGAGTAGTGAGTCCCATAGTGAAACTTGTCAATAATTCCAAGGGGGTCTTCAAAGTTATCATATCTTAAAAAGCAAAACAGAAAAATAACTGTGAATATTTTGGTATTTATTGTTTTATTTACTCTGAGAAGTTATATTAGTATCATTTACCATCTGAGAATGAAGAACACTCAGAGTTCTTCATTCATAATAGACAAGAAGAATCTGGGAGCTGATCAATCAAGTTTTTCTTTTTTTAACTAGGCTGGGCTTGAAACACTAAAGTAAATCAGTATAAATCAGTATGACTATATAGCGAATAAGCACCATATGGGTGAGTTGTTGAAAAGCAAGGAAAACAATAAGTGATGGAAAAAATAGAATTTTTGCACTGAAAATATTTTATACAACAATTTTACATTTTCTATACTAATAAAGAGCACAAAGATTCTGCCTATCATCAAAAGAATTTCTTTCAATTCAATTTTTTTAAGCATTCATATACACCAACTTCACAATGCTTCCTCCACTGGGCTTTTCTAAGGCGACATGCAACCCCATATTCTCAGCGATAAACAACCATTATTATAGCAATATAGCTATCAATTTCCTTTTTTGTCATAGTTTTATTACTGCTTATTTCCCTCCACATCCAATAACTATGCCTCAGTTTTACACATCTGAAAGGGCTGTGACAATTTAAAATGCTCTTATCCTAAATCTGCCTATCAATGAATACTTGAACAGCTTTCTTCAATTCTTCACTACCATCTGAATAATAAATTCCACTTACTAGACGGAAGAGTAGAACAAGCGCAAACATTAAGAAGAAGCAGATCCATTATAAGGATATCAATTAAATGATTATTTCAAAAGAAATACCTTTCCTTTACAGCTCTCACATTCTTTTCATTCGCTACACCAATAGGTTTAGACAAATCCCGAAACACTGCAGGATTATTCAAATCCAATTCTTCTGAAGTATAATCCTGCAGAATCCATGGAAACTGGAACAAAAAGGAGAACATTCTTCAAATCTCACATTTGTTTTTTGATAAAATATAATATTATGTCTAGTCAGAAACAAAGGACATAAATAATACTTACAACAGGATATTGTGCAAGATCATTGTAGGTTCGTCCTGCCACAGTATTTAACTGAATGAGGTAATCAAAATTGGATATTTCCCTGTTCACCCATTTCTAAATAAAGAAAACCCAATGTTGAAGCTAATGTTGTGTAAAAAGAGTTAGTGATGTATTTTAGTATAATTCAAGCAAACAAAACGGTAAACTTAAAGCAGCATTCATGTTTATTCAGATTTTTATGCCATATACAACCCATATAGAACTAGAACCATATAACCATGAAAATTATTATTTTTTAATCATATTATTGTTGCTTTCCTATATAATCCAACAAATAGGACTTGCAGCAGAATGCTCCATTTAGGATGAGGTTGTGTAAAATAAAGCTAATATTAGTTTTGTCCTATATACATCACAAGTTAAAGTTTATTGTACTCTTCAAGTGACAAATTGTTTTTAATAGAGAATAGAAGCGTTTAAATATTATATTTATCTGTATTTTTAAAATTAGCTCTGACACCAGCTGAGGGAGCTATTATTCCAAGCAAAAAGAGACATGAATTATTTTTAATGTTCCCACCATTCAGCTTATTATCCTACCTGAGTCAATCCAGAAGTTTTGAATAATTCTTGGGGAGATCTGGTTCCACTAATATTTTGAGAACACAGAGACAGAATTCGACTATATACTCTGTTTCTTGTCTACAACGAAGAAATACATAGGTTAATTTATTGAATAACATCATCAGAATTTCCCTATTTTCACATTTGGGCTTGCTGTTTTGGCAACCTGATTGTGGGGCTAATCCATGCAATTCAATTTATCATTTTACTGTAATAAATTCTCATGCATTTCAATAAATGCTACCACATTATTTAAAGGAATTTTGCCTCAACATTTATCGTCTCCAGCAACGATGGTCCGCTACACTAAGCGTTGAAGAAGGGTATATGCTAAAGGAAGATGTTAAAACCAATGTTGGTTTTCTTTTAAGCATACCTGCATAAAACATGGTATTTGAACTAGATATTTTGGCTTTCATTATTAAATATGTCAGCTGATCACAAAAATAAGTTAAATATGCACCTAAAATCCTAATATGAAACAAAAGCACTCAATTACTTCACCATCCAAGCTGGGTTCATTTTTAGCACAGTCAGGAATATTATTGAATTGAACCCATTCATCTGTTCACAGGAGATCACTGGCCAAAGTCACCCAGTAATGAAAATGACTTTTTAGGGATTTCTCTCAAGGTATTCTGCACAAGAAACGTCTAAAATTACATACCTCCTTTTTAAAGTTAAGGAAATAATTAGTCTGGTCAATAAAGAAGATCTCCAAAGCCGACCTCCTCAGATTATAACGGCGTAAATGAATCTCTCGAATTTGAGAAAGAGGCCATTTAAAATCAAAACCTATACCTGGATATAGAAGAAGAATTTCAGTTTATTCTTAACTATATTCAAAAAGTAGGTATATGATAATTATGAAAGTCAAGAAGGTCTGGTAACATGATTGGAAAAGTAAAAAATGCCAATTGGAATCAGCCAAAATAGAAATCTTGCTAAAAATAGTAGCAAGACTAAGCAACCAGAGGCGTCAGGATCATTTCATTTCAAACTACCCTTTTATACAGTAGTTCCCTGTCACTGAAAGTCAATAGTAACATTTATCAACAATTCAGTTATGAAACAAGATATGAAATAAACAAGAACTGTAGTATAAGTTCTAAAATAGCTGTAATCTGTTATACAAAAAAGAACAAACGAAAAATAAATTTGCCCCAATAACCTCCCCCCAGTCCCCTCCAAAGAACTTATACACCCATAAAGCAGATAAAGGCAAGCTGAAGTATGAGACTGCATTGTGAGAGGCTGGAAAAAGGGTGGGGAGCACTTTCAAACTGCCTTCTTATAAATGGATGTTTATCATGGCAGCCATTTTGAGAAATGTCAGATCCCTCAAATCATCAACCAAAAAAGATTTAGGATCCCCAGAACCAGGGGAAAGTTGGGCAATCAGCAATATTTTTCTCCACTGCAATGCAAATGGAGATTCTAGATTATCAAGCAATTGAAATCTTTCTTCCAGAAATCCAGTGTGAAGGAGGATATGTAGCCAAGTAACTACAGGTAGTCCTTGACTTGTGAACACAATTGTGCCCAAACTTTTTGTTGCTAAGTGAAACATTTGTTAAGTGAATTTTGGCCCGTTTTATGACCTTTCTTGCCACACGTTAGGTGTATTACTGCAGTTGTTATTAGTAACATGGTTGTTAAGTGAATCTGGCTTCCCCATTGACTTTGTTTGTTTGTTGACTTTGACTTTGTTTGTCAGAAGGTCACAAAAGGGGATCACATGACCCTGGGACACTGCCACGCTCATAAATATGAGTCAGTTGCCAAGCACCTGAATTTTGATTCCATGGAGATGGGGATTCTGTAATAGTTGTAACTGTGAAAAACTGCACTTTTTCAGTGCCGTTGTAACTTTGAATGTCACTAAATGAATAGTTATAACTCAAGGATTACCTATTACCTATAATTAATGTTGGCTAATTATCGTCCAGTCCCCAACCTTCGCTTTGTTGCGAAGGTTGTTGAGAGTGTGGTAGCACGACAGCTCCCTCAGTACCTGGATGAATCGGCTTATCTGGATCTGTTCCAGTCGGGCTTCAGGCCTGGGTACAGCACAGAAATGGCATTGGTCGCATTGGTTGATGATCTCTGGAGGGCTCGGGACAGGGGTTGTTCCTCTGTCCTGGTCCTATTAGACCTCTCAGCGGCTTTTGATACCATCAACCATGGTATCATGCTGCACCGGCTGGAAGAGTTAGGGGTGGGGGGCACCGTGTTGCGGTGGTTCTCCTCCTTTCTCTCCGACCGGTCGCAGTCTGTGTTGGCAGGGGGGCAGAGGTCGACCCCGAGGCCCCTTGTATGTGGGGTGCCACAAGGGTCGGTCCTCTCGCCCCTTCTGTTCAACATTTATGTGAAGCCGCTGGGTGAGATCATCCGTGGTTTTGGGGTGAAGTACCATCAGTACGCTGATGACACTCAGCTGTACATCTCCACCCCGCACCACCCCAATGATGCCCTTGAAGTGATATCCCAGTGCCTGGAGGCTGTACGGATCTGGATGGGGAGAAACAGACTCAGGCTCAACCCATCCAAGACCGAGTGGCTGTGGTTTCCGACATCTCGATATAGTCACTTGGTGCCATCACTGAAAATTGGGGGCAAGTCGTTGGCCCCCACTGAGAGGGTCGCAACTTGGGTGTCCTCCTGGACTCACAGCTGTCTTTAGAAGGGCATTTGACAGCTGTGGCCGGGAGGGCATTTTATCAGGTTCGCCTGATTTGCCAGTTGCGTCCCTTTCTGAATCAGGACTCGTTAAATACAATCACTCATGCCCTTGTCACTTCCCGCCTGGACTACTGAAATGCTCTCTACATGGGGCTCCCCTTGAGGAGCACCCGGAGGCTCCAGCTGGTCCAGAATGCGGCCACGCGGCTGGTTATGGGAGCAACGTGGCGCTCCCATGTGACCCCCCCTCCTGCGCGAGCTGCACTGGCTCCCAGTGGTCTTCCGGGTGCGCTTCAAGGTTTTGGTTACCACCTTTAGAGTGCTCCATGGCCTAGGACCAGGGTATTTACGAGACCGCCTTCTGCCACCAGTAGCCTCTCACCGACCAGTACGCTCCCATAGAGAGGAGCTTCTTAGGGTGCCGTCGGTCAAACAGTGTCGACTGGCGGCCCTCAGCGGAACAGCCTTCTCTGTGGGAGCACCTGCCATCTGGAACAAGCTCCCCCCAGAGATATGGAGGATTACAGACCTGAGCGCTTTCCGCCGTGCCCTCAAAACATTCCTATTTCAGCAGGCCGGCCTGGCCTAACCTCTTTTTAAACTGTTTTTAAATTTTTTAAATTTTAAATTTGTCTTGTAAATTTGGGGTGTTTTAAATTTTGTTTTTCTGGGCCAAATTATTTAATTGTATTTTAATGGTTTTTTAACATTTGTATTATATGTATTTTATCTTTTGGCTGTTCACTGCCCTGAGTCCTTCGGGAGTAAGGCGGTATACAAATTTAATAATAATAATAATAATAATAATAATAATAATAATAATAATAATAATAATAATAATAATAATAATAATAATAATAATAATAATAATATACAACACAGAATGGTGCAACAGAAGTCCAAAGGTCTTACCTTCTTCTTTTTCAATGCTGCCATCATAGAAGTAAATGTGTTGTGTAGTGACCTCCAGCCTGCCAGATATTATATTCATTATTGTAATAAGTTCACAGTCTTCTGAGAGCACAAGTTTTTCTTTTTGACCCTGCTCTTCCTTTTCATCCCTGAAGCAGAAATATCAAATGATAGGCTTGATTAGCTGGATAATACAAAAATTACCCAAAAAAGGCATCAGCATTTCTTACACAATAATCAGTATTTGAACCTCTTAAAGATATCTTATATACAGTAAATGATCCACCGCTAAGTACTAATTAATAAGAAGCCTGATTAGTCTCAAGTAGGATTTGCAATGTTTTTGATCTATACCTTAAACAAATGACAAGAGAGAGAAAACACTTCTTAAGAAGAGAAAATCGTGAAAGTTTGATCCTGTAACAAATTTCTCATTTCTAAGTTATGAACAGTGAGAATTTATTTATCACACAAGAGATGCTAAACATAATTCCTAAAATATATTTTATTTAGATCTTTTATCTAATTAGAAGAAAATATAGTTTGAGCATGTGGTTCTTGAAATAAAGTATCTGCATATAAGAATAAAGTAAAAGGATAGGCAGTTGTAAGTAAGTAAATAAATAAATAAATGTTGTGTTTGAACTTGCTTAGCAGAAGAGATGTGGTATTAGTCTATATTTACTATCTATGGCCAATGTAAAAAAATGACAAAGGATATTATATTTAATTTTTTAAACTATTATTTTTAAAATCATGATATGAAGCATTAAAAGTATTTGTTTCCTTAACAATCTGTTTTCTTATTAGTAGTTTTTAAATATTTTGAAATATTTTTTTGGATTGAAACAATTTTTTTTTTTTTTTATTGAAAAGGTTTTCAAATACAAAATTTTTTCCCCCTTTCCCCCCCCCTCCCCCCCCTCCCTAACCCCCCCTCCCCACCTTTCCCCCCTGTGACTTCTTCGTAACAAAAAAAAACCCTAATTCATAACAGATTACTTACTCCCTCCTCAAAATACTGACCTTTACTTACTAAAAGTATTATAAATCCCCCTTTATCCATACATTTCAGAAAAGAAGAAGAGAAAAAAACAAAAAAAAACAAACACATTATACTATAACTATTATAAAATAACTTCTAATTTAGCATAATAGTGTTTTATATCTCTACATTATTGCAACAATTCAAAACCACCTTCCACTTTAAAACTATACGATAAGTCCTACTTTAATAACATTTCAAAGCGGGCTCCCCATAAAATCTAATTTAACATTTATTCCACTCTATCCATTTCCTCCACTCCCCTAAATGTATCACTTAAAAATCCCTTTTCTTAACTAATCAGTCTGTAGCTAGCTTATTCACCCACTGTCTTACAAATTTACCATACACAACAATTCTTGATATCTTTAATTCACTGCCCACACTACTTAAAAATATATATATATATATATTCCATTATATCTAAATAAAAAAAGAAAAGACAATAACTTTAAATTTATAGTCCATATAATATCTTCTTGAAGTCTTTCCACTGGATTGTTAAAACCAACATCCATAATAGGGTAACATAGCTTGCTGATGCAACAGTTTATTCAAGATCTCCAATCATATCTGCCCCCATCAGTAGTAAACATCTTCTTATATATATAAAAGTAAAAACAACCACCCGAGTGACATTATAATTATATTCCATATAATAATAATTGTGGGTTTCATCAGGATTATTAATTTCCATCATCGTATTGGGTAACAACCCGATCTTCTGCATGTCCCAATGTGATTCTCTTGCCTTATAATTCAAGATAATTATAATATATTTATCAACACAAAAAGAAGTTTCAAAGTAGATAATTCAAAACCATCAATTTGAGGCTCTTTCCATGTCCAAAATTACGGCAATGCAGAGATCTGCCACTATCCTCAGGATGATATTGACCAATATGTCGCCTCCTCTATGTTTTCACATAATCATTCATATTTTAAAATCACTGGCTTCACTGTTGCTTGGGTTAGAAATTTCTATTTTTGTACAACCTATTTCTTTTTTGTTTTCTTTTTGTGGGTTTGACTTCCATCCTAATTTTTTGTGTCTTGCGTTTTCTTTTTTTCCCTTGTATATCCTCTAATTGGTTTCCATGCTTGTCCTTGCCTTGATAAGTCATCACATTAAAATCAGATGGCACTTCTCTCAAATTTGTAGATAATCCAGCTGGGGTATCCGATAAATCCAAAGGCAATTTATCTGGTACAGTCTCTGTCTTTAGTTCCAGCTCCTTCTGCTTATCCTGTGTTATATCTGAAGACGTTAAATTCATTTTCAACCTATTTTGATAAAATTCTTCCGCTCTTTCAACAGTATTTAACTGGTATCTTTCTCCTTGATATCTCAATATAATACCAACTGGGACGTCCCACCGGAATTGAATATTTCTCCTTTTTAACTCAGACACCAGAAAGCCAAATTTCTTCCTTTCCATTAATATCTTAGGTGGGAGTTCCTTGTAAATCCAAATCTTTCTTCCATACAATTGCAAATTAAAATTGAAGGAATTTTGCACAATTTTATTCCTAATTTCTTTATCTGAAAAATAGATTACCACATCTCTAGGCAATTGCCTTTGCTTGGCAGTCCAGGAGTTTATTCGATAAGCTCTGTCAATCCTACAAAACACTTCCTCAGGTTGAATCTTTAAAATCCCAGCTAGAAATTCAGAAGATATTTTCCTTAAGTCATCTCTGTTATTTTCCTGCAAACCTCTAAGTCTTATTGCATATTCTGTGAAATTATATTGTATCTTTAGAACCTCTTTTTCAATCCTCTGTTGCAGATTTTCTACATTACCAGACTTTTGGTCAGCATCCATTTTAAATTTTTCTTCTGAACTATAATCCTGAATATTTAACAAATCATTTTCAATTTTTTGAATTCTATTGTCCAATTTATCTTGAATTTCATCCATTTTTGACTCTAGTAAATTAGTATTTGTATAATAATAATAATAATAATATACAACACAGAATGGTGCAACAGAAGTCCAAAGGTCTTACCTTCTTCTTTTTCAATGCTGCCATCATAGAAGTAAATGTGTTGTGTAGTGACCTCCAGCCTGCCAGATATTATATTCATTATTGTAATAAGTTCACAGTCTTCTGAGAGCACAAGTTTTTCTTTTTGACCCTGCTCTTCCTTTTCATCCCTGAAGCAGAAATATCAAATGATAGGCTTGATTAGCTGGATAATACAAAAATTACCCAAAAAAGGCATCAGCATTTCTTACACAATAATCAGTATTTGAACCTCTTAAAGATATCTTATATACAGTAAATGATCCACCGCTAAGTACTAATTAATAAGAAGCCTGATTAGTCTCAAGTAGGATTTGCAATGTTTTTGATCTATACCTTAAACAAATGACAAGAGAGAGAAAACACTTCTTAAGAAGAGAAAATCGTGAAAGTTTGATCCTGTAACAAATTTCTCATTTCTAAGTTATGAACAGTGAGAATTTATTTATCACACAAGAGATGCTAAACATAATTCCTAAAATATATTTTATTTAGATCTTTTATCTAATTAGAAGAAAATATAGTTTGAGCATGTGGTTCTTGAAATAAAGTATCTGCATATAAGAATAAAGTAAAAGGATAGGCAGTTGTAAGTAAGTAAATAAATAAATAAATGTTGTGTTTGAACTTGCTTAGCAGAAGAGATGTGGTATTAGTCTATATTTACTATCTATGGCCAATGTAAAAAAATGACAAAGGATATTATATTTAATTTTTTAAACTATTATTTTTAAAAATCATGATATGAAGCATTAAAAGTATTTGTTTCCTTAACAATCTGTTTTCTTATTAGTAGTTTTTAAATATTTTGAAATATTTTTTTGGATTGAAACAAATTTTGATCTATCAGAATGCAGCTAACTTTGAACATTCTAACCATCAAATTAGGTGGACTGTTTCATTCCAAGTTTAAAAAGAAAGATATTTCCATTTCATGCATATTCATGTCTGAATTTGAATGTGGAGACATGTTAAAAAGAAAATCCTGATGAGCATGCCCACAATATGTTGCAGCCATACTCTTTGGAATCTGATTCTGAATTCACATACTCGTTCTACATACATATTTGTACTGGATGTTGGATCTTCATCTGGCAGTTCAAGTATATCATCTTCCATATCACTGACTTTTACTTGCTTCACTGCCTCCAGAAGCAAAGCTTCCCTTGATGGTGGCATCTGTAATACTCCTTGAAAGATGAATTGAGAATATTCAATTAAATAAATCAACTTAATTTTACACTCTAATAGAGCACCTATCTCAATGAATAAAATAAACATGAAGAACATTGAATTAAATGAATAAATGAATAAAATAAACATGAAAAACTCATAGAACTAAGGAGAAATTTCCTGACAATTAGAACAATTAATCAATGGAACAACTTGCCTCCAGAAATTGTGGGTGCTCCAACATTGGAGGATTTTAAGAAGAGACTGGACAACCATTTGTCTGAAACGGTATAGGGACTCCTGCTTGAGTAGGGGGTTGGATAGAAGACCTCCAAGATCTCTTCCAATTCTGTTATTCTATAACATTGGCATCAATGCAATGTTCTCTCTGCACATGCAGAAAGGATTACTGAACTAGCTGAAGCGCTTTTTGTATTCCTCCACATATGTGTCTTTAAGAGAAGTTACTTAGCAGAGCTTTGTAGACTACAATATTGTATTGTTAATGCTTGCTCATCTGCATTCTTACTCATAGCCATTAAGATAAGAGACAACATGGGCTCCCTAATCTAACATCCTCTAAGAGGAGGGAGAACAATAACAATAACTACCTAAGAACAATCTTCACACAAAAGAAGGGTCACTTAATATTTGCAGGTGCTGCCTGCTAGAGATTGGCAAAAGCTACCAGATAACCCCTCTCTTTTAAGAATGTTGTTGTTAGACCCAAAGTTCTGGGAAGACACCGATAATTACTGGCTTTGGGGTCCAACCACTGCCATTCTTGAGGATTGAGGTTCCTAACATATTGAAAGGATGTAGATTAGCATACTCTTCTATGTTAACTCTCTTAATTAATTCTAATTTACTTCGATTTCATTCAATAAAATCATTCTGGGTTATTTCACACTGGCTTGAACTATTTCCTTCAAATCCTAAAAAAACCTATTGGTTTCTGTTTGTCTACTGGGCTACCAATACAATAGAAAAATTCATATAAATCACATGATTCTATTTATATTATATTGTAATTTTAGCGTATAAGCAAAAGGAGATTTGCTCAGAAAAGGAACACTTTTAACACAAACAGAAAATAGAATTTTCTATACACGAAAGAAATTAAAAAGTTCAGTGAGAAATCAGGATTGAATATTTTAAAGAGCTAAATCAATAGCTAACAAGTATCATAGCCAATTCGCCTCACCTAGATTATCCCTCAGGGCACTGGCATCCTGGTGAGAGTTGAAATTGTAATTTTGCATTAATTTTAGCCTCATTCGTGAATAATTTTCCACATTTGAAAGTTTCCAGTGAGTGAGATTCGGCTTCCTGATGAAAGGAATATACCAAAAGAAATTGAACAAGATTAGACATGTGATGTTACTGTTTGTACTGAAAAGAACGAGAAGACGTGAATACAAGATTTTTTTTTTAAAAAATGCAGCAATTAGATTTTCTTTTTCACAATTTTTTTCTCCATACTGTTCCAGGGGAAGCATGAAGATCCATCTAGTTGGGGAAAATAACCTGATTCCTTCTTATAGAAAATGAAGCTGAACTGGATCTCTTTGTTATAATAAAAACATATAGGGAATTTGAATTATCTCTGCCAACAGTTTAAAGCAATACCAAACCTCGCCCCAAAAGAGGAGGGGGTGTTAGACATTTTTATTGTGTGTGAAATCAAGGCTTCAACAGGAGTCACGAAATCTAATGGACTGACCATGATATCTCAAAGCAAAAGTGAGCAGAATTCCAGTTGGCAGGACCTGCTTTTTTCTCTTAGTTTAAGTTTAATCAACTGGAGAAAGAGAGAGAGGGAGACATGAATAAATTAAAAGGCAAGTTATAATATATAAATTATAACTTGAGCCCAGGAATTTGTTCCAGGTATCAGAAGTTGAGAATTTATTGTATGCTACCACAAGCAATATCATTTAAGCAGGAAGAGGAGAGTTATTTTGCTTATACTTTGGGTGAATATCAGGGAATGAACTATTGCCAAATTATTGCAAGTCAACAAGCACTCCAACTTCTGCCCACCCTGGAAAACTAACCATGCTACCATCAGATCCCAAAATGTGCCACAAAAATTTCCAGGATTTTCTTTCTTTTTATTCTTCAGCCACATGCCTTGCTCCAGAAAAGGTAAAATATGCTTCAAGGAGAAAGAAAACATGCTGATTTCCCATACCGTTCAGCCCAGGGGCCTTGTTCACAGGTAAGGTAAAGTTTGGCAGCTCTCCACTGTCTCAGAGTTGTTGTGTGCTGATTATTTAACTGTTTTAGCATTCCATTGTAACGCATGTTCTCCTGCCGTGCCCTCCGGTTAAATGGCTCTACAAAAAATTCCTAGGGACAGAAACATAATAAATCTTAAAGTGCTTAGGAAGGCTAGAATAAAGGACTTGAAAAAGCTGTTGCATGAGAGCTTAAGTGTGGTTCTTGTTTTTTTTGAATCATTAGCCAGATAAAAAATATAACTTTGTGCATCACCGCTTACCAGTCCAAAAAAAAAAAAAAATGTACCCCAGGCAAACCTTTATATGAAAAATTGATTCCAACATCAGCCAAAGGAGAATTAATGTTAGATTTCCTTCTCTTCACTGTCAAAGATACAATATTGATAAAAGAGAAATGGTTGACACCATGTCCTACAGAATCCAGTCTCAAAATACAGGTAGTCCTCGACTTACAACAGTTCATTTAGTGCCTATTTGAAGTTACAATGGCACAAAAAAAAAATACTTATGACCATTTTTTCACTTCTGACTGTTACATCCCCATGGTCATGTAATTTACATTCAGATGCTTGACACCTGTTATATATATATATATATATATATATATGATGGTTGCAATGTCCTGAGGTCATGTGATCATATTGTGACCTTTTAACAAGCAATGACAATGGGGAAGCCAGATTCACTTAACAACCGTGTTATTAATTTAACAACTACAATGTTTCACTTAACAAATGTAGCAAGAAAGTCGTAAAATGGGGCAAAACTCAATTTAAAAATGTATCACTTAGTAACATATATTCTAGGCTCAATTGTGGTCATGTTAATCCTCACATGATTTTCTTGCTCAGGCAAACTCCTGAGAAAGTCACTCAGATTTTACCTGAAATTTGAGCTTGCTTTCTCCTCTCTCTCGTTCCCGTTTATGGATGTTGACCATTAGTGCCTCAAAGCAATCCTTCCAATATAGTGCCATATGTTCATGGCCATCACTGAAAATGCTGAGCTCGTACTGCTTCATATTAGGGATAATCTAGTTCATGAAGGATAAGAAGATTAACACACACACTCCTTTTTGGAGAGAAAAAGCATTTTAAGAAATCACAACTTACATATTTAGCGATGTAAGCTTTCCATTCATCAGTTCTACAATAGTCCTGGAAGTCCTCAAAAAAGGAAGGGCTTCCATTAGTAGAAGGCAAGCAAGGCAAGTGCAAGTTCATGAACAGAAGGTCATATATTTTGGAAATAAGAGTTCGAACTAGAGGGATCAAGAAGGAGTAAGTTTCAGTCTTTTCTTGGATTGATCTGCTCAGGATGCCTTCCAGTTTTCCCAGCAGGTAACAGGATTCCGCTTGGTTGTCAAGTACTTTGGTCTGAAGGAGGGTGTTGAGCTTGGCTGCAGCCATTGCACAAACCTGGAGCAGGGGCAAACGGAAAGAAAAATAATACTCAACCAATACAGATAATTTAAGTTATACATTTTTCCCAAAAGGTATTTCAATTCTCCACTTGCATCTCTTCAAATCCCATACACTTTGGGGTCCTGGGACACATTTGAAATTTTGAGAGCATACTACAGGAACTATCATGAAATGCTTTTGATGATAGCCATAGCCAATCACAAAACACTCATTTACTAGAAGACATACTAGTCACTGTGTTGAAGTCTTTCCAAGAGCGTTAATGTGCTCTAGAGGTATTACTGAAACTTCAGGTAGTATTTCAAGTTGATGCTTTGTTTTGCAGTTTGCTGTTTCTCATTTGATATCATTGTCCCAAAATAAATTAAGTAGAGCAGGAAGCATATTATTCCATTAATATGGCAAACTTACATTTGCCTTTCCTCTTTATAACTCAAGGCACTACACACTGGGTTCCCAAATATTCCTGACTTTCGGTTGGCTCAGGTCTTATTAATTGTTGTTATGATAACCATGAAAGCACAACTCAATAAAATTAAGACATATCAAAAGCATTTATTAGTGCATCCAAATTATATATTGATTTTTAGCATATTCTCAACATGCAATGAATTGATCGTTTATTTATATTTATATTCAAGCCTTCTTCTGAAAAGTCTCGGAAATATATACAGCTTCTTCCTGAATCCTTTCAAAGTCTCTATGAGGAAGTTAGGCTAAGAAAAGACATTCTAAACTAATTATAAACTATGATTTACTATGAAGAAAATACTATGATGAAGCTTGGATTCACAATTTCTCCCTGGGTAGTTAGAATTAATATTAAGGACATTTATCATTTGAAATAAATCAGTGGCCTAAACAAAAGAAGGGGACCATGGTGTGTACAATGACATGTTCTAATCAGAGAAAGCAGAAGCTGGTATTTTTTTCCTAGATTGTATTTAGACATTCTCATACATTTATATATTGCTCAGTTATACTTTAAATCCATCCAGATACTAAAGTTCTCTTTTATTTGTGTATTAAGGGGGGGGGGGGAAAGTAAAGTAAGGATGTTCAAGCCCCAAATTTGCCAGAAAGTATTTCTTTGCAAAAGAAAATCAAACTTTACTATATTTGTGCACAGAAACCTTCAATGTCAAGAGCCCTGGTGGCGCAGCAGACTAAAGTTATTAACATCAGCTGCCTGCAATTACTGCAAGTTCAAATCTCTCCAAGGCTCAAGGTTGACTCAGCCTTCCATCCTTTCTAAGGTAGGTAAAATGAGGACCCGGATTGTGGGGGCAATAAGCTGACTTTGTATAAATATACAAAAGTATGAAGGTATTGCTTAACGCATTGTAAGCCACCCTGAGTCTCCAGAGAAGGGCGGCATATAAATCAAATCAAATCAAATCAAATAATGTAACACACCTGTAAATTATCTTGTCCAATGAATCCAAGAAGCAGCTGGATCTGTACTTGATAGAGCTTCATGTTTTCTGGGCCAGAAGAGTACCAGATAGACAAAGTATCCATGAGCGTCACCAGTTCTTCCAAAAGCTATGCAGAATTAAATCCAGAATTAAGACAAAAAAGTTCAGAATGTAAAGTGAGGAACATTGTATGCAAGGCCCATGACACAAGAAGGTATAATGTTCAATTATGTTATTTTAAAAATTTTCTATTCTCTCACAATTAAAACTACCTGATGATTGAGGAAAACTACTATAGAATTAGAATGACCTGAGTTTGATTATTTGGCAATGGGAGTATTTTGATAGATTTTACTATCATTTGTTGATGCTTAGAAGAGTTGGCAAATATTTTTTTATGTTAAACCCTTGCTAGAGAAAAGTGATCCTTATTTTTTTTCCACACCTGGATAAACTTTCGAAGGTGAAGAGTCACATGGTGTCGTGTCTGAAGCCAATGTGATAAAGCAGTGAGTACAGTATTGTTGGGCAGGGACTGAGGTGGCCTGAGATCGCTATCCATAATGGAAAATCATTGGGTAACTTTGCGGTCAATTGTTCTCCCTTACCCCTAAGAAGGAGGCAACAGTAAAATCACTTCCAAAAATGTTGCCAAGAAAGTGGCATGTATTTGTCTGGATAATCACAACAAATCAAGACTGACTTGCAGACACAGATCATAATTGGTATAGTCAGGTCTACTTATGAACAACCCTGTCACCTAAAAGGAGGGAGAAGGAAAAACTGGGAAAAGTATATGGGTGAAGCAATTCAACTGTTCATTTCACAGAAGCTTTGTAACTGGAAGGTAAATGTCAAGCAGAGAAGAGAAATTGCCAAACAGCAACATTTGTTATCAGTGTATAATTTCTTCCTCGCAGAATCTTTGATTAAATCGTAAAATGTATTTCTTGACTAATCCTAAAGTTTTTAAAACTTACACTTAAAAATTAAATTTGGAAAAATTATTCTTAGAAAATTTGCCAAATACTCCAATAATACTTGAGGGCAAATCCATGTAGATTTAAACTTAGCTTTTCAAATCAATTTCTTCTATTTTCAAAGAGGATGAAAATGTACTAAGCAATGGCACCTGATAATTGGCATCTTTCCAAAGCTTTTCCTATATAGTTTCATACTGACCTTTTCTGTCCAGAGTCTTGAATTCACAAGACCTTCTGCTTGCAGGAAATCCTGAACAATGAACAAGAGTCGGAAAGCATTTTCAGCATGCACTGGGAGGGATTTGGCTTCTCTTGTGTCAGTGACTGCCCACTCCAGCATCTTCTCTAGCAAACTAAGTTATAGAGAAACAGGTGGCACAAAATAAGCAACTTTTGTGAATTTTAATTACTGATGGAAAGGCAGCGGAACAACAGAGCTAAACCCAACGTTGTTATTATCTAGCTTTTGCCACTGCAACCAACAAATTATATTCTGTGAAATAGCCTAGTTATGTTCTCAGTTGTTACACAAAGTCATGTTCTACCTTAATTTTCAAATCAATCACTCTGGATTGTCAAACAGAAGAGTTCCCAGAGGAAAGCCCCACTGTTTTAATGGGCTGCTTTTATCGAGCCAAAAAGCCGCTAGCCTCCTGTCTTTTTATACGAGCCTGAAACACCTGGCTCTGCCAGTTGCCCATGCGACCCAATATGGGAATGCCACACTGGAGGTGGCTATAAGATAAATAGCAGACCCCCATCTCACCCCATGCTTCTGGCTCCATCTTTTAATTCATATTGCTGAACTTTCATTATGTTTTATTGTTATATTTACATGTTTATAATTTTTATTCTATTGTTGTAAGCCACCCAGAGTAGCCACATAGTAAGGTGGATGACAAATAAATTTAATACAAAAATAAATACATAAGTAGATTTTTACCCATTCCATTTTTGCCTTGTGGTACCCTAAAAAGTGAATCATCATATTCTGGTGATTCTCCAAATGGGAAGAACTGGCATGGGTTGATAGAGGAATTGGGATTCAGCAAAAATAAACTCTGTTTACAGAAGCTGCCTCTCCTCTCCTGTCAGCGCCTCCTAACTCAAATGCATATTTTCTGGGGAATAGAAGAAAAATGTGTAGTTCCTTTAAGGAGAGAAGCCTAGCAGACATACCTGGAATGTAGGCCTATATTTGCTCTGAAACCCTTTAGATCCAAACATCTATTCCTGATGGTAAATCAGAAAGGGGGTGGAACCAACCTAGCTCTTTAAACTTTCTGAAACTTCTGTAGAACTGTAAACTGAATTTGATTATCTCAAAATGCTTACTGGCCATCTGAGCTTTAAATTATATAAACACCTATTTGGACACTTTGGTCCTGATATTATTGCCATGCCTGAAGTTCTGTATTTGTTAAATATAACACAAGAATTAAAGAAGCTTTTGTGTTAGCATGCCTTTAAATAGGAAATGGGAGGAAGCAAGTAAATATTCACTCAGTTTCTGGGTCTAGAATGTCTGATTTGTGAAAACACAAGAAGCTAGTTTCTGTTGAACTTAAATGCAGTTAGTATACGTAAAATTATTTTGCACATATTTATTTATTTATTTATTTTATTTAAATTTGTATACCACCCTTCTCCTAGTGGACTCAGGGCGGTGCACAGCCCAGTAAAAAACATCCAATACAAAATTTAAAAATTTAAAAGAATTATACCCTTTGGCCAAAAATTAAGAACCTTACAACTAAAACCCATTAAACAATTAAAAAATCTAATATCTCAAAAACGGGGGGGGGGTTCACGCCAGCCCTGCTTGATGGAAGAAAAAAGTTTTTAGGGCACGGCGAAAAGCCCAGATATCTGATATCCTCCGTATCTCCGGGGGCAAATCGTTCCAGAGGGCAGGTGCTGCCACAGAGAAGGCCCTCCCCCTGGGAGTCGCCAGCCGACACTGCCTAGCTGACAGCACCCTGAGGAGTCCCTCTCTGTGGGAGCGTACTGGCCGGTGGGAGGCTATTGGCGGCAGAAGGCGGTCCCGCAAATACAATGCCATGGAGCGCTTTAAAGGTGGTAACCAATACCTTGAAGCGCACCCGGAAGTCCACCGGGAGCCAATGCAGCTCACGCAGGAGAGGTGTCACATGGGAGCGCCCTCTCGCTCCCATAATCCCCCACGCAGCCGCATTCTGCACCAGCTGGAGCCTCCGGGTGTACCTCAAGGGGAGCCCCATGTAGAGAGCATTGCAGTAGTCCAGGCAGGAAATGACGAGTGCCTGAGTGACTGTGTGTAAGGAGTCCCGATCCAGAAAGAGACGCAACTGGCGAATCAGGCGAACCTGATGAAAAGCCCCCCTGGCCACGGCCGTCATATGCTCTTCTAAAGACAGCCGTGCATCCAGGAGGACACCCAAGTTGCGAGCCCTCTCCGTGGGGGCCAATAACTCGCCCCCAATAGCCAGCGATGGCGCCAGCTGGCTATATCGGGACGCCGGAAGCCACAGCCACTCGGTCTTGGAAGGGTTGAGTCGAAGCCTGTTACTCCCCATCCAGATCCGCACGGCCTCCAAGCACCGGGACATCACTTCAAGGGCATCGTTGGGATGGCCTGGGGTGGAGATGTACAGCTGAGTATCGTCAGCGTACTGATGGAATTCCACCCCAAAGCCACGGATGATCTCGCCCAGCGGCTTCACATAAATGTTGAACAGAAGGGGTGAGAGGACCGATCCCTGCAGCACCCCACACACAAGGCGCCTCGGGGTCGACCTCTGCCCCCCTGCCAACACTGACTGCGTCCGGTTGGAGAGATAGGAGGAGAACCACCGTAGAACGGTGCCCCCCACTCCCAGCCCCTCCAACCGGCGCAGCATGATATCATGGTCGATGGTATCAAAAGCCACTGAGAGATCTAATAGGACCAGGATAGAGGAGCAACCCCTATCCCGAGCCCTCCAGAGATCATCCACCAACGCGACCAATGCCGTTTCCGTGCTGTGCCCAGGCCTGAAGCCGGACTGGCGTGGATCCAGATAGACAGCTTCATCCAGGTACCCAGGCAGCTGTCGTGCCACCACACTCTCAACAACCTTCGCCATGAAGGGAAGGTTGGGGACTGGACAATAGTTAGCCAAAACAGCCGGATCCAGAGCAGGCTTCTTGAGGAGGGGCCTCACCACCGCCTCTTTCAAGGCTGATGGCAAGACACCCTCACCCAAGGAAGCGTTGATAATACCCTGGAGCCAGCCTCGCGTAACCTCCCGGGAGGCCAGTACCAGCCAGGAGGGACACGGGTCCAATAAACATGTGGTCGCATTCAGCCGCCCCAGTATCCTGTCCACGTCCTCGGGAGCAACAGGATCGAACTCCTCCCAAATGGCATTCTCAAGACCGGCCTCCATCATCCTGCCTGTACCTACCCAGTCAGAGATCAGGCCTTCCCGAATCTGAGTGATTTTATCGTGCAGATACTGAACAAAATCCTCAGCACGACCCTGCAAGGGATCCTCCCGCGCTCCCGAATGGAGGAGGGAGCGGGTCACCCTAAACAGGGCGACTGGGCGATTATCTGCCGATGCGATAAGAGCGGAAAAATAATTAAATTTTGCCGCTTTTATCGCCACTAGGTAGGTCTTAATATGAGCTCTTACCTGTGTTCGGTCAGATTCGGACCGGCTAGACCTCCAACTGCTCTCTAGGCGTCTTTTCCGGCGCTTCATCTCCCTCAGCTCCTCAGAGAACCAAGGAGCCAAGTAGACTCAGTGACGGGTCAGAGCCGCAAAGGCACGACTCGGTCCAAAGCGCCAGCGGCCGCCCTATCCCAGGCGGCCACCAGTTCCTCGGCCGAGTCATGAGTCAGAGCCTCAGGAAATGGCCCAAGCTCCATCTGGAACCTATCAGGATCCATCAGGCGCCTGGGGCGGAACCATCTAGTTTGTTCCGCCTCCCTGCGGCGGGGTGTAGCGGTTAGAAAGTCAAGTCTAAGAAGGGAATGATCTGACCATGACAAGGGCTCAATCCCTACTGCCCCTATCTCGAGATCATTCATCCACTTTCCAGAGACAAAAATCAAGTCCAGAGTGTGCCCTCCTGTGTGAGTGGGTCCATGAATTAACTGGGTCAGGTCCATGGCCGTCATGGAAGCCATGAACTCCCGAGCCACCTCAGACGTTTTGCCGACAGATGGCAGGTTGAAGTTCCCCATGACCATAAGCCTGGGGGTCTCCACCGCCACCTCGGCAATCACGTTGAGTAGCTCGGGCAGGGTAGCCGACACATATACATTGGACCCTTTTCACAAAGGGGTAAATCCCTCTTTTGGACATTCAATCTCTGAATATTTGGACCATCTTGCAGAGGACTCAGGGCTCAAAATGGCATTTAAGGATGTTGTTTATGTTGTTTATGTTTATTGGACTTCTATACCGCCCTTCTCCCGAAGGACTCAGGGCGGTGTACAGCCATATTAAAACACATATAGATTTACAAAATTTAAAAACAATTTAAAATCGAATATATAAAAAATTTGGCCCACAAATTAAAAACTAACATAACCCATTATAAAATTCATATTAGGCCAGCCCGGCTTGTTGGAACAGAAGAGGATGAATAAACATCATGCTACCCACAAACAGTGGGGCAGTGGATTAACTATATGCCACTCAATATCTAACAAATAACGAATAATACAATTTAATATGGATTTGTTATAAATCTCTGCTTGTTGACGCAATTCAAGAATTGAACCATTAACTCACACAGTCTGACTTTGCCATATCATTTTATAACCATAAGAATTATAATACATTGGAAATAAAGCTACAACTGATTTGTGAAATAAGTCCCATTTACTGTACATTACTGAATACTATAAGGACAGTTTCAATTAAAAAAAAAAAGGCAAGAAAGATACTTTTGAGCAATATGGACAAAATTTTAAGCATCTTTTTCCTTCTCTTTAAAAATAACTTTATACTGTATGTGATGTTTACACTATTAATTCAGATCACATTAATGAGCTTCAGGTCCAATGAATCATTCCTCTTTCCTGCTTTCCATTATCACTTTTTTCTTTCCAAAAAAACAAATTTTGAAAAAGTAAGAGTTTGACCTACTTGAGTTTGATCTCATCTGATGGTCGTAGTAATTCATTAGAGATGGCCAATTTTGTAAGCGCAGAAAAAACCTGACCCTTCTCAATCCAAGCTGCATCATCTGATCTCTCGATGCCTTTCCACATCACACAGAGCAAAATATCTGTCAGAAGCTGGAGGAGATCTTCTTCGCATGCCTAGTAAAAGCAGACACGCATTTTAAAAGATTACAGTATTTTTGAAAAGCATCTTACTAATTTTTCATAGAAAGAGCAGATCAATTCCACTTCATACTGTAACAAAGATTCACAGTTTATATTAAAAATTACTGGTATTACAGCTTCTAAAATGAAAATAGGCAGCTTTTTTGACTGATGAGACCCAGAAAACTATATAATCATATATTATTATTATTATTATTATTATTATTATTATTATTATTATTATTATTATTATTATTATTATTATTATTATTATTATTATTTGGACTTATATGCCACCCTATCTCCGAAAGGACTCAGGGCGGCTCACAACAATAAAACACACAAAATTCAATTTTTTAAAAAAATACCCAATAAAACTATAAAAACCATTAAAATCCCCTCTAAAACCCCTTCAGTCCAAGCCGGCCAGGCGAAATAACCATATTTTAAGGCCACGGCGGAAAGAGCGAAGGTCAGGGGCCACCCGGAACCCCAGGGGGAGCCGATTCCACAGGGTAGGTGCGCCCACAGAGAAAGCCCGCTCCCTAGAGGTCGCCAACCGACATTGTCTGGCTGACAGCACCCCAAGGAGGCTCTCCCTGTGGGAACGCACCGGGTGATGGGGAGCTGTCACTGGCCGCAGATGGTCCGCCAAATACCCCGGGCCTAAGTCATATAGGGCTTTATAGGTGATTACCAGCACCTTGAATCTCACCCGGAGGGCAACTGGTAGCCAATGCAGGTCCCGCAGGAGGAGTGTAACATGAGAGTGTCGGGACACTCCCATCATTACCCGCGCGGCCGCGTTCTGCACCAGCTGAAGCCTCCAAGTGGTCTTCAGGGGCAGCCCCATGTAGAGAGCATTGCAGTAGTCGATCCGGGAAGTGACGAGCACATGAGTGACTGTGCATAGGTCATCACGGTCCAGGTAGGGGCACAACTGGCGCACCAGACAAATCTGGGCAAATGCCCCCCTGGTCACAGTCGTAACATGATCTTCTAGAGACAACCGTGAATCCAGGAGGATGCCTAAGTTGCACGCCCTATCAACAGGGGGCAACAACTCACCCCCTATAACCAGCGATGGAATATTCCCTTGGAATCGAGATGCCAGTATCCACAGCCACTCCGACTTGGCAGGGTTGAGTTGAAGCCTGTTCCTCCCCATCCAGAACCGCACCGCTTCCAGGAACCGGGACATCACGTCAAGGGCATCACTGGGCTGATTCGGGGTGGATATAAAAAGTTGGGTATCATCAGCATACTGATGATACCCCACCCCAAAACCACAGATGATCTCCCCAGCGGCTTCATATAGATGTTGAACAGAAGGGGAGAGAGGACCGATCCCTGAGGGACCCCACAAGTGAGGGGCCTCGGGGCAGACCTCTGTCCCCCTACCCACACCGCTTGTGAACGCCCAGAGAGGTAGGAGGAGAACCACCACAGAACAGTGCCTCCCACTCCCAACCCCTCAAGGCGTCGCAGTAGGATACCATGGTCGATGGTATCAAAAACCGCCAAGAGATCTAATAGGACCAGGACAGATGAATATCCCTTGTCCCGAGTTCTCCAGAGATCATCCACCAGTGCGACCAATGCTGTCTCCGTGCTGTACCCAGGCCTGAAACCCGATTGGTACGGGTCCAGATATAGTGTTTCATCCAGGGCCAACGGGAACTGATGTGCCACCATGCTCTCAACAACTTTTGCAATAAAGCAAAGGTTGGAGACAGGACGAAAGTTATTCAAAATAGCTGGATCCAAGGCAGGTTTCTTGAGGAGAGGTCTCACCACCCCTTCTTCAAAGCGGCTGGGAAACTCCCCTCACCCAAGGAGGCAGTAATCACTGCCTGGATCCAGCCACGTGTAACCTCCCGGGCCGAATAAACGAGCCAGGATGGACATGGGTCCAATAAACACGTGGTGGTACTCAGCTTCCCCATGATCCTGTCCACTTCCTCAAGAGTAACAGGATCGAACTTATCCCAAATCACCAGTCCCGCCACCACCTCCCCAACCGACCCTGCCTAGTCGGAGTCCAGCCCCTCCCGAATCTGAGCGATCTTATCCCGCAGATGTTGACTATACTCCTCGGCCCACTCCCTGATTCAAAAGGGAGCGGGATACCCTAAACAGGGCAGCCGGGCGATTATCTGCAGACGCGATGAGGGCAGAGAAGTGAACCCGCTTCACCACCTCCATCACCGCCAGATAAGATCGAGTGAAGGATCTTATCTGTTCGGTCAGACTCGGAACGGCTGGATCTCCAACAGCTGTCCAGGCCTCTCCTCCGATGCTTCATCTCCCAGAGCTCCTCAGTAAACCAAGGGGCCAACCAGGATCTGCGTCGGGTCAGAGGTTGCAAAGGCACGACCCAGTCGAGAGTCCCGGCAGCCGCCTTTTCCCAGGCATCCACCAGAGTCTCGACCATTGCGTGGGAAAGAGAGAGAGGTATAGTCCCAAGCTCCATCTGGAACCGCTCAGGGTCCATCAGGCGCCTGGGGCAGAACCAGGTGGTCGGTTCCGCCTCCCAGCGGCGGGAGGGCGGCATAATGGAAGCCCAGCCTGAGGAAATAGCGATCGGTCCATGACAGGGGGTAAATAGCTGGCATACCCCCATCAAACTCACTCCGCCACTGCTCCGAGATAAAAACTAGATCGGGCGTGTGTCCCTCCAGATGAGTCGGGCCCTGTATTATCTGGGTCAGGTCCATGGCTGCCATGGAAGCCATGAACTCCCGGGCCGCTCCTGATGCCTCCCCCAGGGAGGGTAGGTTAAAGACACCCAGCACAATGAGTCTGGGAAACTCAACCACCAGCCCTGATACGGCGTCTAGCAGCCCAGGCAGGGCCATTGATACGCAGCTGGGAGATCTTACACTGTTTTTTAAAAGAAAGAAAAGGCAACATACTGAAAGGGGCGGCCTAAAAATAGGTGCAAAAGTGCAAGAAAATAAAAATAAGAAAATAAATAGCCCAGAGCAATTTGCATGGACAGTTCTAAGAAAGATGCATCTCATTCATTCATTCATTCATTCCTTTCATTCATTCATTCACTTGCTCATTCATATTGATTTGCTGAAAAATGTATATGTCACCCACCTTATACAAAGTAACCTTAGATAGCATCTATCAATCAAATATACTTAAAATTAAAAACCATAATGCTCCAACCAAAGCATTTCTGAAGTATCAGGAGAAAAGAGGATTTATGGCTCTTCCAAGAGATGCACATCTAGAAACTGGTTAACAACTAGTCTGCTTACACTCTCAAGCAGTCTAGATGGAGATAACAGCCAGACTTGGGAGAGAAGCAGGAGCATCAAGTGTGCATTTATGTATACTGGGGATGTCTCACTGAATTCTTACTGTTTCATGATTTTTTTAAAAAATCAGAACAACCCAGCAAGGTTATCTTTTAGTCATGTACCTCATGAATTTCAAATAAGGAAAGATCAGCAGCGAATACCAGGTCCTCTGCAGCATTTGGTTCCTTGTCAAGCTGTCCAGAAAATGTCTTTGTATTCTCAATGGGAGAAGGGGTGCTGGGCAGACTATCAGCCATCTGGCTCCCACTGTCACCCAGTTCATAAGAGTCAACACTTGAGAGGTCTAAGCTTAAATGTGGATTCTTCTGCCACAAGTCCTCCTGGTCCTCAGGCCTAAAAGACATCTCCTCCACGGATGTATCTTCCATCACTGTCACAGATTTGCCATCTTCTAAACTCCATTGATCACAAGAACCATTGACAGACGCAAAACTGGCACCATCTTCCCCATCGGCCTTGGAAGTACGACACTGCTGATGGTCTTTGGCAGAAACACGCTTGTCATCTCCTTTAGTAGAGTCGCTTTTGGTGTCCCTCACGCCACTCCTGACATCAGCGTGCTCTTTCAGGAACAGTTGAGTCAGTGTCTCCTGCCACCCAAGTTGCTGAGAAATCTGTTGTGCTGAATCTTGTTGGGAATGTAGGATTTGCAAAAGCTACCGAAAACATGGATTCAAATACAATACATTGTAAAACTTTGTGTTTTAGATTTATTTTTGTTTCCTGAATGAAATAAAATAAAATAACTTTCTCAGTTTCTTATATACCTATTTTCATTCTTTCAGTTAAAGATTTATAAACTAATGCTAATTTAATAGCTAGGAAAGTGTTAAATGAACATGTAATTTACATTATAAGCACTAAGCTAAATACAACCATCTTTAGAAAAGCCCCATTTAGATGAATAGGGCATGGATTGTTATTAACTTTATATCACTTTGGCTAGAGCTCTTTGCAGAGCTTTTCCCCATATTCCCAGCAGCATGCTTTCTACAGCTTCTTAAGAAAAGGAACTCCAGAAATTAAGGAAAGCGCAATAAAAGGAAGATGAACCAGGGAAACTAGGACCTGCATCTGTTGGAGAGGAACACCTGGTGAGGGTGAAGGGAGAAACAAATGCTACCAGTACGAAGAGCAAAACCGTAGAATGCTTTCCACTAAGTTGCTATTCCTCCCTCGGAGGGAGGGAGGGAGGGAGGGAGGGAGGGAGGAAGGAAGGAAGGAAGGAAGGAAGGAAGGAAGGAAGGAAGGAAGGAAGAACTCTGGTTGCTAATATGGCTTTTTCTCAGCAGTCGAAGCAGAAATGGCACAGAGCCCCATGGCCAGAAGGGAGGGTGAGGTCTTGCAGCAGGATAATTAGAGACCTCCTTCTCCAGGTGAATCAGAATGTGAATCAGTATAAGACTGAGATGGAGGCTGCTTTATGCGGATATGTCCTTAGCAAATGATTAGGGGAACATTTTGGTTGGTGCTTGGGTCAGAGAGGCATGAAGAAGAGAGGCACGAATAATGGGATCCGTCCTATTATTATTTAAATCCTAAACAATGCCCACATTTGTCTTTTCAAAAGTAGTAAATTTAATTTCAGTATATATTACTGTATACTGGATGCACAGACATCATAAAAATGAAAGCACTGAATGCCAAAGATATAAAACCCACAGAGAAACCCACTAAAAAATGCTCATCTCAGACTACCTTTATTGAGCTGTGAAAAATAGATGAAGAGAACCAGATGTTGTCAGCCCTATGAACAGGCCACACCAGAAAAACCAACTGCACAAGAAAACTAAAACTACATTTTATTGACAGAAGCTCTGGTAACAGAATCTTGCATGCCAGACTGTGCTTTTCCTACCATCCCTCTTACTGTATATCCCAGTGAATCCGGAGATTAAGTCTGAACCAGTCTGCCTCAATATTAGCTTGTTTCCCAGGATTTAAGGACTGTTTCAGCTCTCTTTGTTTATATAACAGCGGTTCTTACCTATTTCCTCAAAGCCATCTCTCTCTCTACAGATATAAAAGTAGGATTAGCATTCAACAACCCAGATTTTACTGCAAAAACTATGAAAATTGTTAAGCAAGAAAGCCAGTGACTGACAAGGCTGGCCTGATTTTGGACAGGAAGAAGAGTTCCCATGTTCTGATAATAGGTTTGCAGACTGTCTTCTTCTGACTTTGGTAGTACTAGCCGTCTCACTAGCCATTAGATGCCAATTTCTCTCAGGGTGCACCATCATCAGGAATATTATTGAAAATAGGGGGGGGGAAATTTTGGGTATCCAATACATTTAGAAAAATGGCAAGAGATTTGGTGGGGGAATATGAAATTAGTAGTGTCTACGGCTTATAAAGAAAATATTTACAAGATGATATACAGGTGGCATCTTCCCCCTGATAGACTAGCTAAAATGTTCACGGGACAGTCTGCTGAATGCTGGAAATGTGGGTGGGAGCATGGCACCTATTACCATCAGTGGTGGACGTGCCCGAAAGCAGTAAAATTTTGGGGGAAAATAAAAAAATGGCTTAATGAGATTTTAATGCAAAAGATTGAATGGCAACCAGAAACATGCCTGCTCGGTTCCAAACCGGAAAATATCAAAAGAGACTCGTGGTATCTTGCATTATACATCATCACAGTGGCGAGATTGGCATACGCTCAATTTTGGAAAAATCAAAATATCCCAACAGAGGAGACAATTATAAAGAAGATTTTAGAAGGTGCGGAAGCAGATAAATTGACTAAAAAACTAAAAGACAGAGACCAAATACAAATATGTCTATTTTGGGAAAAATTTTATAAATGGTTAGAGAAGAGGAAATTATAACCCACACTAGATGAGGAATTGTATATATTGAGAAACTTATATTGTACAAGTAAAGTGAGGTCGGATAGACCTAATTGATGTATAAAGGTATATAAGTTGTTCTGTCTTCTCCAGAACATAATATGGAAACATAGTACCGAATATTAGGTTATTAAGATACTACATAGAGGTATGCCTGTTTTCTTCTTTTTTTTCCCTTTGTTTTGTGTTGTATTGTCTTGTGTGTTATTTATATGATGTGTTGTTTTTTCTTTTTAATGGAAAATGTAAATAAAGATTTTTTTTTTAAAAAAAGGAATATTATTGAAAATAGACATATTATTTAAAAGAGATGGATGTATTTGCATCTTATCCTCTGCAGCTACCTCCACAAAAGCAATGGTCTGAAGAGTTCACTAAGTATTTAAGAAATCCTAACGTCCACAATTATTTTCCAGACTATTAATAGGCTGACCACTATTTAGTATTAATGTGCCCTCCCCACAAGGAGACTAACCTTTCGACAGGCAGCCACTCTTACGTTGAGATCTGCTCGGTGAGCCAAGTGCACCACAGCTAAAAAGTCCTTGCAATTCACAAATGGATCTGTAGAGTACAGAAACGAGTTACAACAATAAAGAAATTCATTCCTATCAAAATGCCATAAAAGCACAAAAATATGTCTATCAATATACTTTTGCTATTTTGCTAGCTAACCACATTTGCGCTATTTGCAGTTTAAAGCACTTATACTGGGCATATGCTGTGTGGAAAAGTTAATAAACATTTGAGTACCAGCATGCAGAATTTGGTTGAAAAGGTTCTTCATAAGAGAAGTGCTAAGTGGAGATTCATTCAGGAGCAGACCCAGTCCAGAATAGCCAACTTCTCTGAGCTTCATACGTTGCTTGCTCCGTTCATAAACTTTAGTGCATTTCAGCATTTGCTCTGCAATCTGCAACAACAATAAAAACATGAACTTCTCAGCTGCGGAAATATTGAAAAATCTGCAGTGCCTATGTTGCTTGTATACCTCAAGCAAGGTCCACCTGCAAGCAAGACCTCAGTGGAAAAACAGAATTCAAATGGACTTTTCATAGAAAAAGCAACTCTGTTCTTTAATATATTTTTTTATTATTTGCCTGCTGATTTCTAGAAGTTACACCACACAGCACAAAATAATAGTTTCCATAATTATAGCCCAAAAGATGCTCATCATTATCACAAATGATGTCTATGTAGGAAAAGAAACTTGCAAATTACAAAGCTGAACTAGATTTGCGTGTGATTTTGTCAGAAAATAAGATGAAGAAACACAAATCTCATACGGAAGTCAGATTAAGTTTTCTTGCCTGACCTCATGGACTTCAGCTACTTAAGACACATTGGCATCTCTCTATATTGTATCCACCTTCCAAATATCTCCCAGAAAAAAAAGTATTTGTCAATTCCCTAAACTTAATGCAAGGTAAGAGGGATGCAGTGGCTCAGTGGCTAAGACGCTGAGCTTGTCGATCAAAAGGTCAGTAGTTCAGCGGTTCAAATCCGTAATGGGCATAATGGGGTGAGCTCCCATTACTTGTCCCAGCTTCTGCCAACCTAGCAGTTCGAAAGCACGTAAACAATGCAAGCAGAAAAATAGGGACCACCTTTGGTGGGAAGGTAACAGTGTTCCGTGCGCCTTTGGCGTTTAGTCATACCGGCCAGATGACCACGGAGATGTCTTTGGACAGTGCTGGCTTTTCGGCTTTGAAATGGAGATGAGCACCGCCCTCTAGAGTCAGGAATGACTAGCACATATGTGCGAGGGGAATCTTTACCTTTAATGCAAAGTAATTTGAAAGAAGTTATGCCTTGTTTCTTCTTCCAAAAAAACCATGTTTCATGTAAAAATGCACAACCTTGCTAATACTATCAATCACTTTAGGAGACATGTAAAACAAAATTACCTTGAACACAAGTTCTCGTAGTCTATCAGAATATTTCTGATTCAGTAGAAGAGCATAAAGGATGTCTGCATTTCCTGGCTCAAAAAGCAATAAGAAAAGCTGGTCTCGGGTTGGGCAGGTGTTAAGCAGGCTGAAGAGCATTTCTAGAATCCCACAGAGCTTGGGGAAAAAAGAGAAAAAAGCCACACACAGATCATCATCTATGAATCTAGAATCCAAGTCATTCCTGACATTCAATATCATTCAAACAACATTAGTCACCTGAAATGCAACAAGACAGGTATGTTTAAAAATGCAAACAGAAACAACAACTGTTAAGAGTTATTCAGTTATTCACACACAGGTCATTTTTTCAGAATATAACTGAATCTCATCTATATAGATACTTGTAGCAGAGATAAAGAGATCTGCAAGAACAGGAGGTAGGGAAATACCTGGCTGCTCAAATAATTTTTAAAAGCACAAGAAAAAGTGATAGATTTTGTTAACGTTTGAGGAGCCTCGCATAACCCCATAGCCTTCCCAACAATGTTTTGCATGAACACTTTTATTCTGTCCTAATCTATTACATTATTATCTGGAAAGGATTATCAGAGCAACTTTTAAATCAATCAATCAATAAAAAGAAAAGACCTCTCCTTGGGTTTACAGCCTAAAAACTACAGCATAAAAGAAAAAGAGATAGAGAAAAGGAGATACATATACGTGCACACACACACACACAAACAAACACACAAAGAAACTTATTTTTATAACTTTCTAACAACCACCTGGCATGTAAGAAATGGGCTACTGAAATCTTAGTGGATTTCCACAAAATAAGCGGATTATGCAACCTTCAAGAAATGTACTATAATACACCCAGAAAACTGATGATGATACAGGATAGATTTCAACTTTTTTGCTGGGAGTTTCTGATATTTGACCATTCCAGCCACATCATGACATCCTCACCAAGAGAAGACAATCTTACTGCTTCTCCCGACAGGGCAACTTCTGTGAAGGGAAAGGAAAGATCCAGACTAGACACAGCAGCCATGGATCTAGTTTGTGGAGATAGTAAGTAATTTGTTAACGAATGTTGGTTTTAGAGGTGACCTCAGTCTAATTCTTAAAATTACCACACAAAAGGAACAACAGAACTCTGGATGCTGAGAAAAGAATTGGGCAAGATGAGCTTTGGATCTATAATTAAGAGCTTATGAACAGCAAACATCACACCTTCCCCTATGTTATGTGCTGCAATATCTGCCTGTCTGTCTGTCTGTCTGTCTGCCTGCCTGCCTGCCTGCCTGCCGATCTATCTATCTATCTATCTATCTATCTATCTATCTATCTATCTATCTATCTATCTATCTATCTCTCTATCACATTTATATAGTCACCCATCTTATACCAAAATTTGGGTAACTCCACAGCAACATCTAAAATAGCATCATTATACAATTAATATATCCATCTATCGATTAAAACCACAAATAAAAACCTGGGAACATAATAAACTTTTACAAGCAGTGCACCTACCATGCTCTCATCAATCTCACTCTATCTCAACGCCTGGGGGAAAAGCCAGGTCTTAAAGAGTTTTTTGGGAAGGCTAGGAGGGTGGTGTCTGCCAAACTTCAGGGGAAAGGGTGATCCATAGGGCAGGAGCTTCCTAGCTTCCACAAAATGGCAATATTTAAGGGAAGAGATCAAAAGTGTGCCCACCCTATCAAATCTGGTAGGAGGGTTGATGTTCTTAAGGAGATGCAGTCCCACAGATCAACTGGCCCTGTGCCGTATAAGGCCTCAAAAATAACAAACAGCCCCATGAATTTCTCTCAGAAGGAAACCAGAAGCCACTGCAGCTCATGCAACAGACATCTAATCTGGTAAACCTAAGGGCACCCATCATTATACACCCCACTGCATTGTGCACTCCACTGGAAGTTATAGCTTCCAGGTGGTTTTCAAGGGCAGCCCCATGGACAGAACAGAGTCACTTTGAGAATGAGATCGGCGGTTCCAAAATTTGACAAATAAATAAATAGATGCAAATGGGAAATGACCAAGGCACGGGTGATTGTGATCAAGGCCTCCTGGTCCAGGAAAGGGTCCAATTGGCATACCAGACAAATCTGTGCAAACATTGCACCCTCATCATGTTATGTGGTTAATAAAAAGGAATAGTATCCCTGTGCAATGGAGAGAGGAGTTGAGGGAGGTTGGTTAATCTGTGAAATATAATGAACCTTCAATGATTCTGGCTATCCCCTTATTCGTTGCACCTGTTTTAAGGATGGTGGTGCCTCCTTCCATCGTTATGGACAATTACTATTACAGCAAAAGAGGGAAGAAGAGATATAGTAAGTTACCTGCTCCTCATCACCAGTGACTGCTATGTATCCCATGATGCTTTGGACTTCCACATGTGTCCCACCTTTGGTCAAGAAGTATTTGATTAAACCATACAGAGATGTCCTGATTGTCCTAAGATCATCTGGAAGCAAGTCACTGTCCCTGGAGTGGTTTCTAAGAGAAACAAGGATTGTCAATTAAGACGTAATAATCAGTTCTAATGTACTTCTTTTCACAAGCCATTCTCTCTTGTTCCTTAAGTACCTGCGTCCATTACACTGATGTTGTCAGGACAGAATTTCAGGGTTGATTTCCAGACTGACAGCAAAATGAGTAAATACAAGGATTTCGAATGTAAGAGTTTTAAAAGACATAAAAATAAAGACATGGGGGAAAGTAATCCTTTATAAAGCCCTTGCTTGGATGTATTTTACTTTTTCCATTTAAACATATTTTTAATATGAAGGTATAGTATGATTTTAAATTGAACATTTGCTTACTGTCAGCATTTGGAGGGAGGTCGTTTATTTTATTTTCAAAATAAAATACAATTTAACAAAACAAAAAATCCTAAATGGGATACTCTTCCAAGAAAGGATAATTATAAAACCTTAGGTAAACTAGTTCATACTAAGCCATGAACTTGCTGGAAGAATTTTGGCCAGTTGCACTATCTGACAGGTTTGTTGCTCCTTGAAGAAATGCTAGATGTCAATGTTTTCTTAACCATTGGCCATCATTTAGAACACATGACAAGATTTAACATATGCCAGGTTATCCAATCAATTGGGGGGGTTGGGGGGGAGGCCTTCATAAGCTACAATGCAGGTTGCATAGTTTCAGCCTAGTATACTGTGTGGACCTCTTAAAGCATTTTTAAACCATTGTTTATGCAACTGAACCTATATAATTGTGGTTTATTCAATAAACTATAGTTAAAACCACAATGAAGTAAATCACAGCTTAGTGCAATGTGTGAATTCAATACAGGACATTCCAGTACATCCATCCTATATCCAATTATAACTGATAGAAGAGCACAACTGCTGTAACGTTACAGACACTTGCCAGCTGCAGTTCCCAGATGAGAGCAGCAAGTATCAACTACTCTTTTAAATTATATTTATATTAGAATTTCAATTTTAAACAAAAGCAAGAAATTTTGGACACCTACTAACTGGATACATCCTTAGACAATTTGGAATTGATATGCATTTATGCACTTGAAGGCACTTTGTTCCCCCATATAAAATCATAATGAGTTGCATCCATTATGAAACTGATAATCAGGAATTAGAAAAAGATTAGGCTCCTCCCTGAAAGGATACAAACACTGTCCTGTACTTTCTGCAATTTTCTTTGGAAAAGTCCCACATATGTAAATGGACAGTGTTTCTTGAAAGGATGCAAAAATAGCTACTAATCATAATATGCAACTATTACAGCAACTCAATATTTATATGGTGTCTTTCAGATTCAAAGAATTTCCAGCATGTAGAAAAAGTCTTTGAAAAGCAAAGCCCAAGTCAAAAAAGGAATACAAGATTCCATACCCATAATAAATTCTCAGAGTATCCAACAAAAACTGCACGCCATATTTTTTCCGGAAGAGCCTTCTGCTATCTTTGATAATTGTGGAAAGGTATTGGATATGGCCTAAAAAAGAAATTCGAAGTCCTAATTAGAACAGAGTTGTATTAGCTACATTTGTAAATTGTATGGCTCTAATCACAATTGTATGATTAGATACAGATAGTCCTCAACTTAGGACCACTTGTTTAATAACCATTCATAGTTATAATGATGCTAAAAAAAAGCAACGTATGACCACAGCCCTTGCACTTATGACCATCATAGCACCCTCACATCATACGACTAAAATTCGGACACTTGACAAACAACATGTATTTACAACAGTTGCAGCCCTCCAGGATCACATGATCACCATTTGTAACATCCCCAGGGGACTTCCAATAAGCAAAGTCAAAGTGAAAGCTGGTTAGAAGAACACTTTAAGCCATGGTTTAAAGTAAGTACAGCTAAGAGCCTAAAAGCATCAGTTGTGTTCACAGAGCATGACATCTTTTAGAGGCATTTATCTGCTTTTATTTTCTTCCTACTTGTTGCCCCAGGAAGCCTGATTTAAATCCAGAAAAGGCCTTTTCATTCCACAAAATCCAGTGGGAGATGGCACAGATTCTACTGCTTTACTCTTGTTCAAGAAAAGGAAGGGGAAATACTCAAGGGTTAAATGATATGTAGCTCCCTATTTGTAGCTCCAGCAGCAATGGGGTGAAATAAAAAGTCTTGCCTTCATCCCCTTTTCATTGGATTCAATCTGTACGCCTAATTATATTACTTTAGAACTAGGCAGGAGCCAGTACAATCAAAGCATTTTATGTTTCAGTGTCCACTTTAAGAATATCTATCCATATACTACTATAACTCTCCTGTTTGTCTGTTCGTAACTTTCAATTAGCCAAAAAGTACATCATTGCACAAAAGGTTTTGAATAAGGTACTTCAAATTGGCTAACTTAAAGAGTGCATACAAAATTCAAGACTCATTACTCCCCTGTAATTGAAATTTCAAGGATCTTGATCTCAGTTGTACTCGCAAAGTTGTGGCCACTATACTATCACAGTGTTCAGCTGATTGTAATTTCCGATACTCCCTGCCAGTTTCCCACAAGCAAAGTCAATGGGGAAGCTGGCAGGAAATCAGAAGTCACTCTTACTCCCACTATTTTTTTTACCCACTGATGCTCATTCTGGTTTGTTTGTTGGTTTGTTTGTTTGTTTTGTTTAAGTAAGAAAATACTTCTGAAAGATGATCCAATGGGTCCTGGGTTATCTAGTAAAACTATATTCCTTTTGATTTCAATTGTACTAATATTATTGTTGTGTTTCCTTGAGTGCTTATATAATCAATAAACTAGGGTATAACACTAAGTAAAATCATAACTGTTACAACATTTACAAGCTCACCAATTCGGAACGGGAAGTCCCCATGGTTCCATATGCTGAAGTCAAAAAGTAGGTGCTGATGCATTTGCTGCAAAAGCTGGACATTTTTTGCCACAGAGACTTGTTCTATTAATAACTGGACTGCCATTAGTACATTCACATCCATGAATCTGCTGGGCACCTTAAAAAAGGAGGGACTATATTGTTTATTAAGAAAAAAAACCCCAAACAGAGTGATTTCTATATTTCAAACAATAGGCTGTTGTCAAAGATTTTTTTAGAGCAGCTTTTTTATTGTTTGTTTGTTCATTTGTGAGAAAAGTCTGCCGAGTTTTCAACAGAAATGTTTGTAGTAGTTGTCCTCCCACAGCAAAGTTTTTCCTGATAACCTCCCATCATCCCATGCTGGCCTTCGAGCATCAGTATAACAATGTTATGCGCAATCTGAGTGGGGGTAAAGAAGCAAAAAGAGATTATCATCCAGCCCAAAACTATATATGTACCATAGATACATTTGTAACACAATGAAGAATAGGCAAGCTATCCAAATAAAATATTTGGAAGGTCCATCCAATATAGCTTGAAACAAAATATCTTCATTATCTTTTTTTCTCTGAGCATTTTTTGTTATTCCTAAAACAAAAGGCTTACAAAAAGCTCAGGAAGATGAACTTCTAAAAGTATTTCAAACTTCAGATCAAAATTTGCCCCCAAAAATGGTAATTTAAAGCAATTATAACTTTCCAATCTCATAGATGCAAAATAGGGTTTGATATTCAAACAAAAGCTCACAATATACAGTATTCAAATTATTTTGCAGGTTTGGATACCTTTTGCAAAAGGACTCCTAATGTTGCAATCCCATGAGTGTGAATAAGATTATCTTGGTTGATTGGATGCCTTTGAACAAAATGCTTTAGCATCAAGATGAAGGTTGCAATGATGTTCTTCTCCAAACGAGCCTCTGTAAAAATGAAATGCAGACTTTAGCTCAAGGGCAAAAAAAGTAGAACTATCACCTAATGAAAAAAGATATTAAAACCAGGGAATGCATCTCTGTTTGGTTTACTGCTCCCTTTGAAATGATGGAAAAGGCTAATTATGTCCTTTACCTGAAGCTTTGGTGGAGGTTAATACAACCCAATCTCCTTCAACAGGTGTCAACAATTCATGGGGCAGAGCTTCTACCTCTGGCCTCTCAGGCAACTGCTCATCAAGGTAACTGATCTGCTCCAACAATGGGAACAGAACATTTAATCCGCCTATGCAGTTGATCATATCCTTTAGAAATACAACAGGGTGAGGGAAACAAAGGGGAGAAGGAACAATCACAAGTCTGAAACCAACAACAGGAAAGGCTTTTGAAAGACATGTTATATCTGCATAAAAGTATTAGAACACCACGGAGCAATTGATGTGTCAGAAATAGCTGTAGTAGGTCTTAGAGAAGTTTGGATTTTAGGAAAAAAAATGAGCCAATTTTTCAGAAAAAAATCAGTGCATGGCATCAGTGCAGATAAACACACCTTTTAATGCATTTTCATAGGAGAAAATAAAGATCTACAAAAGACTACAAATGGTTCCAGATTAACCAATCAATAATGAGATGCTGCATTTAGCTCAACTTCTCAGGGGAGCAGTTAGCTAATCCAGATTCTCAGGTTTCAGCTACAAAGATCCAATTTTTTTTTTCAAGACATGCAACAAAAAGCCCAATTTTGTACAAATACTTTAAGAAAATCACTTTTCAGTGATTTAGCCAAAGATATCAGCCATGACTAACATTCTAGAGAACTACAGAGATGAATTTAAAGTCCATCTGTCTGCAGAAGGAACTTCTTTTATCATCTGGAACTATCACTATTAGGCAGAAATCTACCCCTACCACATCATTCTGGAACACATGCAGCTTTATATTTAGCTTTTGTCATGTGCAACCCTTTTTCATATATATATAATTCCCCTCACCTCCAAATAAAAATGGAATGGGAAATCAGTTCCTGATGCCATGCATTGTTACTATATGATATGGAAGCTTCTCATGACATTGCTTTCATCCAGGTCATATAAAGCAACACAGCTTTAGCATTAAATCACCGGAAATGCTCACCTTGATGTCCCAGTTCACTATTTTGTTCCCTGTTAACCTCCCATGTAAAAGATTTGCAGAAAGGTCAAGACAAATAGGGCTTCTGCAGGCCTATCCATTGAAAAAGAAAAAAAAAAGGGCTGTAACACATTCATAAAGCAGACCAGAGGTTATCTTTTGCACTCTTTTTTATATGAAACCCAATAAAAAACAACTCCCCCCCCCAAAAAAAACCCCTCATGAACCAGCAATACTTTCTATGTGCTACCATAACCATGAGTTATTCTTTCTGATTTTATCCGCCTGTCCCATAAGATCTGGCAGAAGAGGTATGTTGCAGTTCCCATCTATTAAAAAGTTCCATCTGATGGGGGCCAGGAGATGGTTTTTTTCTGTCGTGGCGCCTGCCCGGTGGAACGTCTTTCCTCCTGAAGTGAGACTGATCTCATCCTTTGTAGCCTTTCCTCAAAAAATGGTGGTTGTCGACAGGGTTGGGGATATCAAGGAACAGTGAACTGATGAGGTAGCTACTCTGTCTGCAACATTGAATACACTCTCTTATAATCTTTGAATAATAATATTGTTTTTTAATTGTGGATGATGTTATTAAGATTGCTCACTTTATGGTTTGTTTTAATTGTAGACTACTCAAGTCACATTTTATGTGGCAGGGAAGGAAGGAAGGAAGGAAGGAAGGAAGGAAGGAAGGAAGGAAGGAAGGAAGGAAGGAAGGAAGGAAGGAAGGAAGGAAGGAAGGAAGGGAGAGAGGAAGGAAGGAAGGAAGGAAGGAAGGAAGGGAGAGTTTTGCTCCTAATTCAGCAACTATACACTTGCCAGGCAGTTACACACCTGTGGCTGCTAAGTAGATACTTATCCCAGTAAAGAGGGAGTACAGATTCATGCCCTAATACATTCAATCCCAAACTGATTGACTTGCTTCAAATCTGCTAGACGACATTGTTAAGCAATCTCCACCCCATGTCCACCACGCCTACTAATCCTTTTGAAGAATGCCTTTGTTGTTTTTATGCTTAAAAGGCAGTCTTCATTGTATGTATTCTATTTAAAAGCAACAGAGTGCTTAACTAAATCTGAAAAATATATTGTAGTTGATGATCTGTGTCAGATGTAAATGCCTTATTCTCCAATGTGTAAATAATGTATATATGGAACATCAGAGGTTAACTTATTCTTTGGATTTTAATGTATTCATAACTTACCACTCCCATTCCTAGCTCCACCCCTTGTATATATAAGGAGCCACCCTCACCATTCTCGTTGCTTCTACCTTGAATATTCAGTGAATATAGAATGCCTATCATAATTAAAAAGAAATATATTTAAAGCTCTAACTCCTATTATCTTTATTGAGTCTGATCCTGAAAATATTGCAACAATCTGCATAAAGCTTTTCACAATATTTTTATAGCAGATGAATAAGCTTAACATTTGAAATATTTGAAAAAGATTTGAAAGTATTTGAAATGCCACAAAGTAGGAAAGAACCTTTATTCATTCTTAGAAACTGGCATTCTACTTCAGAAGAGAGGGCTTTTTGCTTGGTTAGCATGGCAAATAGCTGGAGGTTAAATGACCTTCCTCCAGTTTCTCTACTTCTAATGATAAATCATATTTAAAAGATAGATGAAAAATATGTTAAATACTACCTTAGGAGTATAGTGAAGAAGTATTTTGCTGGGCAAATCTGCCAGTTCAGATTCTTGGGTCTTCCAAGGTGTTAAACAATTTGGACCTTCAACATACAGAAAACAGACATTGAAGTTTACGTTTGTGGTCACATTTTTAATTACATTCTCTCTTGTTTCAAATAAATTAAGTTTGAAATTGTCTCTCCACACTAAAAGCAGCAGACCAATTCCCAGAGGCAACGGAAAAGTGAGTGAATGCCTCTATTTGTAGGTAACATTTCAAATTTGTTTTCTGACCAAATGGGGAATTTTATTTCTTTCTAAGGCCATATTTATCTTAAAAGACAAGTTACATAGTATTTAGAATTAGCATTTCATAACCTGGAATTTTGCAGCTGTACTGAACTCCCATAATTCTCAGCAGAACAGAGAAAAGCAGTGGTAAATTAGATAAACACGTAATACTTTTAGCAATCACTCATTTTAATCTTAAAAAAAAAATTAAAAACATCCCCCAAAGGTGGGGGGGACTTCATCACTACTTTATACTTATTTTTGGAATAAAATAGAATTATTGCAGTCATGTTACTCAACAATACAACATACACTTCATGCTTCTATAATTCAGCCTGAGAGACATGAATATTTTCTGCAAGCTTTTACTGTGTTTAAGGCCAATATTGTCACAGGTGTAAGTCAGACACGGATTGGTAGTATTATCCAGGCTTCCCTTTTAATAAGTAATTGAAAGAGAATTTTTAAAATGAACTCTAGAACATACGCATTATATTGTGTGGGTGGTTGTCCATAAAGTAGTGAGAAAGCAGAACACAACATAAGGAGGATCAAGGCAAGTTGTTTTTCATAAAAGGCAAAAAACCCCAACAACTGTATGTAAAATAGTTATGAAAAGCAATGGTCAGATCAGAGAAACAAAGAGATAAATAACAAAGAGATAAACAACAGCAGAGAAAAAGTAATCTCCCACCGAAATTGCTCACCTGTCAAATATAAGGCTTTGATGTGAGATAGCTGTAAGGCTTCATGGAATATAATAACAGAGCCAAGCTGGCCTTCCAGAGAAGTGGGGCAGCCCCACTCACTATCTTGAGTTCCTGCGGAGATCAGCTTGGTGATAAGTTCTGGTTTTCCCAGCAGGCCACCCCAGCTGCCTGGTCCAAGGATCCCCCCAAATGAGGTCCGAGGGGGTATAATTGGGGATGAAAAAGGTGGGTCCGGGATTTGCGATGGTGGAGGAAGAGTTGTTCTCTGACCAGCTGAACCAATGCAGCAAGAAGTAAACGGCTAGAGAATTTTTTTCCCCAGTGGAAAAAAAGAGATGAACAATTAAAATAAGATTGGACGCATTCAAATTTAAAGTGGCCAATATAATCTAGAGAATGAGTTTAAAAGAAAATAGCATATGTATGCACCCAGAGTCTTTTTGTCTCGCTGGCAAAAGAGTTGTCTGTATAAGCACACATATATATGGGCAACAGGGTTTTAGGTACCCACAAAAGGACTCTAGGAGCCACAATATGCTTGCCCCGATTGGGAGATAGCTGTAATTTTAAGGTGCTTCTTTAAATTACCTTTGACATTTTAAATCCTGTTTGTTAAGGAATCCTGTCTCGCAGGTCCCAGGACACCAGCCTTTGTGGCCATGACACCCACTCTGTGGGACATCATTCCTCCTGAGGTGAGACTTGCCCCATCCTGATGCCCCTCAAAACATGGTTGTGTCAACAGATTTGGTAATCTCAAGAAATAGTGAACTAGCGAGGTGGCTACAATGTCAGCTATACTGAATATGCTCTCTTCTAGTCTTTTAATAATAATATTGATGTCTTTAAATTGTGGGATGTTTTAATTTGTTCGTTTTATGATTTGTTTTTAATTTTATGCTACCTAGAGCCACATTTTGTGAGATCTATATAAATACGATGGATGGGTGGATATTTTCACTTTGAAAATTATTTTTCCCTAATTTTATGCTACATATGATATCTTTTCTCTGATAAATATGCTCATTTACTGTAAAGTCTCATCACTTTTTATACTTTATGCTTTTATTCTTTATTAGGACCTAACTGACATAAGCACTGTACATGAAGTGGATGGGGAAGCAGAGAAGAATTCATTATACTTATAGACACTTTGTCCCAGATATTTCTACAAAACATTAGTATAACATATTTCATTTCAGTCCAGAACAGCTGTTTCATCCCATGTGTTTTCTTCTGGCAGTGTTTAAAAACAGCTGTTTTGGTTGCAAACTTCATTTCTGCCATATTACATTATATATGTCTGCTGCTAAATTTAAAATTTGGGTCATTTTATTTGGAAAATGAGTTTTTTGTTTGTTTGTTTCTCATTAATATGGAAATAGGTCACAGAAGAAGGGAAGAACTGATCATGGAGATAAATATTACCCAACATATAAATGAATTATATATACCCAAATAAATGCCTATCAAGAATTCTAGAGAAAACATTAAGAAATTTGGCTCAGTGTCTAGAAGAGATGTTTGGTTAAGTTACTGCTAATTTGAAAATAGAAATTGGTCTTCAGTTGGAATATCTTTTTCTCTTTCCATTTTTGAGCGAAGACTATTCGTGCCGCTGTGACTATATGCAATAATAAATAATTTGTATCTTTCTTATATTTTCTTTCTATAATTCCCAATAAGAAAAATTCCGGTTTGACCTCTATATCTGTTAGCAAAATTTCTTCCAGCCAGTTCTTTAGTAAATTCCAAAATTTCTGCGCCTTTGGGCATTCTCACCACATGTGGTAGTAATTCCCAACAGTCTCTCCACACTTCCAGCATATCAAGGATTTCCCCTTATTCATTCGTGCTAATCTTGTGGGGGGGAGGTTCCACCTATAGAACACCTTTTAGAGCTTTTCCTTGTAGGAAGTTGCTAGTGTGATTTTTAAATTTTTTTCCCATAAACTTCGTTTATGTTAAATTTGGATGTGTGTACATTTCTAATGTTGACACCCAATTAGGAATTTCCATATAATTATTTATTTTTATTTTTTTCCAAATATCCAATAGTGCTCTCCTAATATAATGCCTCCGGAAGTACTGATGGGCTAAATGTTTTTCCTCCCATAGAATAGCGTGCCACCCTGTCTGCAGGTCATGACCTTCTAGTGCCAATAGTCTTGTGTTTTTAAGATGCATCCACTCACTTAGCCAAACCAACACTGCTGCCTGATAATACTTCGTCCAGTCTGGTAGGCCGAATCCTCTTCTTTCTCTAGCACCTTGTAATAATTTGAATCTGATTCTCGGGTCATTTCCCTTGCCATATGAATTTTGAAATGAATATGTCCAAATTTGTAAAAAAGTATTTTTTGAGCCGAATTGGTTTGCATTGAAATAAAAACAACATTTTCGGAAGAACATTCATTTTGATGGTAGCTATCCTGCCTATTAGAGATAGCTGTAATTTTCCCCATTTTTCCAAATCAGACCTAATTTGCACCATTAATTTGTCATAGTTATCTTCTTTAAGTGTGATGCATCTCACTGTCAATTGAATCCCCAAATATCTTATTTTTTTCGTAGTCTGAATATTTATCTTTCCCTCCAATTCTTTTTTTTGCTCTTCAGTCATGTTTTTAACTATCATTTTTGTTTTTTCCTTGTTTATTTTCAGGCCTGCTACTTCCCCATAGTCCTCCAGCACTTCCATCAGCCTAAGACCATATTGTACAGGTTCTTCAATAATAAATACAAGGTCATCCATAAATGCCTGTACCTTAAAACTTTCTTTTCTTACTTTTAAATCTTTGATTTGTTTGTCTTTTCGAATTGTTCTAATTAAAGCCTCTAGTGATAAAATAAAAAGCAGTGGTGATAATGGACAACCTTGCCTTTTTGGATTAAAAAATTCTTTGTCGTTTCCCCATTTATCACCACTCTGGCTTCTTGTCTGGAGTAGATTGTTTTGAACATCTTTATAAATTTTCCCCCAAAATCCATATTTTAATTGTTCTAATATGAAGTCCCATTTGACGTTATCGAATGCTTTTTGCGCATCGATGAATATCAATGCCATCTGTTTTTCATTGTGGACTTCATAGTATTCTATCGTATCCAAAATAATCCTAATGTTGTTCCTTATATGCCATTCAGGAAGAAAACTGTTTTGATCAGTATGAATAAAATTCTCTAAAATTTTCTTTAGTCTTTCTGCCATAATTGTCAGGGCTATCAAGGGGATTTCAATGAAGCTACTTTAGCCAACAGGCTTTGACCAACAGGTTCCTGGGTTCGTTGCCTTCTGTCACTTCTCAGATGATAAAATAGTTGAAAGTAGGAGTTTCTACCAAGGATATTCACATACACAGAGAACTCCACCAGAAAAAAATAAAATTTATCTTTAAATAAGATTTTACTCAATTTTGGAGTTTTGAACAATACAAGAACTAAAATTTATCATTTGACACTTACTTTTCCAAATTTGCAATATATATTACCAAGAAAAAGTATATTATTGATAAACCTATACAAACCCCCCATGTTTGTGAAATATTTCATGAAACATATTATATTTCAAAAAATTATAAAGTATATTTCTCTGGCAGACAAAACTGAAAAAATATGAACATTTGGAGAATCATGCATATGTATTTCAATGAAAACTTAAAACATGGGGAAAAAAATAACTTGGCAAACCAAACCTGGCAAATTCATAAGTTTAAGAAACTTAAGAGAAAGCAACATACTACCTTAGCAGAAATAATGCAGGGTCTCAAAGATTAAGATTCTATCTTCTCTGAGGCTAGAAATACTGAAGGACTGACATTATAGCATACAGAGCTTGTCCCTGTTCAATTCACATAGAAACTGGTGATCATTCTGGAATGTCTCTGTAGGAGGCCATCCTACTTTGAGGTGATATGCACATGTCAAATTAGCTCATTTTTGTTAGTTGGACAAAGCCTATGTGGCAAGTTCAGGTATATGTATATTTATTGGTGATACTTCAGCAAAAGCCTCTAAGGAAATGGAGAAATACAAATAATAACAAAGAACTTACTTCATTCAGGGCAGGAAATCTAAGTGGTGCTGAGACTTTCTGTTGTCCATTTACATAAATATAGACAAGGCTTTGACCAAAGGGCCTTTTCCCAGGCATGTGAACAATGCATATATTGTGCTGTTGAAAAAATATTTAAACAAAGAATCATCATCATGTCTATGGAACAGTTAGAAGTGGCTAATTGATGTTGTTCTTTTATACCAAGGAATATTTACTCAACCACTGCCAAACTTCACAAAGGAAATTCAGTAATCATGCTAGTACTCTGATTTTCAAATCCCTAGCATATTGGGGAACACCCCAATCACAGAGTTGACAATGAAGATGGGATCTAGGGGGAAAGGAGGAAGGTAAAAATTTCGGCAATGGGAACATTGTTGTTTAGATTGGTAAAAATGGATAAAGTTGAAACCGGTAGGAGAGAAAATTTGGAGGGTACATAGAGTATTCTGCAAAACTGCAGAACAAATTCTCAATGGCAAAGAACAGGCTGCCCAGATAGTCCCTTATTTTATTCCGAGCTCTCATACAGATGCATCATTTCCCAGGTTAAACTGACTGGGCAGGAATTCTGTAACTGTACCCTCACTGCACTCATCTCGCATCCTTGCCCTGCACAAAATCCCTTAAGCATCTCTTTCTCCTTGTTTTTTCTATTGATAATCTTAGGTTAAATGAACATGGGTCACTACAAAGAACCATTGCACATTTCAGATTAAAGCTATGTTCTGCAAAAAAATGTTTCCCAGGGTCATTTAAATCAAGATTAATACCAGTCAGAATAATGATTTATGAATCATGTATTATGATTATTTGGGCTAGATGTGTGATAGGCAGAGAAGACAATGAAAAGGTTGAATGTAAATCATCATATTTTGGTTTAATAAGCCAAAACAGCCAGGAGCACTGCATCTGTGCATGCAACCCTTCTCTGCCTTGAGAGATGACCCATTAATTAAGTAATTAACCAATCAATCAGTCAATCCTAATCCCATTCAATTGCATTTCAGATAATAAATATCTACAATATTTATAGTTTAGATATTGTATCTAAACTGGGAAGGCATTTAAGTCTTCTTAAATGAAGACTTCTAAGCTTAGTACAATGATCCAAGAAAAGAAGAGAGGAAAAAGGCAAAACAGGAATTAAAAGGGCAGGAAAAATGATTATCTGCATTTCATTTTAGAGAAATAGGCTAAACCAGGGGTGTCAAACTCAAGGCCCAGGGGTCAGATCCGGCCCATGGGGTGCTTAGATCTGGCCTGCGGGGCTGCATTGGAAACAGCTAAAGACCAGCCCACAGTGCCTCTGCCAGTGAAAACAAAGCTTGGAAGGGCCACACGCAGCCCTCCCAAGCTCCATTTTTGGCTGCAACAGCCTCCTGCAGCCCTCTGCCAGCGAAAACGGAGCTCAGGAGGGCCGTGAGCGCTTGAGCCACCACAAGGGCCCGACACAGCAATGTCCAGCTGGCCACGCCCACCCTGGCCATGCTCACCCGGCCCTCTGAGGTCAAACACAACCCTATTGTGGCCCTCAATGAAATCAAGTTTGACATTCCTGGTCTAAACCATGCTAATAGCACCAAACCCAGAGGTGTCAAACCCGCATCGTCACATTGTCATCATATGACGTATTACGACTTTTCTCCTCTTCACTAAAATGGAAGTGGGTGTGGCCAGCATGTGATGCATCCTAACCCATCCATTGAGTCCCTCTTATATATCTGAACAAAACTCTAAACATCTGCTCTTACCCAAAGAGAATCATAGAAGCAATGGTCTGATAGCATCACGGTAGCATACTCCTTCTTTGTACATACGGCAACTACTAGCATTCCAGAACATGTAATGAATGCTTCAAATCCCATCCCACTAGTTGTAAAAAAGCTATAGAGAAAAAACAGGATTTAAAACATGGAATGTTGTGAACTATACACACACAACCTATTAATGTTAACCTATTAATACACACATACTTTCCAGTCCCATCCTGGATCTTTGGTATAGTAGAAAGCCTTACTAATTCACATCAGGGGTGGAACCTTTTTGAACCCAAGAATTAAATTTTTGAGCAGGCACGCTCTCAGGAACCAGATTCTTTTGCAGCTAAAGGCAGAACACCAGCAGTACCAGAGGCAAAATGTGGAAAGGCAATCACCCACAGACTCAGAAACAAATGTATACATTCATAACTCACTTAGCAAAGCAATAATGGAGTTGGCAATGAAGGAGAGCTCTGAACATCCCTCTCACAGCCCTTTGCACCCTATAGTCAAATCCAAGCCCAATGATCAATAATTCTTTAATAATGAATAATTTAATAATGAATAATGAATAATAAAAAAAATAGATGCCCTATTCTCTAAATAATGATTTAGAGAATAGGGCATCTTTATTCTCAGATAATCACACTTAACATTTGGGGGAGGGGGGAGGTTGTCACAATTGTTCACATCAGTGATACTATGCTATGGAACAGTTTGTCAGCGATCCTAACTTACTGCACACCCAGTTTCTTCTGAAGGTGGACCCACTGTCTACTTCCTATAAATTTGTTGCAGGCAACATTTTTATAATTCCATCCTTAGGTGCCACTATAATTTCTCTTTATAAAATATTTTATTTTAAGGCACAGAAACTGAGTGGGTTTAAAGCACCTTTAAAATACATAAATATATAGTAAATTATGATCCCACTTCAGTAGGTGGCACTCATCTCCAGTAATGCTGTATTAAATTCCAAACATTCTATTATAAACAATATGCCATTGAACATAAATATGTCCTCTGACAATTTAATCAAAACTGGACAATTTGTAGAAGTACATATATCTGTATATTATCCATATATATTCGTATCTATCCCCATATCTTTGTATATATTGTAGGTTTAAATAACTCAGAAATATTTTCGAAGTAATGTCACCCCCAATTGTTTATTGATACAACTGTTAAAAAATACAAATGAAAACATCATTTCTTCTCCTAGCCAATTTTCCTGTATTATTTTTTAATTACCCAGGCCAATTTTTTTATTCCACTTGAATGGTTTTTGGAATTTTTCTGTGTATTTCCCAAATGTACTATTATTCCCATATTTAGAATTGTTTAGTTTTTTTATGATGCTTTTAATCTACTGTATGGGCAAGTCATTTTTATTAGGTGGCCTTATCTATTGAAGTTGCCCTTATTTTTACTTTTATTATTACCTACCGCAATTACCATTATACTTTTGGGGTCTTAGAAAACTAATGAAGAATTCATTAGAAACTCCTGACTTTGGTAACTACAGAGTATGCTATTTGGGACACCTTTTGAAGCATGCTAGCTTTCTTTGTTTCAAATAACAATAATATTTGATCAGGGCAATGCAGTATAGGATACACGTAGAAATTTAGTAAGACCAAAAACTATACTCATCATTCAGGCCACCTAGGAAATGTCACCGAACTTAGGCTGGTTCTTCACCTTTCCAGCCTGGAAGCCATACCTGTAAAGTTGCTTCCTCTTGCCGCCCTTGCCGTTAGCATCTGGAATCATTTGATGTTGATCCAGGCAAAGCCATGCATTGAAAGCAAATGCAGAACCCGGCCACTTGTGAATAGCCGGCACTGCTATGCCTGCCATGCTATGGGACAAGTCAAAATACTGCAAGGCGTTGTCCAAGCTTTGCTTTCGAGCCATTGTAAGAATTGCACGCATCACAGGAACAACATAAGGATGAGCCAGCTTTGAGTCTTTAGTCCTTAGCATCTGAATCAGCTGATGCAGTTCTTCAGAGCTCATTGACAGGCTCCCCAAAGAACCCAAGAGGGCAATCAGGTTCTCAGCACAAGCTCCATGAAGTTGAGGGTGCTTGTTGAGTGTTTCAATGATACGGATGACCATGTTTGTGTTGACGCAAATTGCACGACTCTGCCTGTTAATGCAGCAAATCCGCTTCAGCAAATTTGAAATGAAGATTTGGAGATCATGCGACTCCAGTTCTGGAAGCCATTGAATCAGCAGCAACAAAGGCTGAACATTGTTTATGCCCAACATCCCAACTGATGCATGGTCACCTTCAACCGCCTTGGTGAAAAGCAAATTAAAGATTACTGCAAGCACTTGACATATGTAGAAACTCTGCTTAAGAACAATATTTTTTAAGACAGACTACAATAAGGAATCTTGTGGCCCCTCAAAGATATACTGATTTTTCTCAATAATTTTTGCTGAGCTTTGACATATCTCTATTATTGGATTGTCTAGCTCTCTGAAATTAGTCTGCCAAAGCTTATGTATTGGTAAGCCTTTAAAATGATACCTTTTAATTTTTTTTATCTGCTGCAATTAAGTAAGAGAGGTTTAGATAATGCGGAATATTGAACTGTTAACAAGAGCCCTGAATGAGCAGAACTCTTACACATGCCTATGCATATAATGTACATATTATATACACATAAGTACATACTTTTACGAATTCATAAAAGTCATCAAACGAAAAAAAAAGAACTGGAATTAAATTGCAATTAGGGAAATTCTTATGCAAATCCAAACTGTAACTAAGATAAGAGACACAACCAAGTCCTGTTTCTATCTTGCATGCATTACGAGTCAGCAAAACAAACTAATGTTGTCATTTTAATTTATTCCTCTGTGTGTGTGTATGCAAACTGTAGGTTATATCTCAAGCAACTTGTCAACATGATTTGGAGGTATAAAAACTAAATCTTGTTAACCTTTAAAGAGGCAGAAGATTCTCTGTTGTTTTGATTGCAATAATTTAACATAGATATTATACTTAAATTATATTCAAAACAAGAAAAATACCACACCATATTCAGAAGTTCTTCAAGTAGTTCTTGTGAAGGCTGACCCATAGATTTTAGAACTTCAAATATATGGGCATAACCAATTCGTTCCTTGAACACTTCCTAAAGAGTAAAATCAGTATATATTAGCAGCATATAGCTAAGAAAGGCAATGTTTATCATAACAAATAATAAAGATTTATAAGGATCAATTCAAATTCCACTAGTATAAGCATGCATACTTTATATATGTGCTCCCATATATGCATTTTCACAACTTTGTCAGCCTGTCATAATTTTAAGTGAATTCTAATATATTTGGAATAAAAATTCAATCAACTTGTTTTTTCTTAGTAATCAATACATAATCAAATTTCCCCCCAGTAGTTAATATAACAGTACGGTAATAGCAACTACTTAGTTGGTCAACAGCCAAAGTTGAATGTATTTCCTTGACAAATGTTTTCAGAGATGAAAAATACAAATAGGATAGAAAATGACTAAGCAAGTTGCATGGAACAAAGGAAAAAGTTTAAAAATTAGATTACAGGAGTACGGGTTCAAAATAATTCAAATGGCAAAAATATTTACTCGTTAAATGAATGTGATTGTGCTTTGCTATATAAACAGCTATAAGTGATGGTGAGCAAGGATGTTCCTAGTTTCCACCACATATTGCCAAGAAAAGAAAGATCAGATCTTTGTTTTCAAGAGAGTATAAAGGGCAGTATCAGAAGATATGGGCAATTGATTCAACCTTCTTCAGTGGGCAAAAACAGAGATATTCTGCAGAGGAATGCCACTGAATTGACTTTTTAGAACAGTAAATAACACATTCTATCTAGCCAAAGTGAAGTCTGTGATAGGCAAAAGCTATCTGAAAGATGGGAGATTGCCAGAAAAGATCTAGTTGAATTGTAAATATCCTGTGGCAGAATAAGACAGTGAAGCAAAATACTGACATACAGTGACACCACAGGTGAAGAACAGGCGAAGAACATAATTTTTAGATGCTCAGCTACCATATAAGAATAAAACGAATCACAGCCAGACGTTTGTATATTATCATATTAAGATGAAAAGTTATAACCTAGATATTTTCTTGAGGGGCTGGATTTCTTAAAATACTTCTTGGGTAATTTAAAAATTACCACACCCACCATCCACTCTAGTCTTCTTCATTTTGCTAAATGGTGAGATCTGCCTGAGTAGCATTGCCTCACTGTACTGGCATTTGCATGGCTGCACTTTCTGTAATTTGTTTCAAACTATAATATGACCACTGTTAGTCCTCATCATTTCAGCAAGTACAATAAAAGAGCTATCCAAAGACAAGAATTCCAACTGCTCTGAGGAAGCCATGCTGACCTTGGCAGCTGGAGATCTGTGCATCACTGCTGTGAGAGCCTGAATAGCTGATACTGCCAAATGGTCCAACTGCCCCTGGAATACCTAAAAATCAAAAAAGATACCATGTATTAGGCATATAAGGACAAATTTGACACTCTAATGGGCACACCCCACCCTTCTTGTGCCACAATGAAGAAAAAATGTTCCTTGGCATGCTTCCCAATCATCAACCCAAAAAAAGAACTGGATTTTATAACACCACAACCTACAAGCAAGAAGACACAAGAGAAGGGAAGCCATTTCAAGGAGAAGAGAACCCTTCACATGTACTCATTTGAGACAATCTGACTGACAGCTTTTCCTCATGCTTTAAATGGATAATCTCATGTTTTAAATGGACAACCTCAAAAGGGTGGTATGAAAAAGGAAAATCTTTGGAGCTTCTTATCAAGCAAATTTTGTCACATATGTTGGTGAGAAACAGTTTGGTTTTAGTGGATAATTGGGGTAGTATTAAAGTGTGCATAAATTAATTCCTTACTTCAATTATATCTTCACTTCATAACCCATGCCTCATAGTACTTTCCTTTCAAAAGAACCATAAATCTTTTGATTTCTTTATCTTATTAGTAGACGGTTTTACTATTTAAAATATATTTAAAATAAAGTATATTGCCATTCAAATCAGTTGGTTAATTTGTGAGCCTGAACAATAAATAAAGACTATTTCATCTGCAGTACAATACATCGGAACAAATATATATAAAATATATTAGAATTGACTTTTATGCAAAATGTTATTATAGCAATAAGACTTATATACCGCTTTACAGTGCTTTTACAGCCCTCTCTAAGCGGTTTACAGAGTCAGCATATTGCCCTCAACAACTTGGATCCTCAGTTTACTCACCTCCAATGGCTGAGTCAACCTTGAGCCTGGTGAGATTTGAACTGCCAAATTGCAGGCAGTCAGCAGGCAACAGAAGTAGCCTGCAGTACTGCATTCTAACCACTGTGGCTATTATGTTTGATTGCTATTACATTTTTAAAAAAATGGAGTTTCACATGCATAGTTTACATTAACTTTTAACTATATGCAAACTTCTTATATTAAGGCCTCTAGATCTTTTTTTAAAGAAGAAAAAAAAGAAAAAAAAGAACTGACATTGTTCAGTTCTTCATAAAGGAAACATTAAAAAATAAATCCATCAATTACGTCTCCCCTCTCAGATTCAGACTGTCCATTGAAATATGAACTCTGATCTTTTGGCAATAGAATCAAGATTTCAAATCAAATTCCAGAGATACCAGAAAGCCCCACAGCTTGTTACACCAGAGTGCACAGACAGACAGATGAAAGGATGGGAGGGAGGGGAGAGTCAAGAAAGGAGGGACAGGTAAAAAAAATTAAAACAAGAATCACCCAGTTGATTGTTTTCAAATTTGAATTCCATTCTTGGACTTCACTTTTCTCAGTTTTAGAAAAAACACATGGAGTATTATATGGATTAGATACTTCATATCTCGAAGCACAATTAATTTAGATTTAAAATATGGGTTTGGGTTAATTAAAATAATAAATTTCATGTGAATACTGCATGTGAATATATCAAAATTCATCTAGTTCTTTCATATTCAAAGTGAAGTCCAGGAAACAGTTCATAACCACCTGCCATGGGGACCTTGACTTCAGCTAAGAACAGAATGGAACTGCAGGAGATACCTGTTCCTGATTCATTTCTGCCAGCAATTTGTTGGCATGGTCTTTCTCATTCTTGTCTGCCACCTTATTGTTAGCATTTAAAAATAGCTGTTAAAATGGGAGATAAGAATAATGGTAACAGAAGTGTTAGTTAGCTCACCACAGCCAGTGTAATAAATTCATAGCTTTCCTTAACCTCAGTATCTGTATATTCTGAATTTGGCAACTTTAAGTTGTATGGACTTCAGTTCCCAGAATTTTCCAGGCAGTGTGGTAGCTGAGGAATTTTGAGAGTTGAAATCCATGCATCTTAAAGTTGCCAAATTTGAAATGCAATGGCCTAGATGCATTGGGCAACAAACTTCATCATCTCCAATCAGCATGTAATGAGAAAGAGGAGATGTAGTCTAACACATCTAGACAATCCAAAATTGGAGAATAAATGCCAGGGACATCTCTTCACATCAAATTAATGGGATATGGAAGACACAGTTGCCAGGGGACAACGGGTTGCTGACTTAATGGCACTGTGCCTGAGAGGTAGGCTATGAACTAAAGGCACAGCAAATGTATTAACTGATTTTGCTTGCCTGGCTGACTTTTTTTTTTACCTTAAGGAGAGATTAGTTGGTATCTGAAAGAATGTTAGTGAGATTAGCTCAGCATTTTTTAAAAACAAGTAAAAGAAATCTTCATTGAAATAAAACCCTAGATTGGTCCAGCACTTTTATGGCACCAGGATGAAAAACAATGGAGGAGAAAGTTTGTTCCAAGTTCCTACTATCCCCGTGGTCAAAATATTTAAATCTCTTCGTTTTCTTTTGTCAGAATCCAGCCATCTCGAACTATATTTCAAAATGCATGTTTAACATAAGCTTAAAACAAAACATAACTTACATGTTGCGTGTATCCCTACAAATTACCAGAATACTTATAGCAAGTACTGTAAGAGTTCTCTTTGCACAAAGAAAATAATTCTAGGATTGTTGCTCTTTTCCAAATGAGCTCACAGCAAAATCAAATGTGAGGTGGCAGTCCTCAAGGACCCATTGAGATAGAAAAGAAAAGTGCCAAAATCTGGCATTTCTCCTCTTCTCTGTCCCTCTAAGCAATATACATTATTAATAACGAACTTGCAAATAAGTCCTGTGTCTAAATTCAGCAGGTCTATAGAAAATATTGTTATTGTTTTCAGCAAAGATGGTCGATAGAATGGTTTTCTCCAGCAGCTTTTCTTTTTGACAAATTATTTTTATACCTCTAGCGATCTTAACCATAATTAAGGTTTACAGTGTACTTACAGCTAATACATATTTAAAGTTTCCTTCTGCTGAGAATTTGCAATTCCTTGTTACTTTTTAATTTCATAACTTAGTTAAGGGAAGATATTAGGTAAGTACTAGCCATAGTTGAAAAGGGAAAGGGTGTTAGGTTATTTTGCCTCAAAACCAGCAAGCTTTGGTAAAATGACCTGCATGATTTTTATGACATATTTAGATTCTCTGGAATGACTGAGAAATTAGGAGAACTACTAGTATGTGTCAGGTTTGGACAGATGTAATCAATAGGCAACACACACAAAAACCTAATGCCATGCTGCCTTTCTTCAAGGAAGAAACCCAAGAAGAGATAAATATGGTTTCTCAATGATCTCCCAACTATGACTGGCCAATCTTGATATATTTGGGATTAAAATAAACCCACGCAACATGGGTTATGAAGATTAATCACCCCATTCCCCTATTCATGTGCAGAATGCAACATGGATATGAAGCATGATTAACCTATAGATGTTTACCCCAATCCCTTATATACGGTATATGCAGTTGTGCAGCAAAACACATACTTAACAAAGACTTTTGAAGTAAAACCCTAAACCCAAGGGAGCTAATTATAGGGGTACATTATCTGATTATCTCTAATTTTAAATTCAGTTATCTGCATTAGATTGAACAAGTTCATAAACAATGCAAAAATAATGACATTGTTAATAAAATGCTGAAATAAATTATGGTTTTCATTTCATGATAGATAATGGATTGCATATCAGAACTAACTATATTGTGAAGGCAAACAGATTTTTTTTCTCACACAAAATAGAACTAAGGCCTGAGTTATTCATGTCTGCCCAGAAGTCCTATTGAGTGAGAACAATATTAAGATGACAAAAGAGCTGAAGTTCCTCATTTATTTGGTCTTTAGAAAGACCAAATTGCAACTTCAACTCTCCATTTAAGAAGATCCTTTGGAATTTATGTTCAACAAACATAATGCTCTCCTGATGGGGTGAAAATTTGGTCCCGATTTCCACAAAAAATGATGCCATTTGTCTGAACTATGCAGAGACAGGTATGGTACCTGATCATCAATCTTTCCACATAATGTGGGAGACAAATTAACAATCTCTTGATACAAGTCACTTTTCCCTCCCTGTGTCAGCCATTAGTATGTATTTGAATGTGCTTCTGCAGCATTTGTCCATAATTCCATAAAGCAACTGCATCTTATCCTGGAATTGCATAGCTATCTTCCATGGCTATAATATGATTCCAGGAAAAGATGCACTTCATTTAAGAAGCTGCCTATAGAGCAATGTGGGCACCAGGGCACTTAGCACTTTTTCCTCTTCAATTCTGAAATACTGCACAACCCTAGTCCTCTAGTTGTAAGATCTTTGCATGGCCTTCATTATCCATCAGTGCCACTCCAGGTTTTCAGACAGGAAATCCTATTATGTACTCTTCTTTCTTCTTTTCTTCAATATTAATACCCATGTCATCATTATCCATGTTTTGTCCAACGGGGTGACTTCTAGATGAATTAGGCTTCAACCTATATAATTCCCATTACAACTTGTGCAATTGAAGGTTTTCTCAATTCATACAGCGCTGCAGTTAAATAAAAAGGATATATAAGGAAGGAATCCTTTGTGAGAAGACTTTAGTATTCATACTCTTCCCTGCTACTGGTGCTTTAAGGACAAGACACTCCTCTGAAAAACTATTAAAAACTAGGTCACCATAGAAGAAAGCAGGATCCACTCTTTGAACTAAATTTAATAAAGAATCAGATTTGCTCCCAGAATATAACTGAAATGGTTCTGTTAAAACTAATCAAATGGATGTCCAAAAGATTATGAATATATTTCTTACAATCTTTTGTTTACCTTGCAATTCTGCAGCAGTCGAATAAGATGCTCAAAGCAGTTACTATTAAGGAAAATGGCTTGCAGAACAGGCCGATCTGCGCAGTCCAACATAGCAGTGATTGCATCTTAAAAAGAGAAAAACTAAAAATCAAAGAGGAAAGAATCATATCTTAAAATAATTACATTGCTTTAGTCTCCCTCCAAAGGAATTTAAGTAATTTGCTAAGAGAAAAAAAAACAGGAAATACTTTTTTACCATTAAAATTATGTTACTATTTAGAAAAAACTCTAATGGATCAAAAAGATATATCTTCACCTCTTACATTGGACAATCAGATGGCTCAAAGAAGCCAAATTGGGATATAAAGGCAATAGCTAATTATGTAGGAGTAATATTTATATAAATATTTATATAAAAGTATTATGTAGGAGTAATATTTATATAAAAGTAAGGAATGAATATACAATTTTTCCTACCACCAATATGGAATTGTACTTTTAAAACAGGTTTGTTTACTAACAATGCAATTAATTAAAAAATTATATAATTGATTCACATCAGTATACAGCGTCAAACTACCTGCCTTCTTTAAAAACGTTGATCTATTTTTTTATTATTTAGCAGAAGTAGTATAGTATTAAACTGGTCACAGGGAACGTCAACTTCAAACCTCCATCTGATTAGGGTTAATGAAAGAGAGTTGCAAATATTTTTTTTTTTCAGTTTCTGTATCAATCTGCTGCCATCTAGTAGTCCTACAGATTTTGTAGCCTAGAAATAACAGTTTTACACTTGAACTTGGAGTTCATTGGAAGATTCTGGACATTTTCTTTCATGTCAAATTACCTCACCGACGCAGTGACATCCCTATGTATATTGTACATTTTTTTAGATTTCAAGGCCAGAAATCTAAAAAACAATATGAATGATAGAAGCCTGCATCTCTCTCCTTTAAGATCTCTAGAAAGTCAGTCAGGATAAACAGCAGAACCAGACTAAAGCTTATTAGGGACAGATCCAGAAGAAGTAGAAGGAAACTGTTAAGTATCTGGGATTCCTCATTAATGCTCTAACAATGCTAACAATGCTCTAGCAATTTCAGGCCAATATAAATAGAAGAGAAGCCAGAAAGATATAGCTGAAGGACACTCATTCTCCTGAACTTTCTTTATCCTGCAAATCATGCCAAAGAAAAGGAAATAGCCATCAACTGAAGCTGCCTTCTCAGTATCACTGCTTTAAAGAAGTGCAAGAATACAATTTGTTAAAATCCTTAAACCAGTCTGTCAAAGAATTGTTAAACGCCTGTGGGAAATCTTTCTGCCTAGAGCAGGGGTGTCAAACTCAAGGCCCGCAGGCCGGATCCGGCCAGTGGGGTGCTTAAATCCAGCCTGCGGGGCTGGCCTGGAAATATCAAAGGACTAGCCTGCAGTGCCTCCGACGTCCAAAATGGGCCACGTGCAGCCCCCCGTCCCCCGCTGCCCATTTTTGGCCTCCATGGTTTCCTGCACCACTTTGCCGGCCAAAAATGGGCTGCATAGAGACCTCCCGCGGCCTCCACACAGCCCAGTTTAGGCCTCCCCGGCCTCCAGTAGCATTCTGCCAGTCAAAAACGGGCAGTGTGGAGGCCTCCCGCAGCCCCCCTGCTCCCACCATTTTGGCTGGCAGGGTGCTGCAGGAGCCTTCTGTCCCGTCTCCCCCCACCCCACCCCAGCCTGCAGAGGAGAACTACAATGCTGATCCAGCCCTCGAAGAAATCCACTTTGACACCCCTGGCCTAAAGAATAGGTGTTCTATTTGCCTCTTCTGAGTGAACTTTGACAAAGAATGTGGAATACTTAGCTGATTACAATTCTTGCAATTCTAGTAAGCCACTCTAGGGATATTTAGTCTGCACTGAAATTATTTAAACAGATAGAAATTGCACTCACTCCTCAGTCAGGACCATTAGCTGAAGCTCATGAAAGAGATACTTGCTACATTGGCATGGTTAGTCACCACTGTAGAGTGCTAAGATCCTTGAACACACCACTTGGTTCCTCTCACTAGTGATGTTCTCTTAACAACCCAGGACCAATTTGTCTAGTGTGTCATTTAAAACCGGGCCCTGGGTTGATATTCCCTAATAAGCCAGAAATCATAAAGCAAAGGCAAACCCTAGTTTACAGTCCTAGCTTCTAATTCCTGCCCAGACAACATAATTAAAAAAAGTTTCTTCTTTAATTGTTCACCTAATTAAAAAAAAAAAAAGAACTGTGTGCAGAGTCTACATGTCCTTGCAGACAGCATGCCCCCTGAAAATCAGAGAAATTATTTACTGCACTGGTTACTGAAGAACTGTCATTTTATTGTAGCTATGGACATTTCAGCTGCTTAATGTTGCTTGTTTTATTTCAAAAAAGTTTTATTTCAAAAGCTGTCCTGCCCTTCTCTTCCCCAAAGGATCCTGTTACTCACTCAGCATTTGAATCTGCAGTGCAATGAATCTGCTTTCCCACTGACGGGACCTTCTTGAGTTCGGCAAAGCCTCATGATCCGAGTTCAGCAGCTTGAAATAGTTCTCCAGTATGGTGCTGGTTTCCACTTGCCGCTGGTCCGAACTACTAGTGAGAAGAATGTGCACCACTTCTGTCAGGCACTTCAACGTCAGCTCGGCCTTCCTGCTCACTTCATCTGGGTCTCTGTTATCCCACATATCACAATCTGCTAGGACACGCATCAAGACTTCCATGGTGGCAGGAGAGATGGCTTGAAGAGCATTTCTCTAAAGTTAATAATAAAACCGCTTCACTATCAAAATAATCAGGAACAATTCGTTTTTAAGAAGTATACGTAGGCACAAGAAACAAGTTTGAAATCATGTGTCTTGGACAAAAAGAGCAAGTTAATCCTGTGGTTGGATACGAAAGTACTTTTTCCTTTGATAGTGGAATCACATAAGAACTTATTGAAGATGTATTTTGTGTTTCACCCTAACCATCAAACATGCTCAGATTGCCTAGAACCGTGATGACGAACCTGTGGCACACAGAGCCATATTAGTGGGCATGCCAGCTCAGCTCTGGGCGCATGCGCGTGCTGGCCAGCTGATTTTCGGGCCTTCTGGGCCCATCAGAAGTAGGGAAACAGGCTGTTTACTGCCTCTGGGGGGCCTGGGGGGATGGGGAAGGCCCGTTTTTCTTTCTTACCTGGCTCCAGATCCTCTCTATTTGTCTGGGAAGGGCGAAAACAGCCTTTCCCACTCCCTTGGAGGCCCTACGGAGGCTGAAAGGGTCCATTTCCCGACTCCCGGTGGGACAGGAAGTGATGTTTTTTGCTGTTCCCAGCTTCCAGGGACTCCTAGAGAGGCTCCTAGAGACTGTTTTCACCCTTCCCAGATAAATAGAGACGATCTGGAACCAGGTAAGAAAGAAAAACGGGCCTACCAGGCCATCATGTGTCAGGAGCGGGGGGGGGGGTTTGCGCACGCATGCACGTGGGCACATACACACACAACCCTCCCCCGCCCCCCCCTCTCCTGGCACGCGATGGCAAAAAGGTTAGCCATCACTGGCCTAGAATTTTATGGCATCAAAATTTGGTGATAATTGCCAAGCAGAGGCAATGTTTTGCTACTTGTGGGTAGGAAATGAAGCAAAAATTGCATAGTATCTTAACTGTTAAAAAAATATAATCACAAAAGAAAGAAAAAACTCACAAAAGACTCCCAAAATTCCATGTGCCTACTGAGCCATGTGGTACCATTGCTCATATGCTCTCTCTCTCTCTCTCTCTCTCTCTCTCACACACACACACACACACACACGTACACTAAGGGTCAGAAGAAAGCTTTTCTCATGAGACATCTTGGAAATTCAGATAGTTAAAGAAAATAAAACACACGTAGACTGCCTAACTAGTGGAACTCAATATAAAGTCAGTTTCCCATGTTCCCATAGCTGAAATGCTTTCCACTATAATAAGTATTAACCAGAAATGTTACATTTTCAGTCTATTCTTGTAGAAAAATTCTTAATATAAAATTGCACATAGCTTTACACTACTTTGCTACTTTCAGTACATTATGCTCACCAATCTCAGGAAAAAGCACACGTTCTTCCTCTTTGAGCCTAATGGCACTATTTTATTTACTTAAGATATTGTCCCAGTCTAACCATCTTTTAGGACAAGCTATTTATAACGGATTTTCATTAATTATACATCTTTGCAACTGGATGAAATCAGATTGCATAAGAAAAATGGAAAAGAGTCAGTTTCATTACTAGAACATCATAAGTAGCATTGTTTTAATGTTAAACTGAGTCCTGATAAGAAAAATAAGATTAAAAATATGATTTTAAACCAAAGCATATTTGAATTCTAGCATACATACAATATATCTATGATTTTTCTTACTTACTTACTTTTCTTCAGAATAGTTTCAGCTGCTTTGTCATAAATTCAGGCAGCAGGAAACAAAAATGTGGTGCTCAAGTATTGTATGACAGACTGATATAGACTCTCTTTTGTTATTTTAAGCAATTAGCACATGGGATTTTGACCACAGGTTCAATCACAGCATGTTGGACCATTTTGTTCATCTTCTTTGCTCAGTTCTCTCTCCATTGGAAAGGATCTTTCTCTCCTGGACCTTTAAATGTACCATCATTGAATCCTTAGCCTGATTCCATTTCCCCAGGCGGACTTGCAGGAATGTATTCACCGGCTGAGCTCTTTGCCTTGCAAGACTCCCCCCTCTCGCAAGCCTGGCCTTCCACGTTATCGAAGGCCTACCTCGATGAAGGGCTTTGGAACCCAGAAAGGTGGCATGTCGCGAAGAGGGAGTTGAGGGGTTTTTTATATAAAGTTTTAACGAATGTCTTAAGGGATTCCGGGGGGGGGGAGTTGGATCAGAAGTAAGGCCGTGGGTATGGGGGATAATCCACTAAGGGGAGGGCCAGGTATGGCTGTAGAGCACGGCATGCGGGGTGGGGGGCCCAGGGTCAAGAGGGGGGATAAAGTTCATCCAGAAAAGGTTCTTACCATCAGTACTGTGGGTGGGAGGGGTAGATATGGTGGGAGCAGGGGGCCATATCGTGTTAGGGGAGCGCGCGCCCGCTGTCTTCGAGCGGTGGCGCGCTCCGGCCCCCAAAGCTCCACTTGTTCTCCAGGTGGCGCAGATCCTCGGGGTCCTGGCCTCCGTCTGATGTTATGCAATGCCAGGTCTGTAGTAAATAAAGCCCCCCTCATTTGTGATCTTGTTCAGGAGGGGGGAGCGGACCTGGCAGGTATTACGGAAACCTGGTTGGGCCAAGAGGGGGAGGTCCCTCTCGTTGAAATGTGCCCACCAGGTTTCCACGCATTCCATCAGCCGAGGTTGCAGGGTAGGGGCGGGGGGGATAGCGATTATTATTAACGAAGGTCTGAGACTGAGGGAGGCCACTGTTTCTCAGACGGCCGGCTGTGAATCCCTCCTTGTGAAATGGGGTCACGGGGTTCAGATGGGTTTGCTGATCACGTACCTGGCTCCCTGCCATATGGCAGCAGCCCTGCCCGAGCTACTCAGCGTCATCGCCACGGTGACGGTTGAGACCCCTAGGCTTATGGTCATGGGGGATTTCAACTTACCGTCTGTTGGTGAGGCATCTGAGGTGGCTCGGGAGTTCATGGCTTCCATGACAGCCATGGACCTGACCCAGTTAATTCATGGCCCTACCCACACAGGGGGAAACACGCTGGATCTGGTTTTTGTCTCTGGACAGTGGTTGAGTGATCTCGAGATAGGGGATATAGTCACCGAGCCCTTGTCATGGTCTGATCACTGTCTCCTTCGTCTCGACCTTCGAACCGCTACACCCCGCCGCAGGGAGGCGGAGCCGGTAAGATGGTTCCGCCCCAGGCGCCTGATGGAACCTGATAGGTTCCAGATGGAGCTTGGGCCATTCCCTGAGGCTCTGGCACACGCCTCGACTGGAGACCTAGTGGCCACCTGGGATAGGGCGGCCGCTGGAGCTCTGGATCGGGTCGTGCCTTTGCGGCCTCTGACCCGGCGCCGATCTCATTTAGCTCCTTGGTTCACTGAGGAGCTGAGGGAGTTGAAGCGCCAGAAAAGACGCCTAGAGAGTAGTTGGAGGGCCAGTCTTTCTGAATCTGACCGGACACTGGTAAGATCTCATATTAGGAATTACCTATGGCGATAAAAGCAGCGAAATGTAGCTATTTTGCTGCTCTTATTGCATCATCAGATAATCGCCCAGCCGCCCTGTTTAGGGTGACCCGCTCCCTGCTCCATCAGGAAGCGCGGGAGGACCCCTTGGAGGATAGAGCCAAGGATTTTGTTCAATATCTGTATGACAAAATCACTCAGATTCGGGAAGATCTGGACTCCGACTGGGTAGTCTCAGGGGGAGAGACAGGGGCAGGTCTTGAGAATGTTATCTGGGATGAGTTTGATCCTGTGACCCCTGAGGACGTGGACAGGATTCTGGGTAGACTGAACGCGACCACTTGTTTATTGGACCTGTGTCCCTCCTGGTTAGTGCTGGTTTCTCGGGAGGTGACACGAGGCTGGTTCCAGGGGATTATAAATGCTTCGTTGGGTGAGGGTGTCTTTCCTGCCGCCTTGAAAGAGGCGGTGGTGAGGCCTCTCCTCAAGAAGCCTTCCCTGGACCCGGCAATGTTGGTAAATTATCGTCCGGTCTCCAACCTTCGTTTTGTGGCGAAGGTTGTTGAGAGTGTGGTTGCGCAACAGCTCCCCCAGCACCTGGATGAAACGACGTATCTGGATCCGTTCCAGTCGGGCTTCAGGCCCGGGTACAGCACGGAAATGGCATTGGTCGCGTTGGTTGATGATCTCTGGAGGGCTCGGGACAGGGGGTGCTCCTCTGTCCTGGTCCTGTTAGATCTCTCAGCGGCTTTTGATACCATCGACCATGGTATGCTGCACCGATTGGAAGAGTTAGGGGTGGGAGGCACTGTGTTGCGGTGGTTCTCCTCCTTTCTCTCTGACCGGTCGCAGTCTGTGTTGACAGGGGGACAGAGGTTGACCCCGAGGCCCCTCATATGTGGGGTGCCGCAAGGGTCGGTCCTCTCGCCTCTCCTGTTCAACATTTATGTGAAGCCGCTGGGCGAGATCATCCATGGTTTCAGGGTGGAGTACCATCAGTATGCTGACGACACCCAGCTGTACATCTCCACCCCGGATCACCCCAATGATGCCCTTGAAGTGATGTCCCGGTGCCTGGAGGCCGTACAGATCTGGATGGGGAGGAACAGGCTCAGGCTCAACCCATCCAAGACCGAGTGGCTGTGGTTTCCGGCGTCCCGATATAGTCAGTTGACGCCATCACTGACTATTGGGGGCGAATCATTGGCCCCCACGGAGAGGGCTCGCAACTTGGGCGTCCTCCTGGACTCATGGCTGTCTTTAGAAGAGCACTTGACGGCCGTGACCAGGAGGATTTTTTATCAGGTTCGCCTGATTCGCCAGTTGCGTCCCTTTCTGGATCGGGACTCGTTACGCACGGTCACTCATGCCCTTGTCACCTCCCGCCTGGACTATTGTAATGCTCTCTACATGGGGCTCCCCTTGAGGAGCACCCGGAGGCTCCAACTGGCGCAGAGTGCGGCCGCGCGGGTGGTAATGGGAGCGACATGGTGCTCCCATGTAACACCTCTCCTGCGTGAGCTGCACTGGCTCCCGGTGGTCTTCCGGGTGCGCTTCAAGGTTTTGGTTACCACCTTTAAAGCGCTCCATGGCTTAGGACCTGGTTATTTACGGGACCGCCTACTACCACCAATAGCCTCCCACCGGCCAGTACGCTCTCATAGAGAGGGACTCCTCCGGGTGCCGTCAGCCAAACAGTGTCGACTGGCGGCCCCTAGGGGGAGAGCCTTCTCTGTGGGGGCACCTACCATCTGGAATGAGCTCCCCCCGGAGATACAGAGGATCCCGGATTTGCGCTCCTTCCGCCGTGTTGTGAAGACCTTTTTATTCCATCAGGCGGGCTTGGCCTAATTTCTTCCCTTTTTAAATATGTAAATTTTAATCTGTTTTTAAATTATTGGGGTGTTTTAATCTGTCTGGGCCAAAATGATTTAATTTGATTTTATTTGGTTTTTAAATTTTTTGTATTTATGTATTTTATTGTTGGCTGTTCACCGCCCTGAGTCCTTCGGGAGTAGGGTGGTATACAAATCAAATAAACCTAAACCTAAACCTAAACCTAAGATATTAAAGGAGCATGAGTGCATTTTACCTCTGAACTACAGTCTGTCTCATAAAACAACAATTTCATTCCACCTTGCTTATTTCTATTCCAAATTCTTCACTTTTGGAAAGTGTCATAAAACATAAGCCACAAAGTGATGACGCAATACAGATATAAGTCCCACATCCCAATGATTAAGAAAAGGATATTAACTTCTTCTCACCTGCCCACCAGCCACAATAGCTCCAAAGAGATGTAACAGACAACATTTGAGGTTCTCTTTGAGATGCTCACTTTCTTGAAAACACTCTGAAAACAAAGAACAAATTCCTTGTGTATGAACTTTCAGCTCACAAAAATCACTACCAGAGAAGGAATTACAGGTTGCAGCCTTTCATCCTACACTGCAGCCAGGGGAATCCAATCCTCCCAAACTGGACAAAGCAGACACAACCGAAAAGCTAAGAGATAAGGTTGAGCTTGGCTATCTCGTCCTGCAAAAGAGATTCCTGCTCATTCTAGTGGCAGTTTACACAAAATATGGGTTTTTTTAAATCAAACAGTGAAATGTACCTTGACTATACTAGATAAGTTTGGAAAATAAGATTGCGTTAAATATTAAAAGTACTTTAACTAGCTAATATTCAGATTAATCTTGTAAAATATTGGCCCACTTTTCTCAATGCTGAATGAAATAGAAAAATGAGGTGCAGTGAGCTTCAGGTCTACTCTCTCACATAAGAAGCCATTTTAACCATAGTTTAGTAAAATGTAACTAAATTGGCCACCATTATAAATTAGAGATGTCTTTCTCTCCTAATTGTAGTTAAGACTATCTGCTTTTAAATTCACACTGAAAGGTGCAGTTAGTCTGGAACCAAAGCAAAAGACTCCAGATGCTTATTCAAAATGATATCATTCAGATGCTTTGGAATCCCAACAGGCCCAGCCACCCTGCTCAATGGCCAGGGATTGTGGAAGTTGTTGTTCAAAATCAGCAGGGTGTCAAACAAAGTGATAAAACCATTCAAAGGGTTACACAGCTTTTAGATATTTAAATAAAATATGTTGAACATAATGAAATGTCTAAGTAGCCATAGATAGTTCCCCATATTATTTTTGGGAAGGCTAATGTTTTATGGCAAACTGGATGTTGACTCAAATTGCCACTGAAAAAATCATTATAATGTATCTAATCTTAAACCTTACCTCATAGAAGGCAATTACAACTGACCTAAAGAATTTTTGCTTGGTAATAAACATTAACCTGGGAATTGTTGCCATAGCAATAGCTTGACCCATAACCTAACTGCTGCCAAAACTACCACAGATTATTTTTTTTGGAATTTAGCATCCTGAGAAGTTCCCAGTGATGGCAGAAACCTGCACTATTAAAAAGTCACTATTTAGTCTTCAAGAGAGAGGTGTAATCAAATGCAAACAAGTTTTGAAGCAAAAAGAGCATTCAAAAGCTTAACTGTGCAAGTTAAACAGCATAGAGAGATCCACATTAACGCTGAAAGGGATTTTAACTCATAAATAATAAAAAATCATATTTTTTGCCTTTTGTAAACTACATCCCAACTTCAACAGTGATTACAGGTTTTCCCCTCAGAAATGTATGGATCTTACATTTCAGACTTGATTTCAAAGGAAGAAATATAGTATACTCAATTACTTTCAAAAAGTGCTGTTATTATTGTGCCAATAACTTGTGACAGTCATTTTTGCAACATTTTCCACAATGTTTAAAGAACCGCTACACTGGCTTCTGAGTTTTAGATGATGAATCGTCTTCACACTTCATGAAAAACCACTGTTCTTGGTGGCACCTATTTCAGATCTAAGGTGTTTTAATTAAAAAAAAAGAGCAATTAAGCCAGTTGCAAATCTGTGACTCATGACAGATCCATTAAGAGGGAAAATAAAAGACATGCGACATTTATGATTCATATGCAGACAGGTTTCTGGGACACCTCTTGTGAGCTCTCAAAAAACACTACCACATATAGACGGATGTGTGCTGTGATGTATCCCAGGACCCCACCAGGAGCGGAGGAGGCTTGGGCAAGATATTTTCTATCACAGACATCCCAGGACAATGCTGTAGCATTGAAAATGCACCTTTATTATCCAGAATGCATCAGGTCAATAATAAATTGCTTAATTACTTATCATCTTCAAATTACTGATAAGCTCAGAGAACACCAGGACCCCACACCTTTAAATGGAAAACTATGGAACAATTCTTATTTCGGAAAGATTCTCACTTTAAAACAATTCTGAATGGTAGGAAATTATGATAAAGTACTCACGGTAAAAGAAAGGGACAAATTCCACTGTGAGTAAAGCTGGTTTGTATTTTTGTCTACTTTTTTCAACTGTGCTCAGAATACGCCTACAATATATTAAGAGAGAGAAATCATATTTATTTATAATAAAGCTTCAAAACACATTTTAGTTATACCAAAACATAGGTTCATTAATAAAACATTGATTCTGTATAATATTTATTTCACATGACATTCTTAAAATACCCCTTGGGTTGTTTTTCTTTCTGCATCAAGCCGAAAAATATAAACTTTAAGAAAATGTGGCTTTAACAGTGTAACTTTTATAAATATATCTGATCTTATTTACATAAAGATTTATATGATCTGAAGAGAAACCATAGTATTTAGAAAAACAATGGGCTTAACTGATCTTTCCATCTCCTAGAAGTGATGGCTTCTTCCGGATGATAAAAAAATTATTACACCAACTCCTATAGCTGTAAATGATACTGTATAAGTACATCTCCGTTTAAAAAGCCCACATCCAAAAGAAGTCTTTTCCTATTGAATCTTCAGGATGTGAGCCATACATACAAGGAAATTTTTAATTGATTTCTTTGATTTGATTTATACTCTGCCTTTTGCTGCCATTTTATAATTAGTATTCCCTTCTGCCATTTTAAACGTTTTAAAAGAAGCCAGAATTAAAACATTGTTTTAATTTATTGTTTTAACATCCTGTCTTATTCCAAAATGGGTAACCATTATTTTCCAGACTGAATATCTGAGTGCAGCATCAGATAGAAATTTGAGTATTTTATGACATAATCTGTTCAAATTTAAAGAAAGATGAGGTCCATCTAATCTCCTTAATAGCATAAACTGGGTGCAGCCTCTCATTCAGTCTCTCCTGTGGTGGGTGATACAGAAGGATCCTGATGCATCTGACTGGCAGGCTTATACTGTATTCTGGTAACATATCACAAGTGTAAACAATTTGACGGGCAGGATTACATGAGGCCCCAATCCCCTTGTCTAATCAATATATTTTCTACTTAGTATTACATTTTGTGGGATGATATATTTTGCATCTTTACTTTAAAGAGATTAAAATAACAAGAACAGAGTGTTAATATAATATTCTCACATACCCTGCAATTCGTTGCCTCCAATTCCTATATGGATCATAAAGACTTTCACAAAAAGCCAGCGCATGTCGCACAAACTCTTCTATAGATGTTTGATCTGCCACTTCTTTCTCTTTTGTTTTAGTCTTTAGCTAAAAAAGTAACAAATAAGTTTTTCATCATAGTGTAAAACACTCTAGAAGTGTTTTACAAACATTTTAATGGCTTGAATTAAAAACATTCGGTACATCCTCAGTTTGCTACCTATGTATAAATGTATCCGCATTGCTTGTTCAGCAAACCTAGCTCAAACAAACCACAAATTATATGTGAACCAACCCATGGCATATGATCACTATGAACATATATAAGAATGAAGAGGTTTTTAATCCTACTTGTTTTGCTTTTCTGTTTTTAGCTATAACAGAATCAGACAAATGTTTTGATCCTAAAGGCCGCATTAGTCATGACCTGGTGAAGCACACACCAAAAGGAGAATAATAACACATTTAGGCTACCTCCACCTCACTGAGTTCCCTGCCAGCCAGCCAGTCACTTGATTCAGATGTATGTGGCTGCAAAGGCTGTTTTGAGGATCAACTTTAGCCTCAGTTTGCTCCCACTGCTTAACCCCTTTAGAGTTCTAATAATCTGGTCATGCAATGGTCATCCTTCTGGCCATTGCATATTCACTTACCTGCTGAATGTAGAGTGTGGTCATTGTAATCACATGGTTAATATAGGAACAAGTCCCAATCTCTTCCACATTATCTAAATTTCTGAAACAGAATGAAACACGTAAGAGGTGAAGCAATTGTATGATAGAAGATGACTGATGGAGAGGAATATCTACAGAGATTTCCAAAATTATTCTTACACAAATGTTTAAATATTCCAAAATGCCAAGTATGAGGTGCTACATGTTTTAAAATCTCACTTTTTTCCTCCTAATATAGTCTCAAAATAATCCAGAGCAGCAAAGTATATAGATCTAGATAATGATAATATGTAAGCTTAGACCTGATACAGCAAATGTGCTAATATCAGAATGACCAGTTATATTTTCAATAGCTGAAGCCACATATTATGCTAACTATAATATGGTTACTTAGAATGATATATCATCCTAGCTTTGAAAGCAACTTATGGCTAAACATGAGTTAATATGAGGCGGTTCCCATTATGCCTTCTTCAACAACCCACAGATAAATCAAATCATGACTGAACATGATTTTTAAAATATTTATTTTGATTGGACACAGCCAGGCGCTCAACAACGTGGGCAGTTCACAATATAAAAACAAAACAGCAAATATACAAACCAGATAAAAGCATAGCAATTTTGATAATGTGAATTCAGTTACCATAGGTATAACCAATGTTGTAACTCCCATACTAATTTGATGCTATACTTTCAAGAGAGAAAAAGAGATAGAGGGGAGGGGGGAAAATGGGAAGAATACAGAAAGAGAAGAAATTGAGCAGGTATACTCGGAAATCAGTAAGCAAAAAATCAAAAGAAAAATAATGGAAATAGGATATATCTTGACACTCCCTGCATTTTGAAAAGATAATTAGGTGAAAAAAGATACCGGCAAAGAATGATGAAAAACTTGACTAGGAGAAGTGTCAGTGCTTGTTGTGGCTCCTCCAACCCTTCTGATAATTTCTGGACACAGTGCAGCAGCTGGAGCCTCAAAACTTGAAGAATGTTATCAGGAAGCAGAGATATTCCAGGGGGAATGTCATCCACCCTAAAATAAAGCCAGTAAATATGAAAGGCAAAAAATAACAGTCATTGACATAATTGTAGCTTTGGACCTTCTTAGCTACGACACTATTTTCTCCAGGTACAATCTGCCTGCATGACAAGGTCTCTCAAAAGCTAAAAAGAAGTTGGGTTCCAGAATATGACCTTAGTGGCAACCCCCTCATCGAGCAACAGCTTTCCCCCTGAAGGGAGGCCGGTTCCCACCCTTCTATGCTTTACGAGAAAAGCTAAAACCAAAGCCAAACCAAAGTAAAGCATAGAACCCAAGTCTGACCTCATTCAGAGTAAAGACTTGATTGACCCCCTAGAATTAAGCTGGGACTCTGAAGAACTGTGAATTCAGGCTGGTATTCACAATGGTATGTTTTTAAACTTTATATTCCAGTTTTGAAAACCCAATCAAAGAGAAAAGCAGAGAACTTGTATGACTTGGCAGGGGATAGAGGGGGCATTTTTTGTCAGAATTCCAGTTTATTCCTCCAGACCAGGTGCTTGATTTTTTTAACAGTATTGTAGATATTTATTTTAATATTCCTTGACAAAAAGTTCCAATTTCTCAATCTAAACCACCTGTCATATTCCTAACAGTGGTATACTTAAAAATAGTAATGATAATAATACTTAAGCACATTTGATGACTGGAAATACATTGAGGATTGCAGAAACAGAAAATAATTACAGAAATTCTTCCACTATTGTATAGATCTTCTATTACTCCTCTCAAGATTTTCCTCAATGTTTTTCCCGACTGACTCTACATCTACATGGTAATTCAGAGCAATTCAAGTATAACACTAGATTCCTCGTGATTAGCTAACCTCTAAACAAAAAGGTTGCTGTGGATTACTGCATTTCTATGATCATTTTATATGGAATGAGATTCCGAAACTGAGATAAACGTCTCTATTATTAGAGTCACCTTAATAGCTGGCACGCCTACTGTTTAACACAGTAATTAGAAAAAAGAACTTGACATATTCTTATTTACTTCCCAATAGAAAAACTCTCCCCTGCAGTAAAACAAACAGATTTGCACCAGATAGGAAGGTTTTTACCTTTTCCGATATAAATAAAACAACATGCCAAAGGAACTTTGGAACATGCAAAGGAGGAGAGGAGATCAATCTTTCATGTTGCACCAGCACAGCTGCCAAAAGACTGATTGTAATATAGAGTGCTTGGCTTTTCCTCAAAAGAGAAGCAAAGCACCATGAACGATTTTGGACTATACATTCTTACAAGCTTGCACCTTCCCAGTGAATAACATTCTTCCTGTAATATAACACAACCTTGTTTGTTGAGTTACCTTGAGAAAAAAATTGGGCGAGAAAAAAATATTAGGAGAATGTCTACAAGACAGGGTGCTCTTAAGTCAATTGGCTTCATCCTATGCTTTTCAAATGTAATGGCCAAGAAAAACCTCACAAAATCCTAGAACTAAAAGGGAACCATTGAGCCACTCAGTCCTGCCCCTTCCTAGGACAGTCTCCCAACTCGAAATATTTTTGATGGGCAGCTGTCTAGCCGCTACTTAAACTTGTCCACTGTTCATTGTCTCCTTTAATAGCTAGTTCCCCTGTTGAATTACTCTTACTACGGTATTAGAAAGTTTCTTCAACTGGAATCTTCTGTAATTTAAGATTGTTCCACATCCTGCGTTCCAGGATGAAAAAAGAACAGGATCTTCTTCCCTGTTACATTCTTTCAGTTGCTTAACAAGGGCTGCAATATCCTCCCAATCATCTTTTCTCAAGGATCAACAGTTCCTTCTGTACCTCCTTGTTTTTCCTTCCACTTGTTTCAATTTCTTTAAATATTAAAGTGTGATGCTGGTGGCTCAGTGGCTAAGACACTGAGCTTGTTGATCAGAAAGGTCTGTAGTTCAGCGGTTCAAATCCCTAGTACAGATCTCCTGCGTGAGCAGGGGATTGGACTAGATGACCTCCAAGGTCCCTTCCAACTCTGTTATTGTTACAAATTAGACACAGTGACTTAATGTGTAGATCTGACCAATGAAGAATATAGTGGAACCATTGCTTTCCATATTTTTGGAACTTTACTTCTACTGATGAAGCCTAAAATTGCCTTTACCCAATCCATTCACACAGCTCACCCATTATCAACTTGTGGTCAACTATAATTTCTAAATCCTTCATACTTTTTATTATTACATACATATTATTACCCAAGTCCAGTAACCCTCATCCTATACCTATGCAACTTATTTATTTGATAACTCTCCATTTGCCTTTATAAAAAATTGCACCTGTTATACACACACAAAAAGGTTACCAGACACCCAGTATTATTTTTTAAAAATACACAACCATTTTTAGCAATCCACGTCCTCCATTTCAAATCTATTTTTAAATTCAGTATTTTACCACTATTATAAAAATGCATCACCGATATGGGGTGATATATTCCAAAATATGTCATTCTCAGTATAACTGAATACTAAAATGATAGCACCTTTAATTGAAAACACATTCCATAAAATACATTATTTTAGAGAAGCAATTTTATACCATAATCATCTTCACCTTTACCTCCCTAGATATTTTGTCTTATAGATCGGTAAATTCAATCCTGTCAATATCAAAGAAAAACTCTAGATTTTATACTGAACACTTAACAACCCTGCTGATAATCAGATCTACACCTTGCATATTTTCTCCCTTTTAATATTTTGTTATGCTAATACCTAAAAACACTATTAGTTAAGAAATGACAAAACAATGCAAGCTTAATCAAAAAGGTAACAACCATACAGTAAAAATCCAAACTGATTTGTAGGTCTTCAAAATTACTATTGCTTTAAGAGTATGTTAAAATTAGTATTGTGGTACAACTGAAGAATTCTGTGACCAGGAGATTGTAAGTAAGGATCCACTAACTGCTCTGTTCAGTTCAATCTCCTAAAGTTGATTCAAAGAATTTACCTTCTTTTGATTGTACTGCTACAAGGAGTTCCCTCAGCAAAATGTTACTAATCTTCATTCTACGTTCAGTATCCTGTTTTCACTTGAGTTAAACTTGAGTCAAACAATGAAAATCCATCCATGATTATCAGGCTATGATTCTGCACAGTGATACAAACTGGTAATTTTAAGTTAAGACTTCATGGTCTAAGACACTCCCTGTGTAGCTGGACTACTGTTGTGCTGCATTTGAGGACATTCCTGATCACTCTACTGGGGACCAGATTTCTGTCCAAACTGCCATACAATTCCATGTCTTTACCACTGAGTAAGCTCCACTAGAGACCACAGGGACTGACCTTTGAACAGGCACACAAAGAATTCATTCTGCTAAGAGAATGCATTATCTAAGGCTAAGTACATTCAAAAAGCACATTCCAAGGTCATTTCCTGGTTTAGAGCAAACAAGAATGTTTACTTGACTCTATAATTTAACAACTCAAAGCCCATTTTTGAAAAATGTAAGCTAGGACAAGAAATACCAGTGTGGAACAAAGGAAGAATATCCTAATGTAAAATAAAGTTGATTAATACCACAACTTTACCTTAGGGGACTGCTGATTTTGATCCTTTTGCCGACTGTTGACCTGTAAGGTATGAGATGAATTGGACTGGAACTTTTGTGTGTCAGGTTCCAAGTATACTTTGGAGGAGAACAACAGCTTAGGTCTTCAGGCTATGTGATGTTTGTGCATTTTGTGTGTATCAGGATCAACATACAGGGGGCCATGAGCTATCATTTGTATATTCAAATCTGGGGATAGTATATTGATGCACATGTGCAACCCCTCCCCCTTCCCCAACTAAATTTGGCAACCAATAGAAAGCCTTGCTCTCCTGCAGGTCTTCTGCACTGAAAAATCAACAGCTAAGATTTAAATTTTGGCAGCATTGTTCCATTTACTGCTGCTCTACATTTTAGATTTTCATGTGTCCATGAGTGTCCATGGAGGGAGGAATCAAAATCCCCAAGATGGTGTGTTCATGGTCATGGTAAAAGCTCTACCCCTTTTGTACATATGGCAATGTATCTCTATGTACAATTCAATCATGATACTAATCCACCACCTTGCAGGTCTAATCCACTTACATCATGGTGTGTTTATATGTGTATGTGCGTGGAGTCACATTTTGAGTTCTTCAAGAGAAGTTAATATAAAATATGATTTAAAGAGATAATAGAGTTAAGATTAGAATAGCTTGCATTTTCCAGAAAGAGCATTAAATGGTGAGGAAAAAATTAAAGAAGCACAAAATGTGGGGACATTATATATTTTATACATTTTATCAGGATTTAAGAGTTGACCATCAGATAAAAAGATGTGCTGAATTCTTCACTCTGATTTGTGTTTTCATTACAGTATGTGTTTGCATACTATACTTGATAAAAGTAGTATCACAAATATTTTTATATCTATGTAGCCATGTCATATATCAGATCAAATAAGATCTATTTCAACATACCGAGTTGGCAGTTTTTCGAAGTCCACATCCAGAAACTGCTCATAGCTAGAAACAAAACTGTCCAACCATAGCTTCAAGTAGTCTGGATCTTTCTGTGAAGAAAAATAGACTGGTTTAATATATTGATTTTTTTTTAATCCCACAAATATTTGAACATGTTTTTGTACCTTGCTGTATATTCTTTCTGTACTTCTGACATGACTAATTTAGATGTTTCTCGTTTAATCATCAATTCAGATAGTATATGTTCATGAACTCATGAATTCAGCTCAATTTAAAAGAAACTTTACATTTTACTCCAACCGAATAAAGTTGGGAAAAGGAGAAGCTATTTACTAAATTGAGAAAAACCTGGTCCAACCAATCATTTAAACAAGACATGAAGAGTAAAGAGAAAGGCGCAGGTATTAGTGGTAGGGTGTGTACATTAAAAAGACACAGGTTTTATACCTATCCCTTAAAGCAGCTTACAGAAAATTAATTGGAAAAGACTTGGATATCAGAGAGCTACAGCCAGCAACATACTGAGTGAGATGGATCAATGATTTGATTCACTGGTCTGCTTCATAAAACAAATCCAGCAACAATGTGATGTGTTTCAATCTGGCTTTATATGTTATACAAACTTAGCTTCTGCAGTCTACACTAAATCAGTGACTAGTGTGAAGAGCGAACTGCAGTTTGTCTAATAAATTATGATCAAACCTTGTAGTGTGAAATCTAAATCAAGTAAGATTAAGTAACTACAGGTTTAAGATATCCTTCAATATTGGATCATGCTTATCAAGGCATTACACAACTAGTTTATAAAAAAAATAACAGCACATTCTTAAACCATTGGGTTTCTTCTCTACAATAATTTTCTTCTGCTTATTATTGCAATTAATTGGATAAGCAGTTCACGAAAATCAATATAGATTTTGCAATTCCAACTTTCAATATCAGATATATTTTGTAAATACAACCAAATTTATTTTTTCTAGAGAGCTTCTGAGAGTCACTTGCTATAAAATCCTTCTTCTGCACACCTTGGCCCAGCATCTAAACATCTTACAACATGAATTAGGAAAAAACATTCCTTAAACATGGTAACACAGTTATTTTTTTTTCCTGTTGGGGAATTTAACTAGTGGTAAAAAGTGGACACACTTTCAGTATCCATGGAAATAAAGACTCTTTCCCAAAATCAGGAACATGAGAAGCCATTAAAGCTTCATTCCAAGGCAAAAATATATCTTGAAAAATCAGACTAGGAGGGTGACTCAGTTCCAGAGTAAATAGGCATCCATCACTAGACTCTTGTGATATTTTTAAAACATTTATGTCTTTCCCGATGACAAATCAGTATATACCCAAACGCAATAATGAACATGCCAACTCAGAGAGCTAGAAAGTTGCCTACATTACAATGTCCTCTCACAAGAAAAGCCAATGATGCAAGTGATTAAGCTGCTGTCTTTTTTTGCTATAAGTTTTCTTGGTTTTGACATCACAAACCTCTCCATTTAAAGGAAACAGCTAGGAGGTTTAGTTGTTCTATTCTTTATTATGTAGCTCCAAAGTTATTTATGTTGCTCCAGTCAAAAGGGCATTGAATTATTTTAACATCATGGTAAGCAGTCAGGAGAAAGCCAGTTTGGGCTACTGATTAAGACATCAAGCTAGAATAGCAATAGCAATAACAATAGCAGTAGCACTTAGACTCATATACCACTTCATAGTGCTTTGAAACACTCTCTAAGCAGTTTAGAGTCAGCATATTGTCCCCAACTATCTGGGTCCTCATGTTACCATCCTCAGAAAGATGGAGGGCTGAATCAACCTAGAAATCAGGGACTGAGTTCTAGTCTACTTTAGGCACAATGCCAATGACTTTGGGTCAGTCACTCTCACTTAGCCTTAGCAAAAACAGACAATTGCAAACCATTTCTGAAAAAGCTTGCCAAGAAAAGCTTGCAGGGACTTGTCCAAGCAGCTCCAGACACAAGTGAACAGAAGGAAAAAAAAGTAGGCAAGACAGCCTTTTTAATTGTTCCATTCTCTATTAAAAGGCAATGAATAAGTGCAGTTTTTGCAACAATCTATTTACTTCTAATTTACCAGAAGGCAGGGAATAATTGGCATCATATTTTACTACTACAGGGTTTTTTTCATTCAGGCAGAACACACCCACATCTATTTATATAGTGCCATCTGTATAAAAGGGCACTTTATAAAATGATAGATGCCCCAATAAATTTACAATCTAAAATGCAAGTCTTCGTCATTAAATCTTCTGGTTACCATCATCAACAAATTAATGTTGAAGAAGCAATGACAAGCATGACAAGTAGAAATGTTTGGTTAACTTCAAGCAAACTTAGCAAAATATAATGCTAAAAGACCTTGTTTAGGTAAAACAGAAACAAACTAGACTGAACACGTGTATAAAAATTATCAATCATTTCAAAATATTTCAACAATCAATTGATAGGTAGATTTTTTTTTTCCTTGAGGCTTTTCTTAGAATTATTCAATATGCAGGGTTTTAAACAGATTTGCTAGTGCCACCTATAATCAAGGTATATCACCTTTTATAGAAGTAAAACCTCCTAATTCAGTACAGCTAGTAGTCAGATAAATTTAAAAACATATAATCGTCGCCATCATACTTTACAACAGTCAAAGACAAGTAAAACACAAATTAAAACAATTCAATTACAATCCCAAAATATAATAGCATCATACAAAAAACAGTGCATGTGAGTAAAATAAAAACAAAATCCCTCAAATAATAAGTGAATCAATACAACAATCATGTTTAAGAGAAATACAGCTCAACTTTCCAACAACAAATTAAACCATGGTAGCATGAAATCATATTGCTCAATCTTCCCTTTGAGCCAAGAAAGAGGTAATTCAAAGGCTGAGGACTCAAGGAAACCACAGTTCACCTTTATCTTTAAACTAAATTAAAATTTGAGCAAACTACAATTGGTGTCTCAAAAGCACATTCAGAAACAACTGCTTCAGATATGTCTCTGGGGCACATATGGACAGCTAAAAACAGGAAGGAATTTGATGAGCATAAATAGGGAGGGAAGCCACCTGTAAATCCTTTCTGTATTTTATTACTTACTGTAAATATAGTTTTCCACAGATATAATGTGAAACGCTCTGTATGTTTTTATTGTTTAAATTACCTTAAAGGTAGGACGCTCAGTTGACTAATACCAAGGAGACTCAGATTCCAGTTCTCATCCTGAGTGGAGGATTTTTTTCCATTCAACCTGCCACCCCCTCAAGGAAGTTGCTAAAGACAGACAGACTTTTATTTCAGTCATTGACTAATAAAAGTACAATCAATAAATGAACAACACAAAACTATCCCATAACAACTAATATTATTCCCATAATAACTATCCTATTAGCAACTATTAGTAAAGCTTACACATAAATTATTTTATTTTAATTTTATTTTATGAGCCGTGGTAGCAGTGGTTAGAGCGCAGTACTGCAGGTTACTTCTGATCACCGGCTGCCAGCAGTTTGGCAGATCAAATCTCAGCAGGCTCAAGGTTGACTCAGCCTTCCATCCTTCCGAGGTGGGTAAAATGAGGACCCAGATTGTGGGAGGCAATATGCTGACTCTGTAAACCACTTAAAGAGGGCTGTAAAGCACTACGAAGCGGTATATAAGTCTAAGTGCTAGTGCTATTTTTATTTTAATTTTAATACAAAGAAATAAACTCATCTTAACAGATAGTGCCCCAGAAATTTAAATAAAAGATTATTTAAATAAATAATCAACTTGTGGTATATGTTACTGTAGAATTAGCAACACAGAAGAACACAGGTTGTGGAGTTGCTGTGGGGAAACATTTAGGAGGGAGTTCCATCTATACTACCTTGAACTCCTTGGAGAAAAATAGTGTATAAATCTAACAAATGGACAAATAAATAAGAATGTGAGATAGGTGGGTATATAAATGGAATACATACATACATTTCTAAGACTTCCATGCAGGGCTTCATTTATTAGCTGAACAGAATAGCCTCTAGGCTGCCCACACAAATTCCTATACAAAATAAGTTGCAGGCAGGATGATTGGGGCTCCTATTTCAATGCCCCCAAAATGACCTACTAGTACAAGTGGTCTTTGTTTAGTTTTGTATTAATTATAACTGTTGGTTTTATGACACAAGCAATGCCAGGTAGAAAGGGAAGAGAGCCATTAGGCAGACATTAGTACTGCTACTGATTTAACTGCATCTTTGATAGTTGTAAAACTCTTGCTAGTTTTTAGAAACTCCACAAAGGTTGAATACTGGAAGTCAAGAAACAAGGAAAACTCAGTAAAAATAGTTTATGGGAGACTCTAGGGCAGGGCTGTCAAACTCACAGCCTGTGGGCCAGATGCGTCTCGTGCTGGCCACACCCACGCCCAGTTTAACGAAGAGGGGGGAAGTCCCTATACGTCACGTGACGCCACCGTGACACTGCGAGTTTGATAAGGGATAAGCCATTTTGCTACTGAACTGCTCTAGGGATAAGCCATTTTGCTACTGAACTGAAAGACCAAACACTTCCTCTTTCCTTGTAAAGAAACAGAGTGGCAGGCCAAGTAAATCAACCCCTACCACATCAGAAAAGACAACTACTGTAATTTAGGGAGTGTAGAGCATACTCTCTGGCAAACACAGCTACATCAATGGTCACAGCCAACTGAGTTAAGCATTTTTTCTTTGCCTAATGTCAGGGCCCGCCCAGGGAGTGTCACCAGAGAGTCTCATTTTGTCAATGACTAATCCATCAATCAGGTCTTTATTATGATCATAGATCAGCAAAAATAACTTTTCAAAAGTAGGCTTATCGTATCTAAAGAAAAAGTATATTGATAGTCCTTGACTTATGACCACAATGGAGCACAAAATTTCTGTTGCTAAGTAAGACATTTGTTAAATGGGTTTTACCCCATTTTATACGACCTTTCTTGCCACAGTTGTTGGCAACACTTAATCATGTTAAGTCAACACAATTGTTAAGTGAATCTGGCTTTCCCATTGACTTTGCTTGTCAGAAGGTCCCAAAAGGGGATGTCTGCAGAGATTC